TGTCCAAGCTATTTAAACTCTACCCTGTCTTGTGGAAGTATCCATGCTGAGACAGAAAATTTTCTCACCACAGAAATGCTCCTAGTGGAATCTTACTGATAGACCAATAGATAAAACTGCAAAGTGTGTTCTGAAGTTCTAAGCCTTCATAAGGGTGCCCACACGTACAGCATGTAGGCTAGGACCAACTCGTACCTGGATTGCCCTGCAGGTCTCAGCATTGTCTTGCATTCTAGCTGGAAACCCATAGCCTCACGTTGTGCCCCAGTTCTGGTAACCACTACACTTGTTTTTGTCAGAAACATAAGAAAGAATAAAGGCAACAAATGGTGCCTGAAAACCCAGGAAGAAAGTTGAGGAATTTTCCAGCCAGCTCTGATAACCCACATCTCTCTGAAGGACCTGCAGGGACATCATAGCTAGAGGTACATAAACATGGACCTCATAATTTTATTTCTGGACCTTCCACCCTAAAGAAGCTATCAGTAGCCAAAAGATCAGCTAGGTGTGTTACAGCTAGAGGGAGGTCTATGGTCTCCTGTCATGGAGCTGTGTGAAGTGCTTACAGACAGTGCTGCACTCATTTATTTCTCTGCCATGAGACTAAGTTTCCCTCGAGTTCTAAGGACCTATTTAGAAAGACAAGTCTGAAGGCTACACCTCAGCCCAAATTTTGGGTTAGATAAAGTAGAAAACTACAAACTCTGAGAATTGCTTAGTTTTAAAGGGCAATGCAGCAAAGCTGAGAACAGGTTTAATCCATCTGGCTACAGTTAGCCCTCTGGCAGATGAGGTTACCCTAGTGTTAAGGCTAGACCAAATGAGAGGATGAGATTATGTACAGACAGAATCGCAGTATCTCCTACATTAAGAAGCAACTTGCCAAGTGAAAAGGGAAAAGGAATGAAGGAAGAAGCCATCGTCTATATTGCTGAGGTGACACGAAGCATAAGGTTTCAGCATACAGAGGCTCAGTAGTAGCATGATTAATGTGCAAGTTCAAAAGGTGACTGCAGAGGCCAGAGAGGACACCTGGGTGGGTGTATTTCTGGAATAACCAGGGAATTAGGGCTGGAGAAAACATTTAGGATAGATGTGGTTATGTTCAAAGTTAGCAGAGATCATTGACCTAAAGTATCATCTTGATCCATAAGGGGACATAGGTCTAACTTGGAGATTAACCCCAGGGCGAATCATCTGGCAAACCCTTCAGCTGTTTAAAAGACTATGGCTGAGGCTGACGGCAGCATTACAGCCCAGGTCAGCAAAGGCCAACAAACCGAGGCACTGGCTGTGCTCAAAAGAGACTACCAGAAAAAGATGGATAAGAGACAACTGATTAACTTAACCTTCAGATTGGAGGTGTATTTTAGAGTAAAGTTAGTTGACAGAAAGCTGAGGTTTGAGCATGAGTATTAAGTTTTTGACCAGAAGAGGCCATTTATCTAATGTAATTATCTGTTTTAGAAAGCACATACAAGGTAACTGGAGCTTGGTCAGTCAAATGACACCTACATTTGCTTCTGAGGAAAATTATAGTTCATGGAATTAATGCTATGACAAAGGCTTGCCTAGGACTGAGTTTATAGTTGGAGCTAGGATGATACTTGGAAAGGTAGTAGCTTATGCAATATGAGAAGAGGTGGTGATAGGAGCCAGTTAAGTACACATACATAGTCCAAGCTGAGACAGGTACTTGCTTTGTTACAATTAGGTCTAAGAGGCAAGTTAGGCAGTGCAAATGAATTCTGGGCAAAATGAGGGCAATCGTGATTTCACTTACATCCAAAAAGCCTCTCAAGTTAAACCAAGGAAATGCTTAAAGCTTTAAGAATAAAGGAAGCTCAAGATGGTTTTCAATTTATAGCACCAGGAAATGGGACTGAAATAGAATAACCTTGTAGCAATTATGTTAATACAAGCGTGCTGATCACATTAAGGATGTCTCAGCTAGAATTAAAGAAAAAAAAACAAAAAACCAACCAAACGCCAAAACACCCACAAACCCTCACCAAACCCCACACCAACTGCAAAACACAGAAATACAAAACTCCAGTCACCCAACTGGCCTTAGACAGAACTTAAAAATATGACCTTAAAATAGGGTTACTGCCTAGCAACACCAAAAGACATCTAAAATAGTCCAAGCACTGCCAGAGAGTAATTCACGCCAGCCCTGATCTCAGGCTTGCATCCTTTTCAGATGCAATTAAGTGACATTTTCAGCAAGTGCTCGATTAACTGATACTAGTGTTAGCAGTAGTGTTATCTTTTTCTGAGAAGCCAAATTGGATGAAAACAAAACAAAAAGCAAACATATTACTGTCACAGTCTTTCAAATAAAGTCTTTCAATTTGGTTTTTTATTTCATTCTCTTGGAATAATCCTCCCTCAACCCACAGTCACATCCAAAGCTAAGCAAAATCAAAGGCACTTACACCTTTTTGGTTTGTGGATGTGTTTTCAAAAAGTCTTTACAGAAAATGAAAGCATTGTCCTGCAAAGGCTGTCTGCATTTGCAAATGTTCACTCAACCCTCTGAAAATGTGTGTTAATTGCACAATATTTTTTAACATTTTTGGAAGTTAGTGCTTCCTCACGAGTTATGTATGAAATAAGCTATCTTTTGCCTAAGCTTCGCTTTCAGTTCTGCCAACCAAATAATGCCTGAATCAGTTCTGATGGTTTCCAATCAGTTCTGCAACACACATACACAAACTGTCAATTATTGATGTTTGGATGAATTTGCAAATACTCCAATACTAAAATCAGTGTTAAGAATTACTCAGATAGTTAGTACATTTGTTAAAATTAAACTCTTGCTGTAAATAATGTGATATCACTACTACTCTTCCTTGAAGGATGAACAATGTATAGTTAGATCCAGCTAAATGAATAAAGACAAGCCGGGGGAGGAGGAGGGAAATGAATTGTTGGAAAGGGGTGGAGGAATTTCATCCTCTCTTGCAACTGATTATATACTTGACTGACATTTCTCTTGCCAAACTTTATCAATGTGACAAATACCCTCAAAATATTATGAAAGGAATGAAGTTTATTAAAACGTATGGATCATGTTACCTTTTGTAAATGGCATTCATCACGAAGCCATTTCCGTCTGACCTGACAAACAAATCTACAAGAAGAAAAACTAGTCCTCTATACCAGCAGTCAGTAAGGTGGCATTAGAAGGGAAAAATGCTACTGCTAAGCCTAGTAGCAGTTAATCAAGCACTTGTTGAAAGTGTCATTTAATAGCATGTGAAAAGGATGTGATATACTGGAAGTTGATAAATCTTCACTTGGCTACCTTGGTAAGTTTAATGATATACGCTAAATTTTCTCTGTGTGTGTGGCATATTTCTGCACTTTTTTTAACATGTATTTCCTTTACAAATATTTTGCAGCTTTATTCTACTTACTCATAAAAGCAACTCCTCAATACTCATAAAGAAAGTAGCAAGTTTTGGCTTTTTTTTTTTTTTTTTTTTTTACAAAAAAAGCACCTTATTAAACTGAAAAGCAAAAAAGATCCTATTTTTAATACAAGTTTTCCATGAAAAGATATCTTTCTTACTTCGGCAACGGAACAATATTAACATGAATATCTGGAAGCTCCATGTCAAATTGTAAAATTCTGCACAAAGAAGAGGCAGTTATTAAAAAGAAATAAAAAATAAAAAGCAAATGATGTCTGGCCAAACAATGATCAGTTTGATGCAACTGCACTTCACAAGTCTTGAAAGATTAACAGATCTCAGAGCAATGGTACGTATGCAATCATATCTTTGCTCAGAAGTAGAAAATAGTAATCATTTGTCATTATTATTATTCATGATATGTCTTGAATGGGATTTTTCATTCTAGTCCATTTTAAAAAGCATATGAGTTAATTACCACTTATCTATTAAAGAGGAATGAATAGATGCTAATATATGTGTGGCTATTCACCACAGTTGTGAAAGAAGTCATTTTCATCATAAAGATATGGTTTTTATTCCTGTAAGCATCTGAATGCCAGCCCTCTAACAGCTGAGGAGTTTGTAAAAAGCAATACTTTGAACTTTAATGAAAGAATTTATTTCTAGTGCCTTTATAAATCAATCTGATGGGACTACATAATTAGACAAAAGTCGTATTCAATATGTGATGTTCAATAGCTCACAAAAAAGTCAACATACGTTTGAATAAACTCATTCTAATAAATGAAAGTCCCCAAAAGAAGCCAGCAATCATGAGAAGATTTAAGATTCCTCTTAGCAAACAAACTGAATTAAATAATAGATTGAAGAGGCTGAAATAATAATCTTCAGCTATAACTTGAAATGTCAGCCCAGTTTTAGAGACTAGTCACCACAATACTTTAAAATACAGCTTCATGAATCACAGAACATAAGATTATTTACTGATCAATCGACAGATTACTTTGATTTGTTGCCTACATAATGTTTACTACAAAATACTTTTCCTGATGAAAAAAAAAAAGTGATTAGACTCACCTTACATAAAAGCCAAATTGCCTTTGCTTAAGCATTCAGCAAGTAATTAGTATTGTACATAAAGGATTTTGCAACAATTAGGAGTCCAGAGAGCTAGGGATTTCATTTTTATCCTACATACAGAACTGTCATAAACTCACTTATTGATGGGGGAGTGGCGACAAGAAATTAAGTGGCAGAGTTCCTAATTACAGGGTTACTCATTACCATCTAATTCATTCTACTGACTGATGCTGACACTGCTTGCACACTCAAAGTCAGCAGCCACTTAAACCATTGCTTGCTGAAATTGGGTCCTGAAATTGTTAAAACCTGCATTTAAGCAGGATTTGAAGTGTGGGCAATTGTTCCTGTGCTAGTGCACATATCTACATTATTCTGTTTAGATTTTCTTTTTCCATTTGCATGTTTTCCCATATGAAAATTCATGTGGCAAGTTACTAAGAGCTTTTTCTGATTGTGTTTCCTAGTAGCTATAAAACTTCATGCTGCAAATAAAGAATGCAACAACCAAGGTCTGATTATTCGCCAGACCTGGTCAAGGAAGCCTGCATTAGGGTGGAACTTCTAAACAGGGAAACTGATCTTCATAAGGAAAATGTTGCTTTGTCTGGAAGCAGCAGTCCAGAAGATGTCTTCAGCTGCTGTGAAACACAGGTATTATCAGTTTGTATGGACACCACCATGCCTCCAGACGACTACATTCAAAGGCGAGGCTATATAGAGCCTTCACTTCAGAAGCTTCCTGTAGAGGAGTCCATTGGGAGTCACCACACACCCTTCCAGTTTGACCGGCATGCTCTGGCCAGAATTTCCACTTCCCCAACTTTAAGACGTCTAAGGATGACCTCTGCTTCACAAGCACTGCCATTCCAGGACTGTTCTGACACAGCTCAGCTAGGGAATCGAAAGGAATACAACAGCTCTCTCCACCACATTTGCAAGAGTCCACCTCGGTGTACTACAACTTCCTCGTTGTCGTTGCCTTCTTGTGTTCATGCAAAATTACTGTCTTCCAAAGCCAAGTCTGAAACAACTATTGCAAACCCAACATCTGCTAGCCCCAGATCAAAACTGTCAAGCCACAAAGGTCCTCTCAGCAATGGCAGAACCAGTGAGAGACTCCAGAACTCTTGGAGAGCCAACTGTGCTACCCTGACTAGGAGAATCCCTAGTCCCAGCCCTACACCCCAGGAGGATGTCCAGGTAGGAGAAATAGAATGATGCTTGACTCTGTCCATACATTTCACTGAACTGAACTGGATGGTGTCAAATAGGTGAAAAGCTCTTTACTAACTGGGTACTTTTCTGCCACAGACCAAAAGCTATTTCCCCCCTTCCTTCAAATATAGAAAACATTCTGGATATCAAATGATTTCTCCTTTCTCCACAACAATAAAAATAACAAACCAACGCCTAAGTCTATGTAGTACATTTGTCTTAGTAAGTACCTTTTTTAAAATAAAATCAGACTGCTTGCTTGCTGTCTGACCAACTAACAAGAATATGTCACTTTCTTTCAGCAGTGTGGATTGCCTATACAAAGCTATGCATATAGTTGTTTTATCTCATCCTAAGCTTCACTTCTCTACATTTTTAATGAATCCACTTCACCCTAAGACAAAACTGAATAATGAGGTGTATGTGTAACTCAACTTCAATTCATAGATAGGTTTTGTGAAATGCCTATCACTAGCTTGTTAAACTAAACTTCTTAATGAGATTTTCTTTCAAAACTGGCCCTCTCCCCAACATGCTTAGCTATATTTCATGCAATATTTCAGCTGGACCATCATAGCTCTGCACTAAGAGCTAACTGGCAAAAGGTCTGGCTCTTTGGATTAGCAGTGTCAAGTTTCTGCTTGAAGAATGTTAAACATCCCATAATCTTGAGCAACATTCTTCAAAACTTTGTGGGAAAGAAAATGGGAGCAAAGAAGCTAACAGAACAGCTCAAAATTGTTCTCATACATGAGCAAAGCAGATCTAGGTCTGCTACTAGATGGGGAGATTGTTGATCCTACAAACTAAGAAGAATTCTTGAATTTGGCAATTCAAGTGCAAGAAATATAAGGTGCTGCATACCATAGAGCTGTGCAGTGATTTCCATCAAGCTCTTACAAGCAATTGTCAGACAGTAAAAGTTTGATTAGAAATTATTTTGATTCAGCCACGTTTGTTTCCTCCAGAAGTTCAAATGTCTACAGAAGGGAAACAAAGTTTATTTTTTTCCCCACGCAACAACAAAGTTGGAGCTAGTACCTCCCTTAATAGTCCTACCTCTCTCACTGATGGTGCAGTGCTCGCTAGATTGCATGATCCCCTTGAAGATTTCAGGTGCGTCATGCAGGTGAGTGTATTAAAAGCACAAGCACTGGTGAGCAAGTCTTGGCAAAGACAGAGGTAGCCCCACAACAAACAACAACACACTTCTGTGACTCTACCATCAAGTCTTTCATGTGTTAATGCAGTAAACATCATTATTTGAGCTGTATCTCCTCTTCTTCCCAATGTTTAGTCATTTTTCAGGTAAAAGCTCTGTTATAACCTGCAGTTTATAAACAGGTCTGTGTTTCAAGCACATTTATGTTTGGGACTGGGTGGGTAGGAGCAGGCTGATGCAGTCTATGAGCCATTACACAAGGCAGCTCCCTAGACAAAGCTTAACAGATGTGTACATGTATCTGAAATCACATTCCCTGCAGAACAGGCCTCCTAGATTTTCTGAATTGCTGCAATTTCAAATCCACTCTTTAGTATTTTTAATTAACAATGGAGATTGAGAGAGGAGGGGAGGGAGACATCTTTGCACCTTGGTATGAAAACAGGCGATCTGTACCTATTATGGGAAGAATCTGCTCTGACCAAACTCAAAACTGTGATATGTATCTCACTGACAAGGTGAAGATTTTTGTGATCTGTAGCAAACTTCAAGGACTTGAAGGATACCATCTGCAAATGGCTAAACAGGAGAACACTGAGCATTTAATGCCACTTGCCTGGCACCTTCAGAAGGAAGGCACTATATGCCAGCTATTATATTGGCTCTGGACTTCTATCCAGACATTTTAGAAATCAAGAAATCACACAAAGAACAACACAAGCTTTGTTCCATAGCCACCAACACAAAAGACTGATCAAAGGAGGTTTGGATGATGTATCAGAATTTCTATTTTTTTGTCTTGACTAATATTAGAATGTAGAAATATAAAACAAAAATAACCAACATATATAAAAATAACCGCTAATAACAAAATAAATTTCTGCTTTAAGCTTTTTTTTAATCAAATTGAATTTAGTCCAAGGTCTGGGCAAAGGCTATATTCAGCTCCTTCTTTATCCAAATCATTAGTCTAACTCCTTAACAGCTAATGCCCTCTTATCACAGCCAGAGAAAACCACTTGAAATGTCAGGTTATTCTCCCCATCTAGAATCACACTGAGACAGATGGCAACTGTCCTCCAAGACTGACTTATATAGCATCCCAGTTAAAAATCATACATCCATCCTTCAGTTTTAATGAATACCGCTTCTCCCCACTCCCAGGCTGTACTTTCAAAAGTCTTTCTTAAAGCAGCAATGCTCTTTTTAAACAGCGTTCCCACACACAGCCCTCAGTCAGGAATGCCAGTACATCTTTGTCGGCAGGACAACATGCTGAAACGGTGCTGATTAAATATAATCAGCCAAAATAAATAAGCAAAAAGGACAGAGAGGTGAGGCTGGGACAAGGCAAGATACTGAAGCCAACTCTGCTGTGGAAGGAAATGTTGATAAAATAAAACCTTTACTCTGAGCTCATTTTCTCCTTGCACCAATCAGCGTATCAGACTCACTGGAAAACTGGACTGCACTATTTCCTAAAGACAATTAACTAAAGAAAATTCCTCTCAGTAACTGACAAGGCAGCTCCTTTTCAGTTAATTGAGGGAGCTGGCCTCATCGATCTTGAAATGCTCCTCTTCCTCTTTTAATGTCTCATATGCCTGTGAAGTGTCATACTAACTCTTTGAATCAGGGAGTCCAAATACGCTCCCTGAATGGCTTGGATGATATCTAACATCTATCTCAATACTGTGACCACCCTACAACATTGACCTTCATAATCTCTTCAGTTGCTTTTATTGTTACGTAGTGGTTATTTCTATAACTAACAGACCTGTTATTTAAGTAAGATGATTTATACAGACGTCTGTTCCTTGGGACAGCTAGTTAGGCTAAGATTATGGATATATAGATACAAACCTCTAAAAGGCAATCAGCTGAAACTCTCTGTGCCCTACAAGCAACTATATACACAGGATATTTATTTTCCAGACCATGAGCTGTTTCAGTGTCTTTAATAACGTTCCATAACTTCATAATGCTAATCTATGACATTATCTTGTTTCACAAAACAAGTAGATTAAAGGAGGAACTGTTGCATTCCCCAGGTGCTTGAAGTCATCCCTAAAGTACAAGGGTTTTGAAAACTCAACACTTCAGTCTTCTGCCCCCTGTAGGAAAACAAAGCAAACTAAAGAAAAGAGCAAAGCTATAGGGTCTGTAGGCACGAACAGATTCTAAAACACTGCATATAGACTCAAAACCAGGCAAAGCTCATTACACAGCACTCCAGTAGTTTAATTTCTACAGAAAAAAACAAGAAAAAAGTCTAACATATCTAAGACATCTAGACATCAGGCCAGTTGATAACAGATACCTGTATCTTCATCTGTGAAGTATGAGTACATCATTTAGTCATGTAAGTCATTAACTGGCCCAGGCATGTAAGATTGCAGAGGCATATTGTAGATACACATGCAAGTGACCCTGGCATGCTTCCACATATCACAGGTGTGATTACCTATGTGAAGAGCTTGCTTAAACATATGTGGGTTTGAAGTTCAAGGTGTTTTTCATCTAGGAAGGTAATGCCATTTAATTCAGTCACAGTGAAACTATGTTTCCCATTACTTATCTTCATAAGCCACTAGCCTCCAACTTCAAAATATATTCTGAAATTGAAGTAGGCTAGATACTTTAAAAATCAATAATACATCGGCAACCTTTTTCTGTGATTCAAACCTGAAATAACTCTCCTGAATTTCCTAGTACAGGAGAGACAACTTTAAGAATTATCTTTGTATTCTAGTGCAGCATCTGGATTGTATAATAACTCAGCCGCCCAAGACATTACATTGCGGCATCACTGAAGGTTTCAGAAGCACCTTAATACAATATTTACCAACACTTAAAATTTCCACAGGGAAGCACTCAGCGCACCTCATAAGGAAGTGGTCTCCCTGAACTGGTATGGGCTTGCAGACAACCAAGAAACAGACCCCACCCATAAAAGCTCTAATGAACCATGTGTTAGTTTCAATTTCATGATGAACCTCAGTCTCCTTGTAAATCCCAGTTAAACAAACAGATCTAATGTTCCCCATTCAGCAGCACTACCAGAAAAGGAAAAGCTCAACCATTGCACGTTGGAAACTCCTCAGCATGCAGTTTCCAACCTGTAATATGTCCATATTTCAAGTGTTTAAAGTCCAAGACCTGCCCCCCCAGCTAGCCTACAACCCTCTCTGTTGTTAGGGCCAATCCTTCATCTATACAATTCAATTAGTTGAGCTAAAGCAACTGCAAGCAATGTCACTGTCAGTTCTTAACAAAAAGGATAACCTCCATGTCCTGCTCTACATAGCAAATCCCAGTTCTTTCCATCAGAGCTCACCTGCAACTTGATAAGTTGTCAAGTGACTATTCATGCACTTATGGGGAAAAACATACCTGCCAGGTTTCACATCAGGCCTTGGCAAGTGGCTAGATGCTCAGTAACGTATCTGCCTAGGCAAAACAAAAGCAGTAATTATATTTAACTGACCTAAAATACTGTACACAATAGGTGGCGACTGAAAAGAATGCATATATGTACATACACTTCGTGCTTCCTCCCTCAGCTACTTAGCTACCGACCCTTTGAACTCTAATGGAATCTTCATGCATCAGTCAGTTGAAGACAATAAAAAAGGCAGCTGTAGACACCAGTCACTTTGCAGCAGTACACTAACACAATTAATTAGGTATTGGTGTGAGTTACTAGCAAAATACAAAAAGATTTTGATGTGCACCAGTAGTCTCTGTATTTGAATGCAAGCAGCCTCTGGCACAAACATGCTATTGGATACAGAATGCCTGTGCCTCTTCACTGGATAGATCTATATCCTGGACAACACCCTCTATTAGTAACAACAGTAGTTAGCAAGAGCCATCTGGTTTTGATCAGCAGGGTCACTAAGTCATACTACATGCAAAACACATAATATTTGAATTAACAGAAAAATTTCAAAAAGACTTAAAAACAATAGCACGAACTGGCCAAAAGGTTAAATATTAAAAAATATATACCCAACATTTTAACTATTCCACTAGTATGCCTTTTTTTCTTGAAATCACCCAAGTTATATGAAGGCTAAAAGTAATGACAACCCACGTATCAACTAGGGACAAGGGATTTAACTACTGCTTTGCTCTTCAGTGCCAAAACACACATTCTGAAATTCCCACTCACTTTTTTGCCTAATCTCAGAAGAACCCAGGAATTTCCTGTGTTTAAGCTCCCTAAGTACCTAGTATCCGAGGCAAGCCATGGTCATAAGCACCTTGATCTCAGCAACAATGTGGAGTTAGAAGGATAATTAGATATCTCCTGTCGATCACTGAAATTTTGTACTCATTGTTCCTTCAGCACATCATTTCATAGCTGCTGTGATTTGGGGTTTTTAGCTCAAAGGAGTGCTTCAGAAACTTCCTCTGCAGCCATAAGCAAAGAGAGATGACATGTTGTTGTTTTATCTCACAGACCAGAAGGGCGCAGGCGCAGCTCTGTGGTAGTGAGTCTGCCTGGACTGCAAGTGCTCCCTGGAGACCTCCTGGTGTCAGACACTGCAATGGACTACATGCCCCACGCGGCCCTCTTGCTAAATGCAGGTCAGATATAGGGTGGGGTTTCTTCATCCAAAAATGCATGTGTGTGCATGGGATAGGGAGGGAGGACCAGTGCAATGATTACACACAAGGCGTTTGTGGGGGATGCTGTAACCCACAGCAAAGAGACTGCATTGTTAATTTAAAAATTCCCATCAGTTTGTTCTTTTTGCCTGAATGTTGTTGTTGAATACAAAATCTAATAGGTAGATGAGGTGGGGAGGACACAGATCACCTCCTTCTTCCATAGGCCAGGCACAACCGGAGCCCAAACCAGGATCTCCATCCACAAGCAGTTGAGTTACAAATCCCAACCTGTACAGCTTCAAGCAGAAGGAAGAGACTGGCCTGTGTGACCCTTTCAAGCAGTTTTCAATCACAAGGATAGCAGACCCAAGTTATGGCTAGAGATTGCCCGAAAGAACTTCCACCAGCAAAATGTGGACCTGCAATCAATGTCCACAAATACCTACTGTGGAACATAGAGAGATTGCCAGTGACCAGAGATCAAAGTTCCTTAAAAAAATAAGTCAGTCAAGGTCACAACCAGCAGCTTCATGAAAGCAAACAAGCCAGCCAGTGATGAAGGACTTCAAAAACCAAAAGGAGAAAGTTTTGACTGTGATTCCCAGTCACACACTTGCCTGAAGGTAGGTGCCACATACATATAGAAGAAATTTGTTCCAGATTTCTTGCTGAACAAACACAGGCATTCCTCACCTCTCACCCAGTGCATTCCTACATCTAGATCCTTAGCTTTCCCTGCGCCGCACTAAAGACCATGAGCTACCGCCTACAGCATTGTGCCAGTCCCATGACAGATCTGAGGCTCAGAGTTTGTAGGGTTGTTTATTCACAGGAGTTTTAAATACCTGCATAGCTCCAAGATATCACTAATGAGCAGACAAAGCCAAATTCTTGCTTCAAAACAATATACCTTAAGGTATGATGTGTTTTCCCATGTAAAGAGCTGGCAATCACACAGTGATCATCTGCAGCAAGTGGGAGTGTTTAGCGTCATCCAAGATCCCATTACAGACAGACAATTCTTGCTGGGAGGAACCCAACAGGCTTCATGGGTTTTAATTCTGGTGCACAAACTGTCTAAACACAAGTATTAAATCTGAGCCAAGTAGAGTATATAGGCTTCATCTTAAACCAAAAAAACAAAACAAAACAAACAAACATATAAATAACAGGGGGTTTTTTTAGTTATTTGTTTCTTTACTAATAACACGCTTGTTTTACCCCTTAGAGTCCAGAAAAACCAAGGTGGCCATTTGCCAAAAGAGGAGTTGTGAGTATTTAACTTCTTTGTTCCCCCTTGCACTGGCCTTGCCTTCTCCCACAACTAACTTGGGTAAAAAAAGAGTTTCTTTACTACCTCTGGAGAATAGCAGCCAGCAGGTGAGCTGAACTCGGAGGTCTCAGCCCACCCTGGGCTTGGGCATTAACCTGCAATGAAGGCGGGTAGCTCCAGCACAGCCACCAGCACCACTGCACTTGAAAACAGTCGGTGCTGCTGCTCTCCATCCCCATGGGTGGTGGAAGGAGAGGTGCCCTTAGCTGGGAAGACAGCACAAGAGCTCTCTCTCATTCAAGGTGTTCAGTGGTAGCAGCAGGTCCACTGCAGCTCTCCAGGGTAAGAGGGCACAAGGTGAGCAAGCCAGTCTCATCATTGCTTTGACCACAGTGTATCCTGTATTTTCTGCATGCCAACCTAGACCTTAGGCCCTTAGGGCTCTGGAATATTTGCCTAACTACCACTCATATGCGAGGGATCTAGGCTCTACCTATAAAAGTAGCTTCCGGGATGCTTTCTTAGGCCTTTCCTGTCTTCATGGGTGCCCCACACACACACTTGCCAATATAATCATAAACACCACCACAGTTCAGTTAACTTCCTTGTCTAACACATTTCTGTGTCTTTTCCAGTTGTGAAAATTTTCACCTACTATGGTATTTAAATTTCCCTTACGAGTGTTGTTCATCATTTCAAAAAATATCATTTACAAGTGTCTTGGTATCTTTGCACTCCTAAACATGGAATTGTGTGCAGTCCCTTCCTCATATTATTTGCATTTTATCTTCTAAACCTCAATTATCAAAGGAGAGTTTGTGCAAGTGAAACCAATGCAAATATTCAGATTACACATACAATAATCCCCACTTCATTTGACAGCATTCCTATACCATTTGAAGGAGCATGGTCTAAAACTGAGAATTTTTAAATTAAGAAAAATATTTGAAATCAGCAATAAAATGCATTTGATATTTAGCCAAAAGTGATTTCTGAAACTGTTGAATGCCATGAAATTTGAGGGTTCATTGGTTAAGTGGGTGTATGTAAAATTGCATTACTGTTTCTGCTTCATTTCAAGCTAACTTTCAAAATTAAGAGTTGAGCTTAAACTCTGAATTTCAAATATTATAATCAAACACATATTTCAAAATTGGCCTGTGTTCAGTGCCTAAAGTTCAGACAACAGAAATCCGTAAAGTAAGAGCATACTGTTCCAGAGAGCAGATAAAACTTAAGCAAACACCTTACATATAGACTTACCTTACAACTCTGTGCTCACAGCACTGATTTATAGTTCATAAATATTGGTTAAACTTTTTACACGCACTGTTGGCCTGAAAAATAAAGCCAAACCAAAAGCAATTGTATTTATTTCATGATCCCTCCCACAAACTCTTCCTGCTCTCCAAGCTTTCTGAAGCTCATTTTATAGACACTACTCTGCAACTGACCAAAGGAGTCTTTTTTCAACATGTAGCCCCAAAAAAATAAACAAGCCTGCAAACTTTGCATGCCTATGGCAGGAGGATGATTTCAACCATGAGGCTTTTGTTCCCTCCTTCTGACAGGGCTGAAGGAAACAAAGCCTTTTATTTGCACTGTCTTCTGAGATAGCCCATTATTTGTTATTACCATACTGATGAGTTGCCCTGGCAAAAATTTCTGTGTTACATAAATAATACCTTTCATACCTACACAACCCCACCCATAGCTACAACTAAACCTGCCATCAATGCTTCATGTCTGTGTAGGAGCGTCTTGGAGATAAAAGGTAATCATTCAGTTAAGGGCAAGCTCATTACAGATCAGAGCAAGGTGAACTGAACTGGGTAAACTTCTTAACAGTCTTTAAAATACTGTATGAATTAGGGATATTTTTTTGTTATTCAACAGGCTAAAGACAAACAGAAGCAAGTATCTGATCTGGAAAACTGTCTTTCAACTGTTCAGATCATAGACTTCAGCACGTATGAATTTTTCTGCTTTAAGGTATCAAAATACTAAGTGTACTGTACCAAGGATATTGAAAGAAGGGGATAAAAACTTTGTCTTATTTTCAAGTTACCATTTTTCATTACATTAATCTGAATACGAGACCTTTGTGTAAAATTAATGTATAAGCATAAGGTATATTTTTGAGGCCCTTATTGACATGGTTTAATGGTTGGCTTGGAAGTCCTGGGGTAGCAGTTGGACTTCATGATCTTAAATGTCTACTCCAGCCTAGTTGATTCTATGATTCTATGAAATGGAGGGGCAAGGGGATTAGCAAGGAACTGACTTTGGAGCAGGTCACTGAGGTGGTAGCAGCTGCCTTAGGACTAAACAAAATATCTAAGTACCTATGAAGACCCAGACCTTCTGTACTTCAATTATACCATCTGGAAAATAGGAAGCTCTCACACATCCCTGCTTTCCAGCAGCAGCACAACATATTAAATTCTTTAGCATTTGAAAGCTGCCCACTATTTTTTTCATACAGCATCCTTCAAACATAGGCTATCATACAGTGTTATTTTCAGATTCAGTACTTTTATGTTACCAATAGTTTGGAGGAAAACATCAGTTTTTAAAATCTCTTTTGAAGGCCTCTTTAAGCTTTCAGAAGAATTGCTAACAATGGCAGTCAGGCTCTTTGCAACAGTTAGTGGTTTTCTTTCTTCTTCAATCAATAGAGTAAATCTTGGTGTGAATTTGTACAGGCGCAACAGACAGAGCAGAAAGATGTCGACAGGCAGTTCGAAGTGAAAAAAGAAGCAGCAATGTGGGAACTTTTCACAAGTGAATGCACCTACTTTCTGGATCATTTGCTGGTTCTAAAAATGGTAAGTTCAGATTTCATTTCTCAAAAATAAGTATTTGCCCTGCTGCCAGCATGGCAGACATAAAGCTGCCTGTAACCCCTCATTGAGTGTCTGTGGGGGAATGACTTAAGTAGTTGTTTTTTCTCCCATCTTGCTGTTTCCCCAGTTCCCTTTGGTTTTTAACTTCTTTATAGCATCTCTTCTTCCAGATATCACTTTCTAGTGCTTTGCAAACACCATCTGATTGCAGATCCTGCCAGTAATTTCAGCTGATACTCTCCTATTCTTCTCACTAACGGTGAAACCACTCTCCAATTGACCATACTAGATGTTTCTCTACCAGTGGTCTGTAACACTATAATCTTAGTTTAACTTCATATAGAGCCATGGTTAGATTATCCTAAATAGAGCATAAAAATCTCAGAATTCAGCAGACCTGTAGTTCTAATATTACAAGAAAACAAGGAAACTAATAAACAACTCCTCTCCCAAAAACTCCAAATTGTCTCCATCCATCATGGTGAACTTTAAGAGCTTTGAAATATGGACAAGAATATTAGACACTGATACAGTAACTGCACAATTTACATTCAACACACATCAAAAGTTAGTGTACCCATTTAAAAGGACGGAAGCTTCCCTAAATATCTTCCTAATGCTTTTCTCTTATTCTGCAAAGAAAGTTTCTGTTCTCTCATTAGTCAGAGGAAAAGATTAGTGAAACATTTTCCATGTTGCTGCAAAGTTAGACCAGGCAGCACAAGAAATACTGCAAAGAAAAGGGAATAGAGAACTGGGCTGAACTCCTCCTTGGTGGGGCAGAACAGGAAGGGAAAGTGGTGGACCAGGACCAGCTGTTGGTCCAAGGCAAGATGGAAGCATCCTTCCTTCCATACACTTTGTTCAAGGATCTGAGAAGATTAAAAACAGGTGAATCCTTTGGAAGGATGACAACAGGAGACACACAGGCCCCTTGGTGAGTCTGATGTAGGAACCCACAGACAAACCTTAGCCAGGCTCCTGTGACCTGTGAATGATGAACTATTCAGCCCATGCTAGCTTCCCAAACTTTTCTGCCAAAGAAGGAATCCACTGAATTTGGATAGCCAATTTTAGAGATACCTGCTACTCTAAATACTTCCCAGTATAGGAATATTCCACCGATTTTAACAAATCTTCACAGGGAACTTTAAAACCACTGTAAATCCCCTTCAAGCTCTCAGGTCAACTGCTCGTGGCGACAATTACACAAGGCTAAGCAAACCCTCCCACTAACTCTTCAGTATTGGCACCTGGATGATAGTTTGGTGGGTTTTGGTTTTTTTTTCATTAGTGCTTTTCACACATATACAAGAACTCTACTCAGTAATCTACATTGTTTAAGCGTTTTTCAGATTTAGGTCAGATTCAGCACAGCTCCAAGATCACCATCAGAGCTCAAATACTATAAAATCTTAAACAGCCAATAAGTATCCATGCAGTTTTCACTCAATACAGGCTAATAAAACAATCCAAAGAGATGAAAAACCTTCATGAGCACTCCACTTACACTATTACAACCATTTCTTAACCCCCATACTAACTCTAAACAACTTCTATAGCAGCAGATACATGGGATATGGAGAAAAGCATTTAGAAAAGTCATCATTACAGAAATCTGTAACAATGACTCTGATGTTATTAATTCTTTCACACAGAAAGAATGCTAGAGGACCCAGCAGGGACATAGCTGCCTCTGTGGCAGCCACAGAACACCCCAGGGACATCACTCATACCCTCCTCCTCAGACAAAGCCCAATATTTAGCCCTCAGGCAGGTCTGGAAAAGTTTCACAGAGTGTCATCTTCTGCCCTCCCCAGATGAAATAATCATTTAGTAAGAATTACAGTGCAAACATGTTCTCTTCAGGAAAAAGGCAAAAAAAGAGTACAGATACATTGAATTGCCTCAAACAATAGGTAACATGGATTTGTTTTGTTTTTAAAGGTATTTATGAACACTCTAAAATGCCTCCAGACTAATGAACTTATCTTGGATGTGGATTTATGGAGACTTTTTGCAAACTTAGAGGAGTTAAACAAAGCGAGTAAAAAAAAAATAACAGTGTTATTGAGATCAGAGACCAGCCCAATAAAAGGAGATGAGAAACCACCCATAAAGCTGCTATTAAGATTCAGTGTTCACAACTGGGACTTAGTTCAAATAATTAATCTTTCCTTTCTCTCTATTTGGTATATCAGGGGTTCAGATTTCACTGGTGCAAATTATTCTCACGCACCTCCAGCAAAAGATAAACAGGCATTTGCCCAGCAAGGAGAGCTTGTTTGGCAGCTGTTTCTGAAGTAAACATGAGATTGAAACTAATTCTCATAAGCAGCATCCTTTTGGAGATAAACTCTGACTGCACAATCCTTACAGCAAAGCAGCAACAATGGCAAAATAACTTCAATAACAAGTTTCCTTCTGCAAACGGACACAAAAACTTTGCTATCTATAGTGCCACTCCAGCAGGGCAAGTTAAAACAAAAGACTAACCACTCCTCTCCTCTGAGGTTTCCCTCAGTGTGAGTGGATGTTTCCCACACAGACTGGATGCTCTGTGTTCATGTGCTACTTACCCTCCAGCTTCCAGGAGGAGGGAGACCACGTGGCTTGGCTGTGATGAGCTCCAGCTCTTTGCTGCTTGTGGCCAGCCGCTGGGAGACCATTTCCAGCTCTGAAAGTTAAAGGAAGCCATAAGTCCAAAGCAGCTTTTACGTAACCTCAGAAGCAAACCGAATCTTTTTCTTAGCTTGAGAGCTCTCTTTCAGGACACCTTGTCCTTAATAGCAAAGTGACTTTTTGGAAGGTACTCTCCAGCTACATAAATGGAAGGAAAGCTCTTCAAAGTAGGGGCAATTAGCCAGAGCTTAAACACATCAGCAAGTCACTCCTGCTCTGCTCAACCTCACACCAGGTGAGCTGCTGTGAGTGACCACCTGAGCAGGCCTGGCATTACAAGAAAAGGTGTTTAGCTGATGTGTTTCACCTTGCACTTGTTGTGTACTAAGACCATACACACAGCCAACTACCAGAGTTCAGCTTATGTGTGGTTGCTGATTCCTTTGTTCTTGTTCAAGGAAACACGTGGGTTATAATGCTGTGTGTCATTTAGCAATCACAAAAGCTTTGAGCTTGGCTGGAGCTGGGTTACGTCTAGAGAGAATTTTCTTTAATACATTTTCTGTTTTGTTTTCTAATTTTTTGTCCTTACTAATAAGGATGTTAAATGATCACGCTTTACTTATACTTGTATATAAACCAGTGATCAAATTCTGGAGAAAATACCTGTTTTCAATGCCTTTTATGTATTTTTTCATGCATTTACATCCATTTCTTCTTGACAGCAGGCTGAATCCATCAAAAAATGCATGTTCTAAAAGGCATAAAATACACCCTTGTCATAATGAAACAATAAGCATCATCTTATAAGCAACACTGTCCCCATAAATACACCAAACAAAGCCATGTGTGAACCTCCAACAGCAGTTCTTAACAGTATCACAGACGATGATGTTTCCTTCTGGCCTAAAATTTGGCCTAAAGCTGAGCCTGGTCATGAATTTGTGTGCAAATAGTGTGTTAAGAAAGCAAGTGTGGGTTTAGGAGCAGGCTCTCATCTGCATCTGACTGACAGTGTGGGCACCCTTCAATCCAGTGCAAAGACATAAAGTTAACTTTTGGGGAATATGTGACTTTTTACAGCATTTTATAGAGATTTCCCTCATCTCCAACAGCATGAAACAAACTCAAACTATGAAAAATGATATCTTCTTCAAAGGACCATGAAGATTCCTTTATCATCACAGCTAGGTCATATGCAGTGTTTTCCAATAGACAATTTTTCATGTCAATTCATGTCAGATACAGCTGCTGCCCTAAAATAAGTTTAAATGGAATAACTAATCTTGTTTCAAAGCTTTTGTCACATGGCATTACCATGACGTAAATGCATATTTGTATAGATTTGATTTAACTTCTAACTAAAGCATTCATGATGTAAGTCTGAAGATAATTCTGGCAATGCTGGGAAGATAAGTATAGGCACCCTATTGGGATGGGACCAGGGATGGGAAATAAAGTTGTTTTAAACTTAACTTCAGAAGATCATTGCTGCTAATTCCTCTTCTTTTTTCCAATTACTTAGATAAGTCTCACTTTTCTGCAAACTTTTTTTGAAGCCGTGAAGGAGCACATCAGAAAGTCAAACTCTCCAATGGATTTCAGCTCCACACTCAGAAAGGTAACATAATTACAAGTATTCTTATTTAATACCAGGAAAGCCTTGCAGCAGGCCATTTATCATAGCATTCAGGTGATTTAATGCAATCAAATCAGTCAAGGACACGCCATCTGTCACAGACAGTTTGGTCTCAGCCTGAAGCACCTTCTCTCAGTAGGATGTTTTCCTTTTTATTCATTGGCATGTTTGAGGTGGTCATGGAAAGGTGCTCTGTATGTGGAGCTAAGTCTGGAAATGTTTTCTCTTCCTTGAGATTAAGTAGCCCAGACCTTGAGGAGACTTTGCCACTGGCAGATGTGAGCTTCTCACTCTGTGGAAGATGTTCTCCCTGAGACCAGACTCCAGCCCCACCACTGGATGTCCTTGTCTCCTTTCACTCCACTGCATAGATCCTTCCTTTATTCCATGGACTAAACTCACAACTGTGTTAAAGTGCTTCATTAAGAGCTCACTGGGACTGAAATACTTCTTACTCTTTGGCCTTTGCCTGCTAAGCAAGAGAGAAGCACAGACACAGCTGTCCTGCCACTGCTAAGTACTGCAGAAAACTTCTGGAAAATACTAAAACAGACCCTATCTGAGGGTTAGGATTTTAAAAAGGGGGAGTGAGGCTAGAGCTTATCTTCTCAGCCCCATTACCTCTGTCTTCAGGCATTCTCACCAATAATGTGTCTGTGAGACAGGTGGAATCCCAGACAAAATTGAGTTTTATCATGGGTGGCACATAACATTTCTAAGAGCTATCTAACACACTCAATATAAAGTGACATGCTATACAAGGGCATGTAAAGCTGTTGCATAGATAGTAGGTTTATGTTCAGCTTCCACATGAATTTCACATGACACTTATTTCTAATGAGAATAAAGTCTAAGGATTCTTCACACCTCTGGAGAGCTGTTAGAACTGTGCTCCCACACATTGTTGAGGGTTTTTTACTACTTTACCACTTTTACTCCTTTTTAAATTGCCCTTTTCTTAACTCCCCTTTGTCTCTTCCCCCATTTTCCTAGGTAGGAGTAAATCTCAGGTAAAACACACATTACGAAACCAAAACTGTTGTTTCTCCTTTTGGCGTGTCTTGATAAATTTCAAAGTCTTTTCTGCAGCTTTTCCAGGGTGACCTCTGCCAGACACATCAGATATATTGTCTTAATTATACCTCCGCTGTCTTCTACTTGGAAAACCTGAGACAGAGAGAAGAGTTTGGCATCTACCTGAATGTAAGGTGATGGTGATGATGGTGGTGGTGATGGCTTCAGCCTTTCTGCCTCATGACATGATTTTAACAGCAGACTAGGGAAGTTCATTGGAAGCAAAACTGTGTAGGTAGCATTTTACACAGATTTTTTGAACTGCAGAAGGTATCACAGATATGAAATCACCCTCCTGAGTGTATGCTCCTCTGCACATGTGAAAGCCCATACTTGTAATTCAGAACAGACAAGAGGGGGAAGCAAAAAAGGAACAACTGGCTGCATTTCTGAAGGCAGAAAGTATGTACTGCCAGCCTCTATCATTCATGTGTTTTGCACATAATCCCTTGACATGGTGACCTCCACCTTAACAAAGTGAAATTGTTACAGAAAAAAAGGAAGCAAAAATCAATCAAGGCACATTGTAAAATCTTTCTCAAGTGTGTTACCTTGATACATGTCCTGCACATCAGCTTGGTTTAGGTGTTGGGTAGGAACACAGCATATAGGGTATTACACTCCTTAGCAGATGATAGGGCTCACATTCCCTGAGTACAAAACAGCCCCCAGCATCTACACTATGCCACAGTGACTGGAGAAGCTTATGACGGGTTTCTTCTGCATAAGGAAAGGGCTATATGATAAAAGCCAATGTAAGGGAAATAGAAATCCAGGTGCACATCAGTGCTTTCTTGGCACCTTTGGTGAAAGGGCAGGGTGGGTTTTGGCTGAGCCCTGGCAAGAAAACAGGGCTGCTTTCCTCACTTATGGGTATTGCTGCCCCATGTGCACTCAGGGAAGGAACATCCTGGATAGAACAAGCAGCAAACCTCTGCAAAGACAGGAATAAAATTAATTATCTTCCTAGTAGATTGTATAGTGCTGTGTTTCAGATTTAGGATGAGAATAATGATAACATGCTCATGTTTTAGTTGTTGCTAAGAAGGGTTTACACTAAGTCAAGGACTCTTCTGCCTCTCACATCACCTAACCAGCAAGTACGTCGAGGTGCACAAGAAGCTGGGAGGAGACACAGCTGAGACAGTTGACCCCAACTGACCAAGGGATATTCCAGACCACATGGCAACATGCTCAACATATAAACTTGGGGTAAAGATAGCTGGGTGCCACTGCTTGGGAATTGGTTGGGCATCAGTCAGTGGGTGGTGAACATACTGTGTTGTGCATCACTTCTTTTGTGTATTCTAATTCTTTTATCTTTATTTTTACTTTGCCTTCCATTTCCACCCAATTAAACTGCCTTTAGGTCAATCCAGGAGTTTCATTTTCCCCTTACCCCCCAGTTCTCTCCCCCGTTCTGCTGGGTGAGGGGAAAGTGAAAGAGCAGATGCACAGTGTTTAGCTACCTACCAGGTTAAACCACAAATGTTTTACACTGCCTTTGCTCTCACTGTGTGAGCAGTTCACCTTTAATTAGTCCCAGTCTCATTACAGTCAGCTGATGACGCAGAAAACAATGAGGCATAAAGCAGGTTTTTTTATCTTCAGCAGTGGTGTGAACAAAAGGAACAGTGAGAGAGACTGCATGTCAGAGCTGCTGGTCTCTCCTTTGCATCAACTGATGTGCTATCCCCTCCTCCTCAACAACATCTGGAAGAGGAGCACTGATGAAACATAGAAAGGCTTTATCCAGTCACTTAAAGAAAAGGTGGAAAAGTCCATATGTAAGTAGCTAAGGTTAAAAGTCAATTGTGCAATTAACTATTTGCTAGTTATGTGGCCGTTTGTGCATGAGTGTGAATTGGCCTGGTCTCCCTGGAGAGATGCAATGAGGATGTGCATGCCTTTCTACAGTCCTGAGCCTTTCTTCATTCTGTAGGAAATGATTGGTGCCACCCTTGGGCTGTCAAACCCTCTCAAGGGTTTGACAAGGTCACAGGACTCCCAGATCGTGAGTCACCTGTATTTGCTCAGAATCGTCTGCAGTAACATGCAAACAATTAACAGGAGTTCACAAATAAGAGCAAATCAGGAAAGTTCTCAAAGAAGGAATCCCTTGAGTTGGATTTATGTCTCAGAAAGCTGTGTTGTGGCTAATCCTTAATAGGATAAAATTGCACTCACAAGGGGAATATTGTGTCAGTGGCCTTTCAATAAATGGCAGGGTCCTACTATACAAAATAGCTGAAGTGCTATCCCAGCTACAGATTTTCTCTAGCTACTATGGAGAAAAAAAGGGATTGGACCAGGATTTTTTTTATTAATTCTACATAATTTATTAATTAGGTCTTGATCAGAAAGCTATAAATGCACCTCTAAGTGTCTTATAGTCACATAGTACATCAGTACATTTATTCCCCAAAGGCCTCATGCAGCCCCTACTAAATCAAAGACAAGACAGTACATCAGCAAGACACTGGAGAGGTGCCAGGCAGTGCCTCATCCTCACCAGCAGTACACTCAGCATGGTAGTAAGCTCTCTGCCATCATTCTTCTCCCCATCCTAGAGGCTGAAGGGTCAAGCATCTCCTTTGGAGATGAGGCAGAGAGTTAATGTCTTCTAGAGACAGATAAATCTGGGGCTCCTTCCTCTTAGGTGAATACTCCAATGACAGAATCACCACCTAAAAGAGAGGCCTGGGTTCTTTCCCTTCTTGCCAAATCCTATGAAGTATCTAGCCTAATGGCCACCCAAGGAGTACAGGTTTTGGCAAAGAACAGGTCCCATAGGAAAATATGATTGTTTTTCACTAGTCTAGAGAATTCTGCTGGGCAGACAGCAGATTTAGGTATGCCCCAAAAGACCATGGGATACCTGTGGAATATACCTGGCAAAACAAAAAAAAAAATAGGTCCTTCCAGAGTTTAGATATTTCTGGGCTAAGGAAAGGAACCATAGAGGGGTGACCCCTCTTTATCACAACACCTAACAAAGATGTGGCTTCAGTTTTTGATCAGAGAATCAGTGACATAAGGAACAGCTGCAGTCCCAGAATTCCCCTTCTGATGTTTGTGTGTGTGTGTGTGCCTGAAACCATTATCTGCAATATCACTCAACTCAAAAACCTGGAGTTCAAGTTGCGTGCTCATTAAGGTTTTCCCCATAACAGCCCTGAATCAGCAAAGACTTAGTCTCCACTTCTCACCTTCTGAAATACCAATCCCAGTCTTTGGTAGGTCCTGGCATCACTTCCCTCAAAATGAATTCTCACTGCTTTCAACAGTCTTTTTACCAGGTTGTATATGGTGAAAAACATTTTTCTCTCACTAGCCCAGACACTTTAAAAAAAAGCAGCATTTTTTAAGCAACTTTTAAAGATTCCAGTTCAATTGAGTTTTATACAATTCCCCCAGTTTCCCAACCAGATTAGCAAACACCACCTTTTCATTTTGCCCTGAATTTAAGCATGTTTGAATGCAAGATTAGAAATTCTGGTTCTACAGACCTAAGAAGAGCTTAAGCATTTTTTACAGTGAGGCCAAGATTTTATCTGGGACTTAACATGTGAGGAACTTTGGCTTCTATTGGAGAGAAAACAATATTCAGCATCATCTGGAAACAGGACTGGGTTTGCCAGCCTTGGCAGTAACCAATGTTCCACATATTTCAGGGGATCTGGAAGGTAAAGTCAAGTGGTTGGACAACTTTCAGAAGTTCAGACAGCTGCAAGAGGTCATAATTTGGCCTCAGGTCTGGGATCGTGACAAGAGATCCTTTGTCCCAGAGGTAAGCAGTTTTCTAAAGGGCATTTTTCCTCGAGGAATGTTTAGTTTCCTATCTATCTTTACAGTGTGGTCTCAAGTTGGCTGCTTGTCTATATTTTAGTTGTGGGAGATGGCTTTGCTCTAACAGGAGCAGCTGCAGCCTGAGCACTACAGATACTATAGCTGAACATACAGGCTGTGCACAGTGCCTTGGATGATAGCATGGGCTGCTCTTAGCTAGCATTCGAGAGAGTACGATCCTGTGATCCAGGAAGACCCTCCAGAAGTTGCTTTTAGGGGGCATAATGAAATGGGATAGATATAAGTATTACTACTTTTTTATAAGGTTATGAAGCAGAAATTATTTGCCTCTTTCACTCCTCAAGCTGAGCCAAAGAAATTTCTATTGACATTAAATACACAGTATACCTAGGAACATGTGTACCTTTGTGCTGTGGTTACCCCCTTAGCCTTACATACAGACTTCAAGCATTATGGTAATATCATCAAGTGGGTCTCACCTCAAGGATTGTGTCTGTTCACACACAGGGCTGCAAAAAACATTAAAACCACTCCGGAAAATCAAAACACAGCTTAACATTTCAAAAGCTTAAACACATTTAAGCAACAGCACTGTTGAAGAAACGTAGCCATGCTCAGTTATTAACTATGTGATGTATTTAACCTGAGATAAGAGAACACGTGTACTCAATTTAACTGCTGGCTGCCTTGCAGTTCTCCATCAGATGTGCAAGATTCCCTATTCACTCTCTCTCTCTTTTTTTGGGTCAAGTGTTTGAAGCAAAGCCTAAGGGAAAACGTCAGTGAAAACATTTTGTGTTCAACAAACAGACTTCTTCATGAAGGGAGGCTAACACTAGCAGGTAACGTCCCTAAATATCCCAGTATCAGGAGCTAGCTGAACGGAATCATATTTTGCTGTGGCAGATCCAGAATGAATCTCTGCAACTGTATTTGGGCAGGTGTGGGAAAGAAAAAGCAAACGTACAGCTTGTCACAGAGAGACTGAGGAACAGGAAAGCTGCCAAAAGGATGAGTAATCTGCATGGTTGTTTACTGTCACATCTGGATATTCAGTCTGCCAGGTGCTGAAGAAATCAGCTTGACTAGCCAATGCCTACACTCAAAGGGAGCATTTTACTGTCACATTCAAGAATGTGTCAGTAAGAAAACAGGAAGTTTAGACTGTCCTATACGAGGTACCTCATGTGCCTGGGGACCGATGTCAACACAACTCACCTCTCTGGCACCATATCAACCATGTGTTTCCTTGAAAATCACTGAAAAGTCCAGAGGTTTTTCCTGTTTTTATTTCATATTTCTTCTTTGCTAAGACTGCTGTTTTGATGGATGCCTTGGAACAAGAAGGTGTTATCCTGGCAAGTGGCTTCCCTTCTATGAACAGAGCACTCCTACAACATGACATTAACTCCACAGGTAGCACAGTGGTCCCACACGAGCATATTGATTTCTTCATCTCTGTTTGCAGCTGTCTATCATGCTGGCAGAGTGGAGACTCATATCTCCAGACAAACAGGCACCATTCTGTGGCAGGGTACAGGTTGCTTGCTGGCAAGCTGCTGCAGAATCTACATCTGGAGAGGAAAAGCAAATGTCCTCCTTGTATGAGCAGGAAGGAGAGCCTGGTCAGTTTGGAAAAGACCATCATGTGAAAGGATGCTGGAAGCTGCATGCTATGGTGGATGCAGGGCTATAAAAATTGACAGAAAGGAGCAGAGCCCATGTCTTATGTTTCCTTCACCACCTCCTCAGAAATAGAAGTGAAGAGAATAAACTTTCTGTCTCCCACCACCATTATTACTGTTATAAAAGGAGTAGCAAAAGAAACACGGTGTCTATTTTTCAGTGTTTCATGAGGAGCATTATAGTTGCACAGAAGGCAAGAGAAGTGGTTGCTGATGATGTTTAGGGGGTGGCAGGCATAGCTGAAAAAAAGCCACTGAATCCTCTCCTTTCCATGCTTCCCTCTGCACTCATTGATCTGTTGATGAGACATCAGCCCCCAGTGCAGGAGGTAAGGGTGGCCGTTGGTTGGCTACATTTCTTTCTGCAATATGTAATCAAAAAATGGAAGGAGGTATGAGCATAATTCTTACCACCAAGCCAGCTGCCTGCAATCTGTAATATAAAAGTGCCTGGCAATCGGCACTTGCCTGAATTAAATATCTTTCAAGACAAAAATGAAATCGCAAGTCAAATGAAATACCACACAACAGAAAGCTTGTCCTAAAGTCATCGCCCTGAACAGGCTCACATACATTTGGTGTTAAAGTGAATGTGATTGCTTGAATGAAACAGAGATCACTGAGACTACAGTTGCTTGGGGCTTTTGTAATCATGTAGCTGAGAATAGGAGCAGCTGAGAGAAGTGGATTTGTTCAGATGTAGGAACAGAAGGCTTAGGGAAGACCTTAGTGCTGTCTTCACTGCCTAATGGATGGTGTAAGGCAGATGAAGCTAAAGGCATCTTGGTGTTGCACAGAGAAAGGATGAGATATAACAATGCAAGTTGTAGCATGGGGTATTCCTACATTAGATACTTGTAAAAAAAATTAACAATTAGGGTGGTCAAATAATGGTACAGGGGACCAGAGAGGTTGCTTTTATGATGCTATCAATTAACATTTCATCACTACAAAAGCCTGTGAGGAGGGCAGCATACCAGTATTTAAAGGTACCAGGGAAAGGTGGCACTTCCCTCTTTATCTCTGCCATTTTCAGAGGGTTCACTGTTTACCAGGTAGGATTTGCTAATTTATAGCATGCCAATGGTTGCCTTTGTAGGTACTCCAGGGGATCCAGGTCACTTTTCCTGGCAGTCAAGTAGTTGTTATTCATGAGGTAGCTGCTACAAGGTACAAGTATTAGTAGCCAAAATCAACAAGAGACATTAAGTACCGCATTTGAGAGTGCAGACCAGGGGAGAAGTAGCTGTGTACTATGTTGGAAACCATGCTTCTTTGTTAAAAGCATTTTATCCAGTGCTTTTAACAGGCATGATTCACAGATGTGCTTCATTATAAAATAACAATTCCTTAAAATAGTCACACCATAAAACTGATTTTGTTTTGGTTTTCTCCTCAGAAAGCACAAGACTCCTTGACATCTACCTCTTCCTGTTCAACAGTTTCCTATTAATTACCAAAATTAAACATCACAGAAAGGTAATAATGGATAGAGATCTACATGGTTGTGGTTGTTACGGTTTTTAGCTTGGTAAATATTTTGAGTGCACTTTGGAAGACTGACCTAATGATAAATACAAGATGTCTCATCAGCATGAAGGACTGGTGATACCTCCTTAATAGAAAACCATAACACTGATTCAAAACACTGCTTCTAGGCTCAGTATGTCACAGACACACTATGACAGGCAGAATTTACATTACAAGACCTTAGTATTTGCCTGTGTGCCTGGTGGAGTTCCGACACGCTGGATTCCCGCGGCTCAGAAAAGTGCAAGGTTATGATAAGGTTTGTAATGCTCCCTCAAGACTCAGTTCAGCACCTGAGAAATTTTTATCCCAGAGGTATCAGAACTCTTGGAAAGAAGTAGAAAAAAGGAGGGGAGGCAGGAGAAAACAGGGAAATGGAAGGCTGGCTTTGTTCTCAGCGCTAACACAGTCTATTGGACATCTCCTCCCTTTGCCTTGATTTCTTGTTGTTGTTTAAAATGGAGGGAGTTCTATACATGATAAATATCTGTATTTAGCCACCAAAAAAGGGAGCGGATGACCTGATATTACTAAAGCTTCAGTGCAGGTGTGCATCTAGCTAATTAAGTTTATGAAGCTGATGTCAATTAAGGCTAAGTGAACCTATGCTGATCTCAAGACCTTTGTGTCTGATTTAAAAACTTGGGTTTTTCTTTAAAGAAGTAGGTGTTCTGCTTCTGTAGGAGATAGGGAATGCATGCAGTGAGAGATTCTAGATCAGCAGCACCATCCCTTAGCAACAGAGGTGGATGAAGGGAGCAGGGATTCAAGGGACCCACAGGCAAGTCTCAAAGGGTTGTCCAACATATATATTTTGGGGAACCTTCTGTAAAGGGCTGCAACCTATCTGGCAGTCCAGATAATCTGGTGCCCCTGGCACCGTCTGCATCTATGCGAGGGGAGGAGTTGAGGAAACACATCTCCAAGGGATGGAGAAAAAGTCCTGCTGTTAAATCGGAGGGGGGGGGGGAAGGCGGAGAAAAAAAAAAAAAAAGAGAGAGTTTTGAACACTTTTGTTTTCTGCCTGTGGACTCATACTGTGTTTCTAATGAGGCTTTTTAGTACAAGGTATGATGTAGAGCTCCAGGTACCAAAGATTTTTCTGAGGTTCCTCAAGCAAGTAAGCTGTCTGAGTAACTTTGGTAAGAGAAAGCACATAATTTAGGCCTGCTTAGTGCGTAAACTTCATGAGCAGATGGCAGACAACCAGCTAAGCAACTTCATCTTCTATTCCCAGAAATACAGGAGCTCAGACACCAGTTTAATGCCTGTCTGTCCTTCCCTCACTCCTGAGCTGCAGCCCTTCATCAGAGAGGGTAGATTTTGCACTGTCCTAGACCAGCCCATCCCACTAGACAGACTGATACTGAAAAACGTTGACCCCATACACGTTACAGGTATGTGCCTATGTGCACGTGAACATCTTCATAAATAACAACCTCAGTGCATTGTCTATGTGGCAGTATAAAGGGTAAGATGCTATTTGTCCACAAACCACCCTTAGATGCCTGGGGTGCCTTAGCACTCTGGCTTCACAGCTCTTCTCCTACCATGAAGCATGAACTGCTTACACAGATGTCACATCCCATGTCCCCCTGCCTCTAACAGTGACTTTTACATATGCACCAGATATTACCCGCTCACCCTAAAGGAGGTAGCTAGATTTCAGTGACTTCTTGCTCACAAATCAAGTATTTCCTTGACCTAACTGTCCTCACACTCTGTCAAACCTTGGGCATCCTTCCCAAGCACACTTTCAATCCCATACTAGTTATGCAGCATTTTCTGCAGTTGTCCCACTGCACTGCTCTCCTGGGTGTCCTCACATGTGCACAGCAGCAATTCTCAAGGAGGCTGGAGAGATCTACCTCCTGTTGCTGCTCCTACTCACCTCCCTACCAGCCCTTGAGAGGATGGAAATCACCTACTGTACATCAATGCCTCCTTGCTTAGAGACATCCAAATGCACTGCCAGGGGAAACCAGCCCCAGTAACGGCTGCTGTGCCCTTGGGTGAGGTAGGGAGGAGGACTGACCTCCACAGAGAGTGACCAAACTTACCCTGACAAAACAATGTCCCTGAAGTCACAAATCAGAGCTTGGGTGAGGGAGCAGGCATGAAACATCAGGTTTCCCTTTGGTCTGAGCCACTCATTCAGGCTCTCACACACCCCAGTCTAAAACTGCCCAGATCTCAGGAGCCTCCTATATCAAAAGGAAACAAGAGAAATACAAATCTCAAGGGCCTGTCAGCCATCCTAATCCTAAAGGCTGAGAGGAAAAGTTCAAGGAGCTAGAGTGCTCTGTAGAAAATCAACAGATATGGAAAGCAAACCTAGAGCCCATAAAATTCATTATAACTTTGAAATATATTCACCCAGATTACTTAGTATTCAGCATCAATACTGCTAGGAAATAAAGGTAGGCAATAAAAGGCAGATTACTAAAGATGAGATAAGGGGATGAACAGGGAATAATAACATCTTCCAGAAGGTGCTCCAAGCACTGTCTGTCTGTCTAACAAGTCTCCCTACCAGCCCAGCAGAGAAGTAACTGCAGCAGCCACCTCTCACCAAGGGGAGGGCAGCCCCATGATCCTGCCTAAGCCCAGACTAGATGCAAGGTTGACAGCTTCTGAGTGCTGCTGTGGGCAGTGCAGCCACCCTCTGTTTTGTCCATATGGCCATATACACCATAATGGAGATGGGAATAAGATTTTTGGATTTTTTTCCAAGTCAACATTCCTGCACTCAGAGATTTCTATTTCTAACCAAGGTCCACATGATCCAGCAGCAGAATAGGCAAAGTTACCTGCTGCATCCCAGCCCAAGCTCTGGCCACTGGCTACGGCCCTTCCCTGCACACAGGACCTCATTGCCTGACTTCTCTCCCACATATTCCTACCAGCTTTATTACAGTCTCTGTCTATAAGTCTGTCTCTTTATGGCAATCTCTGTTACTTACCTGTAAGTCTTGTAACACCTTGGAAGCTCCATCCTAATACAGAACTCCTTGGAGTGGAATACAATAAAAATAGTGAGAAAAATGACTACAGGGAGCTTGTAGTTCAGATTTCCACCATTTTGTGTAAAACAATAAGCAAAACTTTCACTGCCAATGGAAAATACCCCTTTGCAGGAAAAAAATAAAGTTTAAACATCCAGAATGTGTGACCTTGGGGAATGCTGCCAATTCATTTGCAGTCTCAAGGAGAATTTTGCTATTGGTGGCAGTAAAAGATTAGAACTGCTGTTGGTGGCAGTTCTCAGAAATGGCAACATCTGACTTGTAGTGATTGTAGTGAAGAAACCCTGATTTTTGATCTAACATGTACTTTTGCATTCACTCTTTGGCTGAGGGTTGATCTCACTTTGGGGAAAAAATGTACCTCAATACGTAGACTAGGAAAAACTATATATATTGCAATGTCATAGAACTACTCTTTTGGTAATGGGCAGAGGGATGACAATTATGCAAGATAATTCTAGCCCGAAGCTTGCTACATATCAGTGGAGGGATAAGAGCCATAATGGTGTCCTTATAATCCTGGGAAGCTACCCTAAAGCAGAACTACCTGCAAATGCCAAAACCTTTTACAAGAGATTTACACTTACATGTAAAGTGTAATAGTAGGAACCCATATCTGAAGCTCATAAGAGCAACATACTTTCTGATTAGGAAATCACTTTTCCTTTAATATTCGGCTGTGGATTTAAGATTTGGGGAGAACCCAAATCCACCATCATCAGTCCAAGTGCAGCCATTTCCCTACATGGGAGTCATAGTATGGACTTGTTTGAAATAAAATTAAAATGGGACCTTTCTCTTTAATTTCTGATATTTGTTTTTCTTTAATTTCAGTTAACATTTGGTCCACTTTGAGTGGAAACTTCTCTTCATGACCCTCAGCTAGACTCAAAAGCACCACAGCTGTACAATGGTAAAATCATTACAAGAAATGAAAGCAGTATTAGCTTTTGGAAATAACAACGCCTCCTGCACAAAAAGAACTAACCCTATCAGGGTGTATTGCCCTATTAAGAATCATAAAATACGATTCATGTATCATTTCTTCAATCATAATCAGACAATGGGATACAAAGTTGGACTGACAGCTGTACAAGGGAATTTCTATCACCTCTTCACATTTTTCCAGTCTTCAGCCTGTGAAATGCTTTCCTAATACAGCATGAAAATAGGTACCGGCAGTGCATAGCAGTCTTCTTGCTACAAGCTCAAACAGAGGCTGCTAAGGTAAGTAGCACACTATTTTTTTCTTCTCTAATTACACAACCACACTTTCCCTAGAAGAGGATTGCAGCCTGAAAGCAGCCATGCTGTGATAACAATCTACTACAGTTGTGACATTTGAACAGAACCAGACCAAAACAAAATAACAACCCAGTGCTCTGGCTCACACACTTCTTACAGGATTTTTGCTGTTGAACACGTACCAATTTGCTATCAGGGCTGGCAGCAGGTCATATTCTTGTTGAAAAACACTGTAATTTCTGATTGGTAAAAAAACAGGCATTTTTTTGTGTTGCAGAAATGAAGACAGTCAGCCCCTCCAGAGAAGTCAACGCCAAAACACAAACCCCCAGCTTATAAGCAGTAGTACTCAGATCAGAAAACTGTAGCATGCTCATCTATGCACAATACACATCTTGCAATTTCAGGTTGAACAGATGGTATGATTCATTCTACCATTACATATGTTTACCCCCATTTTCACACCACATCACATTCTAGTAATAGCGCTGCATGTAACATCTGAAAGTGTGGTAGACACTTCACAGAAGTATATTTTTTTCTCCTGTAAGTTGAATTTCATTCTCTAGTACCTAACGCACACAAATTTGACTAGCAACAATAGTAATTCTTAAGAGTAAGTAACAGTAGACAGACTTCTTCAGAGAAAAGCAATGAGTGAATTCTTCCCAAGTCTGTTGGTACTTGGAACAGGTATCTACTACAGATACACATACTATAGATACCTACTCAAGAAGTAGTTACCTTCTCCTATAATTGAAATATTACGTTTCCCTTCTAAAGCTGCTTTCACACTAGGTGGCTACCATCTTCTCAATGTCTCCCAAGTCCAGTTTATCAGAGAAGAGAGCCCTGCTGTGAAGGGTACTTTTCACTTGGATGTGCTGGCATTACCCATTTTGTTGACTCAGGGTGCTCTAAGCCCTGGAAAGGGTAGACTTTCCAGAACTGGTTGAATGAAGTAAATTACCTCATTTCAGCTCCCAGGAAGCCAAATCTCAGCATGATCAATAAATTTTTTAAGGAAGCTTTGCTAGCCAAGATGAGCTCATGGGTTTAGCTGATGTGATTCTGCAAGGCACAAAGGAAGGTGATCTGAGTAAGATTGATGGGTTGGTCTAGATGACCTTTAAAGGTCCCTCCCAACTCAAACTACTGTATGATTCTGATACTGCTGAGTAGTATACAGGGAGCTAAGTATACCTGAGGCAGATGAGTGCCTCAAGCTGGCTAAGCTATATCTAAAGGGAGACAGCAAACTGAAGCCATACATGTCATATTCCCATTGACTCATCCCAAGCAGAGGGCTGACTCTTAGATCTCCTGACTTTTGTGCAGTGTCTGCCTTGGCTCCCAGCTCCCTTGAGAGGCCCAGGCTCACCCTGTCCACCTGCCTCTTGCTGCAATACTGCACTCTACCAACCGTGTGGGGAGTTCACATGGGGCATTGAATGTTGATGCAGTGAATCCCATGCCCTACTCCCACCTCTTTCTCAGAGACCAAATATTCAGCAGACACATGAAAACACAGACCTGAAATACACTGCTGTTGCTCATCCCACCCATACCACTATCCTGCCTTCCGTTCTCTACCCCATCTCCCATCCTTCTCCCTGAGCCTTGAAAAGCTCAACAGCTTAAATCCTGATCCCTGTGAGCCGAATACTGCCTGGCAAAGCACTGTGCAACCACCATCACTCTGCACATCAGACCTCCTCTGCTCCAGAGGGGCCAGAGCAGCCACCCTGTACCAAAGGCAGGCTCTGTGCTCTGTCAGGCACATGCAGACTTTTCCATGTCCTCTGCTGGGACCCCTTAGAGACCTGTAGGTCATTCAATTTATCTCCAGCTTTCTATTTTTCTAAGGGATGTTTTTAACTCATTCAGGGTATAAACACACAAAAAAAACCAACCAGATGGGTCAATACAAAATGTATGAACCCCAGCATAGCCTGAAGCATGAGGCTGCCCCTTTTCTTGTGTTTCTACTCTTTGCATCAAAGCTCAGTGTCTCTGCATGCATTACAGCAGGAGAGCAGCTCCTGACTAAGCAAAATAAAAACCCTGGGATGGAAGAAGCACAGCTAGACCTTAAGCCTGTATTGCTGCCAACTAATTTGTAATGTCTAATCACAGCAATTCAGAGACAACTCAGCTTCTGTGACCCAGACCATCTGGGCTAGCACAGAGAGAAGGAAGTTATGTGCTTTAAATCCTATCTCTCCAGCCATCACCCCCTGCTCTCGTATCTTGATGACAGCAGATATAGAGCTGAATGCTGTCAGCATGATTCTAGAAACAAATTCATGTGGCAGCACACGACAGATCTCAGAGGGGAACAGAATTTGTGATGCTGATAGCACTGGGGTCATCTTAATCAGAGGAACAGGAAGCCCAAACTGCAGGGGCAGCATTAAGCTAATAAATATTACACAAAAAAAAAAGAGTGAAATAGCCTGCAGCAAGCTTCACTGTTACAAGCAAACAAAAAAAATTAAACCCCCACCTTCCAACCAAAAAGGAAACAAACCTTCACTGGAAATCCCTGGCCCTAGACACTGACTCCAGCAATGTGTAGTGACCTGAGCAACTGGGAGCCTTGGTTCTGAGAGAATTCATGTTCAGCTCAGGAATCATGAGCATGCACCTTGAAGAAAGGCTAAATAAAACTCTGGTGGTTTATCTGTTTCAATTACTAGGACTTTTTTCTATTATCTTGGTTAACAACTTATTTTTTCCTGCTACAGAAAACATGGATGTCACAGATAGAAACAGCAATCTCCAATTACTCCGTGCAACATGAAATCAAGAAAAGCACCACTTTCTGCCTCCCAGCTGAATCCTCTGGAATTCAATAACTTCAGCACAGCACCGACAGAGGCAGTGGAAGACTACTGAAGTGATAACACAGTTATATCTTCCAGGATGCCTTAAGTTTCTGAAGCTAACAGATTTCTGACTTGACTAGGCAGGTGTAAGGAGTTTTGCTCACAGAATGTAGGGATAAATTGAAGGGGGGAAATGTGCCTTGCAGTAAGTGTATCACTCTTAGAGGCTCCTTTGCTTCAACTAGGGTAAGGCTCTTGCTATCCAGCGGAGCTTTGATACAGCTTGTTGTTTCCTAGAAAGCAGGACAGTGGAAACACCTCTGTTCGTGATAATACCTTCACGAGAAAAGTCTAGAAAGGTTATTTTGAGAGCATTCACACTGTATTAACAAATTTCATTAAATTAATATTGTGTAGCCATAGCTGCTGATAGTTATGCCTCTCTACCAACTGAATTATAATATCACAAGATGTTTTTGCATTAACTTGAGCATGAGATCAGCGAAAGCATATGTTGTGTTGACTTACTAATTTTTAAAATGAGATTATTGAAGTCTCTTTGGGAAAAGTCATAATTACATATAACACTCAGTTAAACCAGAGATGCTACTGGATATATAAAAAGAAAGAAGTGCAATGATGCCCTGCTTTATTTGCATTTTTTTTACCTGAGGTTTTTCACCACTTTATTAGCAGCAGATCTGTCATGATGCATTTTTTTACACCCATTGCAGCCTTTTAGGTCTGCTTCAGAAACTCGAGTGTTGCTTTTGCATTAAGCCGTTCAATACTTCTCTGCTATTTCAGATCTGTGGTCCATGTAGCAGAAGTGTGCCCATTATTAGTCACTTCATTTTTCCCTCTTTTGAGGTACTAGAAGACACCCACAGAACAGCCCGAAACTACTTGCCACAACATTTGTGCAGGTTACTACCATGGAGGAAGGGTGCTCTAACCAGGTTAGCCTTGGCTAATCTCCTGGTATTAGCCATAAAGGGAGACTTCCCTAAAGCCAGTCCCAGTGACTGTCACTTTTCCCTCTTTCTGTCCCAAACCAACTAGTCTCCTCAGCAGGAAAGTATCCATTAGAATATCCCCTCAGAATCAGAAATTACTTCAGGGGGAATGGAATAGAGAAGCCTCGCAGATGAGGGCTATGCTGAACAACAGTGCAATTCCAGTTGTTTACAATATTCACACCACAACTGAATTAGTGATTAGTTTGAGTGCTGCCCCTAATCCCACTCCTCCCCAGCAATACCCAAGTGGATGTGGTTGTACATTTTACCCACTGGTTCACCAGTACATACAAGCTACTGTCTGGAGGCTGTATATATGTACGTACTCACCTGGCTGAGCACCTTCCAGATGCAGCCTAAGGCCACTGCAATACACATCCCTGTGCTTTTCCCTGTACCTGAGGTAGGCAAGCTCTTGTCACAGCTTCCTGGGAAAGGAACAGCCACTCAGGCTCAGTGCCAAGTGGTGAATGTGTAAGGCAGGAGAGCAAAACAGTGGAGACAACAGATCTGCTGCAGGGCTCCACACAATCTGCAAACACTTAGCCACAACTTGGCTTACACAGCTGTGCTCAATCTTCCTGATCCCAAGCCAAGCTTCACACTGCATCACACCCTCCCCCTTCCACTACTAGTGCCTCATCAGAACCTCACAGTACCTTGAAACTCAGGCTGTCTCCAGGGAGATGCAAGTTAAACAGGCTGTTCTGTGGTCTGAAGACAAAGATGTCTCAGGCAGAAATTAACTTCCCAACTCAAAGTTGGGAAGGAGACCTCTTTTCTGTATCTTTTCCCACTGTCTACACAGTGGTGCAAGAAAGACCTGCTTCAATAGTTAAACACAGGTTTTTGTGAATGCCCCACAATTCAATAGTGGCTTTGTTATGGAACTGGTCTCACACACATCAATCACCTGGCTTCTATGCAATACAGTTCCACCCTGAAAGACATTTCCATCTCACAAACAAGCCCTTCATTAGCCTAAAAAAATAAAACAAGAGCTACTTCTGAGTCTTCCAGTTATGCCAATTGTTCAACTGCATTGAATGCAATGGCTGAACACAGACAGTGACTTGAATGCAGGATACTCAGCAGCCTTTTGCAGTTATTGGGAATGGAAAAACTACTCTGAATTTAACCTCTGAGAAAACAGATTTGAAACACAGCCATTATCACTGCCTCCTCAGGAATGTGAAAACTTTTCTTGCATCTCCCCACAAGTCTAAGAAACTGAGCATTTAGCTTGTTCTTAGATGTACAGCTTCCCAACAGGTCATTTGTAAAATGATATATCCTCCATTTCAAAGCAGCTTTGCTATCTTGAAATGGGGCAAGGTAGTCCTGAATGACAAAACTGGTCAATCAGAAAGGTCTAATTTTTCTTTTTTTTTTTTTTATTGTCATTAATCATTCCTTTAACAGGTTAGAAAACAAAAAACCCAAAACATTTCAGTAACATTTCATCATAGTTTATACAGAACCAGTTGATGCATGGTGTCATCTCCTCATCCAAATCCACAGCCGCTTTCTGTATCGCTGAGTTCAGGAATTACAGTGCACACTGGACTATATTCTTTCACAATGTAAGGCACAACTACATGATCGCAAGTAGTAAACACACACACTGAAAGTAGAACTTAAGAGAATGGAACTTCAAATAAAAAACAAAACAAAACAAAACAAAACCAAAACACACTCATGCAAAAAATCTACATACACCTACCAAGATGGTATGATCCAGTTTAAAAGAAGTGCAGTACTCTCTAGGTAAAACTGCAACATAAGGCTATTATAACACATTACGTCTAAATACTGGGTAAGAACTTAAAACTTTTCCCATTTATATTTTATGCAATCATACAGAAATCAAGCTGTATGAGCAATATTCACATCTGCAATAATAAACTGATCATTAAAATTGAGAAAAGAGGCAAACAAGACAATGTAATTTGTGGCACACATCCATTACAGTACTGAAGAAAAACCAAGACTAAACTAATGGTACATTTGGTGAATGACAAAACTGCATACAAAATTGCTTACACCCAGCAGACCATAATTATGACAGCTTGTGGTTATGATTTATTTCCTGTCCAGCAGCTGAAGTTTGCAAGATTGGAACTACAGAAGTTAAAAGAACACAGAGTTTACAGTAACTTGAAACAATGGAATACTTTCAAACACATTAAATGAAGAGACTTCTTTCCTTTTTGGTGATAAAGCTTTGCAATTTTGGCATCCACTATAACTTGTACATAATGACAGTGAGCAAACCTTATTAAACTTACCTAATGTTTGAATTTCACACTGAGAGGTAGTTTAAATGAAATCTGATGTAATGGCATCAAATGGTGGGGCTTTATGATTTATTTTTTTTGTGTGTGTGACTTTTTCCTCTTTTTCTTACAAAAGTGACAAATCCTATACAAGCAGCATTTTGGACACATTACTATAAAAAGTTCTGGTATTTGCTAACCCAGTGAGATGTTCTTTCAAACATCCCTTTGATGCCCAGAATGAAGCTATAGTGTGATACAGAGTACTTTGCCATAAAGCCACCAGCAGGAGCGTGGACTTGCCAGCACTGACCTGTTGACATATAACGATGAACACTCTTTCCCAGCCCTCTTTACCCAAGAATGGCAGGAAATACAGACGAATGTGGTTTAATTTAGGTCACAGGGGGAGGAAAAATTGGAAAACACGCTTACCAGGATTCTGCTTTCATAGTAACATTGATCTAAAAGGGTTAGCAGGGCTTCAGTAATCTTCAAATGAGCAGATGCTCCTGTATCTGTTGCACAGTGAGTGCAGTGTGTGGTGAGCTACAGACAAAAGGCATAGTTTATTACTTTAACTAGTACCTATCTTCTTCATTACTGTGATCTTAAGTGGCATCTAATGCTCTTTCTAAAGATGCAAACCTCTTTATTCAGTGCCCTTAGAAAAAATGAAAAAAAAAAACAATCCAAAACTGAGTTTCTGTGGCAAGGACTTCACTATCCAGTTATTGCTGGGTCTGAAAAGTACACAATTTAGTGCTTTTGGAAAGCCCGTGGTTGGACAACAATTCTAAACTTACCCTAGAAGGGATGCTGAGGTCAAGACTTCGAAAATTACAAAGTATACAACTGGCAAGACCCTTGAAAATACACAAGATTCACGTTTTCTCATTTAATAATCTTAAAACGAAGCTCTACAAAGACAATGTGTATGTGATTACATGGGTTTTGTTGTTACATGTGCTCTCAGACAATGATCATGATTTTGGTACAAAGAAATCACAAGTGCAATTCTCCTTACATAGCAAGGGGCCAAACGTAATACAGTGAGAAGTTCAGCTGAAGACAAACTTTCTGCTCATTGATTACAGCTAACACATGCATTGTAAAGTATGCCATTCCACTTACTGTAGATTATATTCAGTTAGACAGCAAAAAGTGCATAGTGCAAATGACAGTGTTGTTTCCTAGTCCTCCAAGAATATGAGAGTGGGAGGGGTGGTACTTGGAGGAGTAATTTATCAGTTTCAACATACCCAAACCATTATACCATTCTTCTTGTCATAGCTTATATTCTATTTGAACTTAAGCTCCAGCAGTTTAATATCTGCCACTACATCTGGTCATAATAAGTTATAAAGTTTTCCAACAAGCATTTGTTTCCATTTGATGTTTATCTGACATTAAACAATCCAGAAAAGTACCCGAGTTTTCCAGGTCCCTTCTTTAGGAATGTCACTTCTCTTAACATCTAGCATGAAAGAATCAGTTATTCTTGCTCACGTAATACAAACACAGCAAGGTTACTTCATGTTTCTGCTCCCAAAACCCTTCTTGCTTCACTAAGAAAGCTTTTCCAGTGTGGATTCACAAATAATCTTAATCGTCCCAAAACCAACAAAAATAGTTATTCATTATTCTTGTGTACCTAGTGCTCCACACTTTGGCAACTTGGTTACTTGATGCCTTCCAAATAAAGAGGGATAAACCTGCACTGTACCCTGAGCCTTGGACTCTTGTGCCAGAGAGTAAAAACAGCTGAAAAATGAGATCCTGCTAAACCTCTTTCTTGCCTCTGCTGGAAACTCCAGATGAAAATTCCTTTTGTCTCTTCATCTGCAGAGAAGAATTTTTCCTACTGTGACTCATTAATTTTATCCTTTCTGTTCAACCTCTGCAGAAAGGGGAAGATTACTGTAGGGAATACATGAGGAGAAGAAATAAATAACAGTGAAGCACATCCAGCTAAGATCAAAAGCCTGACACTGACCTCTGCAAAGCTACCTGCCTGCAGAGGGGTTGCAGGACATAAGTATGAACTGCTGACCTGAGGTGCGAGTAGAACTGTATGACTGGCATTCTGGAGGCAAAAACGCAAGGGACTGTGGCTCTTTGACGAGGAAGAGAGATGAAGTCTCCAGGAAGTTCAAGAGCTTTTCCTACCCTTAACAAGAGCCTTTACACTTTTTGGATTGCCTCCGTAGCTTGCCTCTGCCCATGTGGCAGCTGGTCTCTCATATTCTGCTTCCCCAGCACTTCTGAATGTGGATGGAGTGTCTTGCAGAGGGGAGAGTTTCAGGGACAAATCCCACACTTCACTGTCCCATTCCTGATGCCATGGTAGTGCCTAGCAATCAAAAGCAGCTTGATGATACCACACACCTACTGGTTTGAGCACTGGTTTTACTGTTATTTCCACCTCTTGCTCTATAATGGTCTCTCCTCAGTGAATGAGAGCAATCTGGTTCTTTCTAGAGGCTGTTGAAACACACCACTATGTGTCCTCCAGTTCCAAGATTAATCTCTTCTGACATTTTATTAGTTTTTCCCTCTGTTCCTGGGTCTGTGGTCTAAAAAAACCCAGTACATTAAACTATTTTGTCTGGAATCCTTTAAAGCAGCATGGTAAAAATTACCAGGCTTTTTACTAGGTTTTCCTATTATTAATATTTCAAGCAGTGCAACAAAACACCTACGTTCCTACTGATACATGCCCATCAAATCAGTCAGACTCTGCAAGCAGATTTATAAATACAAAGCTTTTCACCTTCTAGTTTCCCTTATTTAGTATCTCATAGTCATTTTACAGAGCTTGAACACAATTTCCAACCTGACATTGAGGCCAAGGGTCTAGTATACCATCAACTTGGCAACAGATACAGACCAGCACTAAGAATCCTGAGCACAAAAGAAGGAGCATAACATTCAGCAATGGAATCATAAATTCACTCCATTTAAAAACTGTAGCAATCCTGACTTATTGCTGCAGGCTCAAAGCTCAAACATGAAAGCTCCTACCCCTGTTCTAGGTAGTAGTTACCACTGTTTCTACCACTGTTCCTTCAGGTTTTAACAATCCCTCTTTCTACAAATGTGTATTTGGAAAGCATTTCAATTCCCTCAAAAAGTTGGTCAGATAAACTGATCAGCAAAAAGGAATCTGCAGAAATCTAGCTGGCTTTGCCCCTGAAGCTGAGGAGCTCCAGATCAAGGTCTGATTTGCAGTCAGCCAACCACACTGCTTCAGCAGCCAATTGAGTGAGGTGACTCTGCTTGTCTTTACATAAAGGCATCTCAAAAGCTGAATTAAGAACAAGCCTACTAGAGCTTCTACCACTTCCTTTGTACTGCAGAGCTCTCTCTTAATCTTTCACATGTTCTCATTCAAAAGCAAAATTCCTGAATATAAGTGAGCCTTTTAGCCGTTTTCCTAGCTCCCCACAAAAGATTTCCATCTTCCTGTCTCATGTGTTTTGTCCCTGTGAAGTCACAAGAAGCTTCTCTCTTCCCTCTTTAAATCCCTTCTGCTCCACGTGGTCATCCTTCACCCTGAAAGCAGCACAAGGCTCTCTGTGTTACCCAACAGGGCAGAGCACATCTACACTGGAGCACGACTGTTGCTTATTTTCCTGTGTTTCTGAAGTCATGTGTCAGACAAAGAAAGGCTTGAAGGCAAACTCTTCAGATTCTCCCAGTAAATAAATATATATAAAAAACAATTCCCAGAGGCAGAGAATCTGTTCATATTTTCTATTCAAAAGATTCTTATGACAAACTGTTACACTAATGAGGAGAAACAGCAAGTCCAGGGGCTGTTCATATGGAATCGTTGCAGCAATTTTTTCTTTTTAGCAAGCAACTCTCAAGTTTGAACCAGAAAAGCAGATCAGTATTTCAAATAAACCACACAGTATCCCAAACTCTTCTGCAGTGAGGAGAACCAGTTATGCAATCCAGCTGGCTTTTGGGAAATAAGAATTTAATATTAAGAAAACTTCTTGAGGAAGGCTCCTTTAGGCTGCAAATGTAGAACTAGACAGGTAAACTAAGAAGAGACATGAAACACGTAGATCACTACTTCTGGAGAAGAGGGATTAAGAAGTTTTTTCACTGAAGAGTTTATCAGGACTAGGCTTTTTTTCATCAGAGAGACTCTTCATCCACATACAGAGCTGTCAATAGATAAAAGCAAATGAACCTGCCTAACAATGGCTGAGCTTCCATCATCGTGACAGAATTTGTTTCCTTACCTTGGGCAATAGGTAGAGGAATCAGGAAACAGGCTTTTTCTCTAAACACCTGGATACATTTTGTAGGAAGGCTGAGGTGTGGGGAACTAAACATTGTAAGGCATAACCCCTGCTCAGAAGAAATGACTTTAGTGATCTTAAAATACCCGACACAAAGGGAAGAAAGTCAGAGACAGGCAGGCAAGAATGAACAGGTGTAAATAAAATCACAACAAAAAAGAAGTTTGGAGCCTTCATGAACTCTACAAGGAACCTGTGTTGCAATTACAGTAAAGAAAGTATGAATAAATATCTAAAGACACATATATTGCCCTCTTATTTAGAGCTGATCGTCTATAACTAAGCTAGTAACGGGAGATTCACACCACCGTTCTGAGCAGACTGTCATATAACTAACATAACATTTAAAACCCACTGGTAATGGGATGAGATGTAGCATAAAACTGAGGTTTGTTAGGTGTAGCAGGAGTTCACTGTCTTCCACTAAAAGCTGAGGAAGGGACAGAAGAAAAGGTCAGACATTTGGCAGCAGTCTCAAAGACTTTTTCTTAGTAGGATACCTAGCATGGAAGGTCTGGATGTCCCTTAGAACCTCAAGGACCTCCAAGGGCTTCCACAGCACAGGGAGATATGTGCTACAGGCAATTGCCAGCATTGTTTGTTTGCTTTTTAAAGTCCATGTATAAGGGTTTATGGAATATTAAAATCCATCAAACAAATATGTAAAAGTGAAATCAATCAATACAGAATGGAATATTGTAATTTATCATTTAATATTCCTGCAATGCCCACTAAACTCTATCTCACCATTGGTTCACATGTACTCTCTCTCACACACACACACACAGACTATGCAATACAGTATGTGTAAAGATGTTCCAGTAACCAAGCACTGTAGTTGGATAAGGACTCAGGTACTGATACTACGACAAGTTCTAAGTGAGCAAATAAAACCAGGTTGGAGTAGAGTCCAGCCATTACCCTCACTGTGCAGTTCAAACTTTAGAGAGAAAAGTCTAAGAACCAAAGAGATAGAAAGAAAACAAAATCACAAGGGGTTATAAAGAACATCAGATATGCAATTAAATGCAACAATTAGTTATGCTTTTTTACAGCAACATTTGATACATAAAATCCTCACAAGTTTTTGCATCTTCCTTTTTTCTTTGAAGGAAACAGGAATAAACTACAATATCACATAAAAGCTGTTTCTCTTGAACAAAAAAATAAAAGATAAAAAAATACATTGTTACTCCTCTGTTTAAACTTTATTTACAAATAACTGGATATTTCTAATCTAGACATAGAAGCTCTTTTCAGGATAAATGGCAATAAGCTATGGATGATCTGAGCCCATGTCTCACGAAAAATACAATAGTTTTACTTGGTATCAATAAACATTTTAAAATATACTAAATTTTGCCAAGTGTTACAATCATTGTCCCAACTGAATAGTAGTCTGAGTGCTGAACGAAGTGCATTGACAGAAACTGTAATTTTTAGTGTAACATTTCTTTGTCACTCACGATAGCCAGTCATCCTTGCAAGTCATTAAAGCAAGTATCACAGACTCGGACAGGCTTTTTAGAAGAAGGAGTTAAGGCATTCTTTGCTGAGCACTCGGCACAAAAGATATTTCCACACTGTCTACAGTGATGCTGCGAAAGAAAAAACATACATGCCGAACATCAATGCATCAATCACCAATAGAGATCATTATCATGTCAGGTAAAGTCTCATGTTTTAGAAGTTAGTTTGACTATTTAAATAGTAGTTACATGGCACACAGAAGGGCACAAGAGTAAATTCTTTCTAAATGGTATTGGAGTAAAACATTCAGAAGCACTTCACTAAGTTGGGAGACTATACCAGTTTTGGAAATAAACTGGTTCAGGTTCATCCTCCTCTTAAATTTCTCCTCTTGGACTTGTTCTGGTCACATAAAACATGTTCTTACCTGTAACTACCTGCTTTCACATTGAAAAGTATCCTTGATTCAAAGGATCCAGCAGCCTTTGTTCAAAGACTACCCAAAGAATATCACTCAAATAATGCAGGACAGGCAGAGCCACCTAAGACCAAGCCAGGAAGCACCGCAAAAATGAACCTCACAGGTGTACCTCATCTAGTTCATGGAGCACACCCTGACAGCAGCAAAATGCTGTCAAAGAAGGTCTGACCTAAAACATACCCAGTTCTTTCTTCTGTTCCATGTCTAGTTAGTGTTTAGAAATATATAGTCACAAAGCACCAACACATGTTGATGCCTCCTATTTTCACATATAAATGCTCTGTCCCTGGCGGTGTTCAAGGCCAGGTTGGACAGAGCCTTGGGTGACATGGTTTAGTGTGAGGTGTCCCTGCCCATGGCAGGGTGGTTGGAACTGGATGATCTTAAAGTCCTTTCCAACCCTAACTATCCTATGATTCTGTATCTAATTTCAACAAATACACACTCCTTTTATATTTGTAAATCCAGTTCAGACTGGTTATAAATAAGTTCACTGTAAACACCCTGACAACAGCGTAATTTTGCTTGTTCGCTTAGGGGATTGAACTACTTTAACACTGTTTATAAACTGATACTGTTAAAATGGCAAAAGAATTATGAATAAAGCAAGTTCCACACACTTTATTTTTAATATTGAAAGCACTGCAAGCAATAACTGTATTCTGAGATGTCCTGAATTCCACAGCACTATTAAGGTAATTTCCTGAAGTTTGTATCCTATGTAAGAGTTTGAAAACAATAGAAAAAGAAAATCCCCACAGACACACAGTTAAACACACCTACCCTTCTCACTGTCACTGAAAAGCCTTTTCCACAGGCCATACAGTTCTGTACCTCATTGTCTTCTGCCCACTTCCTGTTGAGAGCTTGGGTGTGTTTGATCTATATAGAAGATACACAAAAAGGTTTGTTTTTTAAAATGCTTACCTAATTCCTACTAATTTCCTCTGTTTTCACTGCACACACTACCCAGTGTGGTATGAAAGCACCATCTCTGCCATGATATTGAGAGCTTATATTTGTTCAGAGAGAAAACCTTCCGACTTTCAGAACTATAAGCAGATTTAATAACCCACAGACAGCAATATGGCCCTCATATACACCAAGCATAATATCTTAATCACTCTGGAAAGTAACCCACCACCAATCTGACACAAACTTGAAATTCTCGTAAGTTCCCACACAGAGAGTCAACAGGTTTAATTGCTTCAAATCAAATTATACCTGTAATGACTGGTTTTCTCGGCCAAGTTCCTGCATTGCAGCAGTAGTGTTGTCCAGCTTTTTCTTCATTTCCACAAGTTTGGCTTGAAGCTTTTCAATTTCTCCCTCACTTTTTATACACCTGAGGAAAAAAATAGTAAATAGTCAGCTCAAAGCATATACAGCAATACACACTGCCTCCTTTGGGCAGGTTGTCATGTCTGAGAAGCTTCTCTCATAACTCTCAGCCAAAAATATTCTTGCTGTGAAAAGTTCTTGGATGTCTTGACTGGAAAAATATTCTGTTCTAACAGTCAGTTTAAGATTATCCGGCACTGTTCCCAAGGATCTGTGTCTTATTAATATCTGGAATTACTCCTAAACCCAGGGACATTACTGAAGGAAGTCCATCAACAACAAGGCCTAATATGTACCCCTTTGCAACAGTTTCCTGCCAAGCTGCAAACAGCTACTGTATGAACAGTAGTCAGAACAGTATGGCAAGGGATTGCCAAAGAAAGAGGATCTCTTTTGCATTGATGCCATCCTCTCCCAAGGTCTACTGCTCAAAAAACAAGTCAGCAAGCTTGACAGTATTCAAAAATGTTTTCCATTCTGCCTTCACCAAACATGTCAGGAAATAAGGACAAATAAAATTTCCTGTCTCACAGGTGTTTCTTTTACCTTTGTAATCACTGCTTTCAGGTAACTTCTGCTGCCTTGCCAGGCTCCTACTGCCTGAAGGAAAGGCACTCTTCTTACCTAACATTTAAATCTATTGTAGTGACAATAGCAGAACTGGAGAAAAGAGGACTGTCGGTTTTCAGGCGGGATAAAATGCCTCCTGTCTGACCCTTAGCCTACCTAATCCAATTAGATATTTAATCTCCTAACATTGAGCAGTGGGCATACCTATAAGTGCCTAAACAAGTTCTTGTTACTGGAGGCACTTAGAAGTCTCTTCCAGGCTTCTGGATGAATAGTACACCTAATCTGATTAAGTCAAGGCAGGGGAGCCTTGGAGTGATGGAGAAGGATAGCTAATTCAGATACGAGAAGCTCCCTCTGCAAGGCCTTTTAAGGTTCATACAGCAGATCAGATGAGAAGCCACAACCTACACACTTCAAAGTTCAGAGGAGCCCGACAGATTTAGATGGCTTTTATGGATGGGTGTAGATCTTTGAGCACAAGCACGTAAGTGTGACTTTGGTGATAAATAAGGTCCTGATATGCCTGCCTGATTTTCTATAAAATAGCCACCTTGTCAAAGCCCACAGAGAGCACAGTTTAGTCCCAACACCCCTTGCTGTATTTTGGCAGGGACAATAGAATGTTGCACTCTGGAAACTGCACCCACAGCCCAAACACTAGGAACAAAAGCAGATTAAAATAAAGCACGCATAGGGAATCCTGAATCAACTGAAACAAGTTTGTAGTGTGAGACTTTCCATTTCCCAAACTATACTTCCACATGTGCCATGACCATAGCTTACCTCTCCAGCAACGCCCTTCTCTCATCCTGGTTATTCTGCACCGTTGCTTCCAAGACAGCAATATCCCCACGTAAATCATCTGTCTGTTTCTCCAGCTCGCTCACTCGCCTCTGACTGCTTTGCCACTCTTTCTTCATGGTAGCCAGGTTTTCATTCAGGGCTGTGACCTGCGTGGTGAGTTTGGTCTCCTTTTCCTCATGTTTCCTATTTTCTTCTTCTTTCTCTTTTTGCTCTGCATGCTAAGAAAACAATGGAACAATGAAAAACAACCTTCCAAGTATTCTTTCCCTATTCCCTACATTTAATTAAAGCAAGGAAACTTACTGCACTAGAATCACTGCTTTTAATCAACAAACTCTATTAGACAAGGTTGTCATCCTATTAAATTCTCCCACATCCTTAAATGCCTCAAAGATTTCTGACTTTGTAATTTAAAAATTAATATAATGTGAAACTAAAGTCAACTCTTTGCTTGTTCTCTGTCCCTGGAAGAAACCAAAAGCATGTGCACAAACCAAGTCTTATACTCTCTAACATACTAACCAGTTTAGCTTCAATTTCCACACATTCTTTCTTCAGCTCCTCTTCTCTCTTTTTCAGCTGATCTTTGACAGCTTGATGGGTTTTTTTCTCCTGTTCCAGAGCTGAATTAGTATTATCTATTTTGCCCTGCAGCTCTAATTTCTGTTGAATCAATAGCTGGTTTGCATCCTTGAGATTTGCCACCTCCTGTTAGGATATAGAGCTCAAAGTTAAAGTAGCAACTTTGAAAGTGTAAATGATTTTAAATTCAAAACTACTGTAAATTCTTTCCAAGGAGAAGCCAGAAATAATTTTAGTTTTATCACTGGAAGAAATGATAATTTTATAGCACAAAATTTTATATATTTTTTTTTAATTTTATACTTTTAAAGTATTCATGATTTTCATGATCAAAGATTTTAAACTTTTACCTATATTATGAACTACATGCATTTATAAAATAAATTTACTGTATATTTCTACTAAAGCAGTTGAAGTTCTGTTGGATTATTTTATGCAATTCTTTGAAATGAGACATCCATGGTCATTTTCCAGAGTCTGTTTTAAAATTTACTTCCCATCGTTCTCTAGCTGCAATAATGAGGTTAAAGGCATTGTAATGACAACTTATAAACCTAACATTGATGGTAGCTACTATTAGTCTTAAATGTATCAATAAATACCCTCTGTTTTAAGTAAGCGGGATGATACATTTGCTTTTAAGTATTAGTTTTACATGTTCTTCTGTAATAAAATATAACAAAATCCTGAAGTAAAATAGTCAATTTACAGGAATCATTTATCTTAAAATTACATAGCCAAGCATAAAGGTACAAAGAGACTCATAGGGGCTGTTAGCTTTCCATAAATCAAAATTAAAACAAAACCAAAGACAGGGAGAGAACATATCCTGAGAATAGGAGGATGCCCTATAGACGCACATCTATTTACTCCTTGGTAGATGTGAAACAGAATATAGGCCTTTAGGAGACTTTTTCTGGTTAGTCTAATTGCTTGTATGTAGATCAAGAGATGAATATTAAGCTGCCATTGGTGTGCATGCATTTTATATATATTTTTATAAATTTTCTTCTTTAGAATAAATATTTTAGGAGTGATGAGAATTATAGTAACCTTTCCCCCAAATCCAAGAATGTACTGGACATAGATTACTTGACATAAAGTACAGACTTCTAGCTAAAAATAAAGAGACCAGTTTCTAAATACTGGAGAACAAAATAACATCTGAAACCCATAAGGTATCATGTTACTTTCTTTTTATTAGTGTATAGGGACTGTACCTTCATTTATACTTATAAAGCAACTTAAACCCCATGTACTTAACAGATGTAAGTATAACTCTAATACTGTAACATGGAAAACAAACTGAAGTCTTTTAGGAGCATTTGTTTCTGCAGAGACTAAAAAATACGTACTGTGTGGTGAGAAATGGTTTGTTTTACAGCAGACTGAACGTTATTTAATTAAAGTCTCCAAACTTTTACCCTTCAGAGAGCTCATTTGATTGTTATGATTTTGGTAGAGTGAGTCTTTTATGAGGCTCCTGACATTGTTTCTTCCCTGACTGTGACTTTTACAGACATTTTAAGAAACCACAGCACATCAAGGCAGTTTCAACTCTACCACGCATCCTTGATAAGTACCAGATGTGCCTGGAATATCTGGGAAACTTCACATTCATGACACTTTTGGACATCTTTTCTGCTCTTCCGAATAGTCGAGTAAGGGTATGCACAGTGAATCTACAGTGGTGCAGAAGAAAAGCCAGGACATACAACCCATCCTAAAGCTAAAACAAGCTGTGTGGTTCACCTGGCCAAGGACACTGGGCACCAGTGCCCCAGGATTATCACTAATCAAGTCATCATTGCTCAGGAACCGCAATGAAATTTAGGCTTTGGTTCCTTTACCTGTAATACTGACACTGACAGCAACCATCTTTGCAAAGCCATTACAAATAACAACTACCAAGTAGGCACATTTTTCTTATAAGATAACCAACCACATTAAGACTCATTAAGTCTTAACCAAACACATTAAGTTTGTCTGAATATACCTTCTCAAATTCGTGCTTGGAGGCTCTAAGCTCTTCACCCAGCTTGGCACTTTCTTTTTCAAGTCTACTCCTTATTTCTTGGAGCTCTGTTGTTTTACATTTCTCATTAGCCAAGTCTTTTTCTTTCAAAATCTTGAAGAGAAATAGAAAGTGTTAGAAAAGTTACTTCTTCCAAGTTCACAAAATAAATAAATGAACAAACAAAAAAAATCCAGGGCCCAAAACCTACTTGGAGGCTTTGTAATTAGTAGGAAACAACTGCCACATATCTCTATCCACAGTTCATAGTGCAAACATTTAGCAGCATGTTTGTAGTTCTAAATTTAAAACTAATAAGATTTTTTCACCTGTCTAGCCACTTAGAACAAATTAACAGCCTATTTTGAACCAAATTCGCTTCAACTGCTGTTAGAAGTCTTGGCACCAAAGGTTCAGTAAAACTGCCATTAGTGCACACAATAGTGCTATGTCTCCCATATACCCTTTGTTTAGAGATGCAACAGAATTTAATAAAGGGTGCCAGTGTGGGGTGTATGTGCCTGTGTGAAGATGTCAAAAGACATTTACCCTGTCATTCTGAAGATCCTGTAACATTTTGGTCTTCTCGCCCAGCTGCTGCTCCTTCTTTGACGCATCCTGCTCCAGCGTAGACTTTGCTTTCTTCAGTTCCTGAATCTGCTGATTATTGCTAGCAATTCGATTTCTGCTGGAAACCAATTCTTCTTGAGCTAGAGCAAGTTTTTCTTCTGTGGACTAATCACAAAGAGAGTTCTGCAAGTTACCTATCAGCACAAGAACTTCAGCCACCCAAGTATCTGAAGTTTTTCCATGTGGAAAAACTGTTACCTAGTGTGCAACATTTAGCTTCAAATGTTGACAGAAACTTCTAGGTTACAAGGTTACCCTAAATAAAAGAAACTACCCCAGTACCACTTCCACCGGCAATACCTTACTGTACATATTCCACCTTGCATCTTTCCACAGAGAAAAGGTGAAAACATACAGAAAGGCAGAGAATGAAAGGTAACTGATGAAAAGCAGACAAATTTGAACTCGCTCACACAAACTTATTTTGTTCTCTGGGCAAATCAACTGATCTATAACTCTTGACAGTTGTTACTTAAGCCGCAGTGAAGCTAACTTGCATACAAGGCTCATTCTATTTGCTCACAACAAAGTCAAATTTTGGGGTTCTGCTTGAGTTAATATTCTGGAGGTTATACCTTTTTAAGCCTTAGGCTTAGGGAAGGACTAGCTCTGCTTAGAAGCATGTTCTTTCATAAGGAACCAATGAGAAAGAAAAATACCAAACTCATCCTCCACTCCTCCAAAATATTGGTATTTTATGGAAATCTTTGATGCTACGATCATGCAGACTGTGAGGATATTTATTATTAGTAATAAGTTTATTACCTCCAGTGCACCAATAAGGATTTAATTCTTTCAAGATATACTAAATTCTTTTTTAAGCTCTTACTTAAATCCTAATCAAACCTCTTGTTGAAGGTCAGTGTTTTTAAAAGGAATAAGAACAACTTCGGCTTCACTTAATTATGCATATACTTTAGCCTCTCCTGTGTTGATTTAAAACCAAATTGATTTCTGATGCCTCCTAATCCTCCCTTGAAATGTCTGAAGTATTTTTCCTGTAGAGTCAGATGTAGTTTGAAACATCAGTGATGGAACACTGCTGACTCAACGGCATTTTCAACAATCCCAGTGGCACTTAAAAAGTTCGCACTGGCTTTGAAAATGAATTTGCAGACAAATTACTTTATTTGTTTTCTGAGCTATTAGAGTTCACTACTTAGCAAGGTGTTAACTCAGATTTTTTTTTAAGCAAAATGGGAAGTGCTTCTGCAATTTCCAGCTTTCAGCACAGGGTGGGTCTTTCAGAAAGCAAAATTAGCTCTCTCCCCTCCACTGTGGGCAGTGGAGTACCATATTTGCCTAACAGTGAGAAAGGATGGGAAGTGTACCATCATCATGTAGCATCTTCACAGGCAAACCCAACAGTAACTGCGGTTTTAGAAAGAAACATAATGAAACCACAGCTTTCATTCAAATTTGTTTCCAGGAGTGAACATGGTTTAAGCATCCAATTTGTTAGCACAGGATGATAAAATTTAATGAAGTGAATAGTGACACACAAATTAAAAGCCTCACATAGGGAATACTTCTCTCTCACCTCCCCTCTCTCCCCCAAATGTCTATGCTGTACAGGCTATCTCACTGTGCCTGTACCTACACTAAGACAATGTAAATCTTATTATAAGTGGAACTAGTATTCAGCCTATTCTGCTCTGTATTATGCACAAACATTTCTGTAAGCCAGTAGTTTTTAATATGAGTCTTGAAACTTTTCATACAATTCAGCATGCTATAGCTTACATGTGTAAGTGCCTCAATTGTGCTGTAATTAATAACAATACTACTGAGAAACCCTTCAATGCAATTTTAACAGTAAATCAACCTTCTACCTATCCATGCCTTTCTTTCCTCTTTGCTCAAAAGTCCTTCACAGCATCCTTTGGAAATGAATAGAAATCCTCTGGCACATGGTTAAACATTCCAGTTATTATCCTTGTTCCTCGCCCAGTCTTCACTATGGCAGCAATTCAGCCCAGTTTTTTTGACTGCTGAGGAGACTGCATCTTTAACATAAACCTACCTCTCAGAAAACCTGATGCCATTTACCTTATTTAATTACCATTCACTTTTGCCATTGCTCCCAGAATATGACAGGTATTCTAGCAAGATACCCTTAGTCATGAGACTGCTCTTCAGGATGACAGACAAAACTGAATTCAAGGAAAAGATACAGAACAGAAGATGCTAATCTGTACTTATTTTTGCAAATAAAACCGGATGCTAGGATGACTGGTACAGAGTTTAAATAAATAAATAAATAAAAGGATAAGAAGATAGCAAAGCCTGATTCACTACAACTTGGTCTGTTGCAGTGTAAATTATAAACAGCAGAACTAGTCCAGGCTGGGCAGCAGGTCCTAAATGGTTAGGCACCTAAGTGAGGTACACAAAAATGAGCATTTTAGTCCATGTGCTTCCTGATCCCAGTCCACAAGGAGACACATGGATGCTAACCTGATCTCTCTTCACCTCCTAAGAAGAAGGGTTAGACTGACAACAGGCAACTTAAGTTCCTGACTTACAGGCCTACGGTTTGGCAGCATGAATACTGTCCCAGAACATCCACTGAAGATATGCTGACAGAGATGCCAATACTGGAAGCAAAGAAACATTCTTTAGAGAACACAGAGGAAACCAGGACTGACTACAAAGAGCACAAATGCCAAGACTGAAAGATACTTGGCAGATCTCAGGAGAGAAGGATTCAACAAAGTATGTTTGCATGAACTCAAAATCAAGGCAAAAATAGCAGTTCTGAATTTTTATTAACCCTTCTATACAAAAAACACCTTTTCCACAAAAAAGAAGCTTACGTGTGTGCATGTAAAAATATGTATATCTTATATATATACACATGTATACATATGTGTATATCTATATACACAAATGATCTGTGGTGTTATTCGTTTTTTATTGTATGTATCAAAAGCTATAGCATTTACAAGCACTCAAATCCTACCCGATTTGTTTTTTCAGTCACAAAAATGCATGAGTGTAGTTACTGCTATAGGCGGTAACTTACACCAAAGTAAAATTGCAACAAATAGTATCCATAAAATTATAACTACATTCTCACTTCCAATTTTGTTACAACACTCACTTTTCCTCTGCAAGATTTACAGCTTCAAACTTGCATCTTACTACAGCTCCACATCAAGGATCTTCTGTTACTGAACCAGAAACTAGGACCCAGCTGTGCTGGTGCACTCCCGGGAGCAGCTGCCCACTCTGCATCTGCCTCTCATGCAATGCTGTATCTTCAACTGCAGAACTTCACTGGAACATTTGCTCACTTCTCAGCCTCCCAGCCCGAGACGAGCCAGCAATTTCAGCAATGATATTGCGAGCAGATGCCAGAAGATGGTGCTCTGTGTACGGCCCAACTCCTTTCATCCCGTCAGGATCTAGCCCTATCACCCTATTCGTGCCATCCAGTCCTTGTACAGCCTTTTATGATCTATCCCCACATCGAAACCTTGCCCTCACCAATAGCACGGTGCTACACCACGTAAGAATGTTTAAATTTTCCCTTGTAGTATTTTTAACTAAAGAAAACCTACCATTGCTACAATCTCATAGTACAGCCTGGTTGTGTCAGTCCTTGACATTGCTGGGCTTCAGACCCTGCTGACTCAGCACAGCTATGCAGGAGGATCGTATTTCAACTAAAAATCACAGAAAGGCTTGGGCTGGAAGGGACCTCAAGGCTCATGCAGTTCCAACCCCCCTGCCACAGGCAGGGACACCTTCCCCCAGACCAGGTTGCTCAAAACCCCATTCAAAAAAATCCTGCACTGAAGGACACCCAAGCTCACCTTACATAGAAGGTTTAAAAACTTCTACTATTGCCTACTAATAAGATTCAGATCAATCTGAACCCCAGCTCACCCATCAGCTTTGGTTCCAAACTTTAACCAAAATCCATAGCTCTGGCTCAGATTATATAAGTAACTCATTCAAGGCAAGACATTATCCAGACAAACGACTTTGAACTGGACTGTGAAACTCCACCATAAAGTTCTTCTGACTTCAGTAGCATTTTGATGTTCAAATCTCAAGACTAACATTATCACGCTGAGGCTTTCCCAATGTGCTTTTTCCTTTGAGGCCTCCTAAGAAAAGTTATCTCTAGTTCTTTAGGTTAAGATTGCAATGAGGCAGCACATCCACAATTAAGGGTCAGTTCCCCACCTTTTCTCTCTTCTGCATTTTACGTTAAAAAGGGGTGGCAAGCAGACCTCACTAGACATAATTAACATGTCTTAAAATTTCTATTTTTTTTTTAATCCAGCAAACAGCCTCCAAGTTGGTACATCACCTCACTACTGAGGACCTCAATCTTCCTCAGGCCCTTTAGGCTCAACAGACACTTACATAATAAATCAAGTTACCTGACTGCTCATCTTGAAAGTCTTGTTTTCCCATTGCCCTCACCTTATTTTACCTTTCTGCAAGGATATTCTAGCTTTCTTTTTTGCTACCATCCACATTCAAGTTTAAAAGCATGTGGGATGCCTACTGTCCCATTTTATACTTGTCAGAACTAGAGATCATTGAGCTGGTTCAATAATACTTGTAACAAAGCTATTTTTTGCAACAAGTGATACTTACATGAAAACTATACCAAAAAGAAAGCCAGTTAAATGAGCACATCCAATGCTTTTACAGGTCATTGCATTACCAAATATTGATCTAAGTGCCTTGCAGGAAATTAATACACAGAGATATGTATGCTATAGAAACTAACTACAAGAAAGAGGTTGTTTAAACCACTGTTGCTTGTTAATCATGCTGAAGTTCTTCACAATTTAACACAGCAATTCAACCAAGCTACACTGAAAGTAAAGCCTCTGTAACCTGCAGGGAAATGTGGCAGGTAATCTAATGTTACAGAGGAGGGGGAAGATTAATAAAACTCCAATGACCTATATTTAAAGGAGTTATTTCTCTTTTTCTTAAAACTACCCCGAACCTGGAGTTTGGCTAGGGCTCCACAGCTCACATGGGCCTATCTATCTGAAATGGCCAGGAGACCTTTAACAATTCAGTGGTGGAACTGAAAGGCCACTGGGACAGGTGAAAGGAAGTGATGAAATCTAAGCCATCAATGACTTATACATAATGAAGCCATCAGAAGCTGACATCTAAAACAGATCAGATGATCCAATCTCCCGATGTGCCTAGTTCTCTCCATAAACTTCAGAAAAGCCTAGAACAACAGTGTCACACACAGACAAAGCTGCAGTGTGATTCATCTGAAATGAAAAGTGACGAAGTCACAGATCTTGCCAGTAGACAGCCAGTCTCTGCAGCGCAGTATGTGCTGGGACTAACTGGAGCATTGGCTTAGCACTGACATGAAGAAAGAAGGCAGAAAAAAAAGACATAAAAAACCACCTTTGCTGACTGACTCAGCTGCCAGCAGTACCTCTTTGAAGGCACTACACCCTAATATCGAATCAGGTAAATTCAGTTTTGGAATATCAAAAACTTCAAAGACTAAGTTCAGACACTTGTATTCCAGTCAGGTCCCTAAAACTACCATTTCTATTAGCTTGACATCTCTGAACATCTACAGTCGACCAAGAAGGAAGGGGCAAGGGCATGGGAAAAGACTGACAACTAAAATTCTAGTTAAATCACCTAGAAGCTAGCAGTTACTTACATGCTGACAGACCTTGCCCTAATTAGCTATGCTGTTTAAATTAGCTGAAAGCTGCAATATATAACAAGAAAGAGAAACTCAAAAAATCAACTTGTTAAAAGAATACAAAAATAAATCATCTTTCAGTTTGCTGCTGCATAAATGCAAGGGTATTTCAGGTAAACTGGCAAATATCCTTGGAAGGGTTTAAACAGCACTAAATTCTATATATAGCATACGTATAGAATATGAAGAAGAAGCATTTTTCTGCCTATACAGTTCTTGAAGTTTCTTGGATTTCAAAATGTATACGAAAAGATCTACTAAAAGTCACGTATGACATTAACATGACTGTAAGTACCTTAAGGTCTTGCCTTATTGCTAGCACCTCAGACTCTTTCCCATAAAGATCCAACTGCAGCTTCTCCATGCTTTCCTTATTTTTTTCATGGCTCTTCTGTAAGTCTGCTAACTTGACTTTCTCCGCTTTAAGCTCCTGTGCTGACAAAATAGACTGCTGTTGCAGTTTATTCTCCAGTTCTGCCTGAAACGTAAGCATAGGAAGTTTCAATTACAGTTACAGTCAGTAAAGCTTAATCATTTTAATAAATTGCATTTCTACTGCAAGGCAAGATTTTTTCCCACTTATGAAATAGCACTTCAGTAATCTGGTATTTGTGATTTTACAGTAATATTTTGTAAGCAATCTGACAGCAAAATTTAATTCACAACAAAAAACAGTGAAACACATTAAGACCAAACATTAAAAATCTTAAGAATATTTTCAAGTGTTTCAAGTTTCTGGCTGTGATAGAGATAATTTTCTTCACAGTATCTAGTATGTTTTGGATTTGTACTGAAAACAGTGTTAATAATACAAATATGCTTTAGCTATTGTTGAGCAGCGCTCACACAGAGTCAAGGCCTTTTCTGCCTCTCATACCACCCACCAGCGAGTGGGCTGAGGATGCACAAGGAGTTGAGAGGGGACACAGCTGACCCCAGCTGATCAAAGGGATATTCCAGACCACATGGAGTCATGCTCAGCAGATAAAGCTGGGGAAGAGTAAGGGGGTGATGTTCAAAGTTACAATGTTTGTCTTCCCACGTAACATTTATACGTAATGGAGCCCAGCTGTCCTGGAGATGGCTGAACACCTGCCTGATGAGGTGCAGTGGTAAATTAATTCCTTGTCTTGTTTTGCTTGTGCATGTGGCTTCTATTTTACCTATTAAACTGTCTACATTCCAAACCATGATTTTTTGCATTTTTATCCCTTCCATTCCTCTCCCCCATCCCAACAGAGGGGAGTGAGCAAGCAGCTGTATGGTACTTAGTCATTGGCTGGGGTTAAACCACTACACCAAGTCCTAAATCCTAAAGTTTCCACAGACTGACTAAATACGATCATGTAGCATAGGGCAACCAAAACTGGAGCAACATTTAACAGTGGATGGCACAGAATGTAACATTTCCTAATGCTGTGAGACATTTGAACTCTTTCCATTATAGTTTATGAGTTTCATACTGTCACTCAGATAAATTCTTCTGGTATAAGAGAAGACTTGATTTAAAATTGTCACAGAAGTTCCAAAACACTGTAGAGTATGTCTAAACCACTCTCACAAAATTCTACTGCTTTACGGAAAATGTCAACTTTTGCTTCATAGCATGATCATGAAGCAAAATAAACACATTCAATCCAGTCATTTTTATTACTTTACTGAAACTCAATTCCTACCAAATTCATATATCAACACTGGTTTGTTTTACTTTATTATTGTTGTTAATGTTGTTTGTATCTCCAACAGCTCTGAAGACCTTGTTTCTACATCCTGACCTTATCTACTACAACAAACAGCTGTTTATCATACAGACACCGAAATAAAAGCTGCAGCATTTATCTGAGAAATTTATATTAATTTTCTTACAGGAGTATGAGAGGCCAGTCTTACCTTTTCTAAAAGGGCAGTTTTTAATTCAGCTTGCAGTGTTTCACTATGTTTTTTCTTCTGCTCAAAAGATTCCTTTAACTCTCTCAGCCTTCCCTGGAGATGCTGCTCACTTTTTTCTTTCTCCTTCAGAAGACCCTGAATTTCCAGTATTTGTGTTCTTGCTGCATCAAGTTCTATCGACAACTGCTTAGAAATCTATATTCAGAAATATTAAATAACTGCATATAATTTTAATCAATTTTTTTATGAAAGGATTAAAAAAAGTAGGACATGGTAATACCAAGTAACTGTTTCACTAATGAAAAAACCTGAAGGGTTGTAAAATCCCCACAGCTAAGATTTGTGCGACACAGAAAGGTAGGACTAAAACCTGTATGTTAAAGCTTCATGTTATCACCTAGGAAATTTTAGCACCACCTTATTTCAGTGCCCCAGTTAGGTTACAATTTGAGAACTGCAACCTCTTTATCCCTCATCAGTCCCAGCATGTGATACTGAAAATTAATCTTTTAAATACTTATTATTACTGATTTCTGGATTTTCGAAACCAAACAGACAGCTTACCCCCTCCTTTTTTTCCAGTGAGTTTTTCAATTCATTCCTCTCTTTAGCTACAGACTCTGTTTGGACCTGGAGCTGCTGTTTTAACTCTTGGCAAGATTTTTCCTAAGAAAGATAAGAAAATATTCATGTGAGCTTCTAAGATGGGGTACCAGATATTTCTGCAGGATCTACAAAGCCTTGAAAAATCATGCTTTCCTTTCCAGTGAAAGAGCTTTCCTTCTCAGCTGCAGACATATTTTCAGCTCAAAACTCTTTAAAACTTTCACAGTGGTAACTCTAAGCTGAACACAGCTGATACCCTGTACTAACAAATGCAGCCATGTGCCGAAGAGTTTTTCCAATTACGGATAGTCTCCCTCTTTGAAGCTGCTGTTGGCAGCCCTTCTCCTTCTTGTGGAAAGCAGTAGGCTCATCACTCTCCTCAGGATTCAGAATTTCTTGATGTTCGAAAACTCATGAGCAAAGTACATTTGCGGGAGTTGTATTCAAATACAACTACATTTTAAGCCCAAATACCATGGACTTAAAAGACAGTGGCAAGCCTCCAAATGACTACGGAATTAGAAGCAGAATCTGGACTCCTATCTTTAAGTCTAAACTGGGGAGCAAATCCTTCAAGTTTTTAGGAGAAACAAATATTTAAACAGCAGTAACTAAGTAAAGCAAATAAAAAGGCTTATCTGAAAAAAGTGAAGAGTAAAGGAAAAAGTTATTTTTAACTAGGAGCAAGATTTTTTTTTAGATCAGAATAAAAGCAGCTCTGAACGAGTTCTGGGAAATGGTGACATGTAAGATGAGAAGGAAATGGGAAAGACACCCCTACCATGTCTGAGGCAGGGGTGTCAGAACAACTGCATAAGAAAATCTATAAAATATGTACTCATACAGTGCCCACTCATAGTGCCAACAAAGCAAGAGAGAGAAAGAAAGCATATTTTAAGGCTAGTGAGAGTTCACTTCTTTACCATAGTAGGTTGTTCAGGTGATCAAGCACTTGTTATACCACCACTTGAGAGACCTTTCCAAAACTTAAATAGTTCTAGCACTCCGATAACACCTTAAGGCCTCTCCACAAACAACAGATGATATTACTCTGCCAGCATGTCAAGTGCACAGGAAGGCTGTATATACAAAGACTCCAGAAACAAAGCTCATATGGCCTTAGCAAAATAAATTATTCTTCAATATGGTGACAGCTTAGCAAAGGGCTTATAACTTTGTGTTGTTATAATAAGGCTGATGTACTTTTTAGAAAAGGGACATTTCCCATCAATTTGTTTCACTGCTTGTCTCCATTTAGTTTCTTCACCACATTAAAGGCATGCAGCAAGAAAAAGGGATCACAGTGTGTGATGTTGACTACTGTGAAGATCCAGACAAAAATTTAAGGTAGGACACATATACAAACTAACAAAAATCACAATTTGTTTTCCTTAAGGCAATTAATTTTCATGCATTGTAATTGTATGTACACTCTTTTCAGACAGAAAGCAAAATCATTTTATCAGACTATAAATTCACCAAAGTTAGCATATAATGAAAGAAACTACTAACCATTTCTGCCATGGCTGCTTTTGCTTTTTGTGCTTCTTTTTCTAACTCTTCCTTTCTTTTTTTGAAGGATTCAGAACTTTTGGAGAGCTTATCTTTGGTAGCTGTAAGATCCTTTATTAGAGCATCCTTCTCTGATTTCACTTGTTGCAGCTCTGATAATGCTGTTTGCATTTTACAATCTAATTCTTTGAGTTGCTTACTAGTATCTTGGTTTGATTTTTCCAGGTTTTGTTTGAGGCTGGCCTTCTCCTCCTCCTGCTTTGAAATTTGCTTTTTTGCTTGTTCAAGGGCTTCAGACTTCTTCTGCAAATCCAATTTAGTATTAGACATCCTACAAATACAAAGGGAAAAATAGTATTATTTGGTTTTAAATTCTTCTCCACAGCTCCTTTGTACCATTAATGTCTCTATTATTTAATATATTAACTGTAGAAGTACTTCAAAGCATACCACCTTCATCCAGAGCATAAGCATTCTGTCCCCCTGAGGAAGACATACCAACAACTTTAAAAACTATTTTGAGATAGACTTTTCCTCCTCAACTATAATGAGCAGAAACTACCCCTTTACTGTTTATGCATAAAGTGCAAACTAGTCTCTGCAAAAAGTTGCAAGGCTATGGATACTTAAAGATGAACCTCAGTGTTTAGATACCTAATGTTTAGATAGCTGACATTAAGCACAGTGAATGCTCTGAAGATGCAAACTGAATCAAAGCAGTCAGTGATTCACATGAGACAACATGGCAGATGGAGTCTGCACGGCATAGAGTGAAAGAAAACGTGGGATAAAATTCAGTTCTTGTAGCAAAGGGGACATACCACTTATCTATGATTTTCAGAAATCACAGCAGAGAAAACCAAAATTCCAACACTAGTCCAAACTACTCTAGTTCTATGTCTGACTTTGAAAAGCATAATAACACAGGAAATGCGTACGCTTCTCTTGCTGCTTCAAGTTGTTTACTCAGTTCTGTTGTTCGGAGGTCTAATTCTGTGGATCGCTGTCGCTGCTGCTGTAACTCCTGAAGAGCTTGTTCTTTGCTTGCTTTAGCATCAAGAATGTCAGCTTCAAGTTTCTGACATATAAAAATAAAAAATTAGAGCTATCAGAACACAAACAACAAAATCAAAATAGCAGTAAAAAAGAAAAAGTCATCTAGTCTGAGAGTAGCATTTATTGTAGCTAGTCTTCACTGCAGAAAGCAGTCACAGTGCTTGCACATTGTCTACCTATTTCATTAGTTTCTATTTGTCTTTCATTATTTAGTTCCTGCAAACCTCTTGCTCCTCCAGAACTGAACTATTTTGGTAAAATATTTAAAATCATCTTTAAATTAAAAGCCAAGCAGTCATTTTACTGCAAAGAAATAGATAAAAAGCACGTATCTTTAAAGAGCTTATTGAAAACACCTATATAAAGAAAGGCCATACACAGTGCTCAACTTTGGGGCCATGTTCCTATCCACCACTGAGTAGTTTCAGCAGTTTCAAATGACTGCGCATTTACATATCCCAAGAACTCTGCTATTCTTTATAACAAAAGCAAAGACACAAACTATACTGGTGAAAAAATCCTATGCTCATCTGGAAGAGGTTTTTATTGGTTTGTTTGGGGTTTTGTTTTGGGCTCTAGCTGTTTGGGGGGAGAGCAGGAGGGTGGTTTTGTTGGGTTGTTTGGTGGTGGTTTTTTTTCTGAAGGTGGTTCTTCATTTACTTGAAGTATAAAAGAACACAGGAGTCTTCAGTAAATGTGCACTGCTTAGACTCTTCAACGCACTGGCAGTTTTACAGGCACTTCTGCTTTCACACAGTGGCCATAAAATAAAACGGACAAGTTTTTCCAAGAAAATTCCTGAGGGCTCTTTGTTTTCCATTTTTTTTAAAATACCATGCATTCAACTGGAATGATCCCAAAGAATGGCAATGACGCTAAGGTTTTACACAGAATTGCATTCCTGTTGACAGCATCAACAACCCTGCACTGTTTCACACTTCAGCTGCCAGGAACCTCATAAAATCTTGTGCAAGCAAGCACTGTATTCCTCCCAAACATTTGTGTCTGTCGGTTACTTGTGACATTTTTGTAACAGGATGAGAAATAAAAACACAAATCAAAGGGAGTGGGAAAAAAAACCCAGTGTGCAAAAGAAGAGAGCAACGGAAACACAAAATAACTATGCTGGTATACATTGTATGACAGGTTTTTTTTAATAGCATTGGATTAAAATTTCTTATGAGGAGAACAATCTTATTTATTTTCTATAGAGCACATGAGAGTCAAAAAACTCTATGCTCAGTCTTGAGCACAGAGATTGCTAATCTCCCTCAAAACAGACAGGTAACACTGCAAAGGCAATTTTGCATTGCTCCCAAAGCCCTGTACCATATGCTTTTATGTATTGTGAATTTTGACTGCCAAACTTTGTAACAAATATTGAACAAAGGTTAAATCTCAAATTTAAAAGCTCTCAAGCACGAGGACTAATTCACATCCTTAACTGAACATACCAGTATCTCCAAACACCAAAAGGTTCTGCAAACCTCCTGCCAGGATTATTTAAAAGAAAAACTGATTCCAAAACTAGAATGCAAAATTCAAGATCAAGTTAGAAGAAAAACACAATAAATAAATCTTGATTAAAAGCCTCTGTAGAAGCTCACTGAAATGCTTTGGAAATGAACAAACCAAAGAAGCAAAACTTGGGCTAACCAATGTTAGCACATATTCCCTACTACCATTTTCAAAGTGTTAAAACTGGGAACTTGAAGACTCTAATTTTGGGATATATTCATATTCCCTCTCATAACACTTCCCAGGTATCACAGAGGTTGGTAGAAGCACATGTACAGGAAAACGACAGTACAGTGGCAATATCCTAATCCTATCTTCTTACTGTGATAAACTAGAACAGAAGAAGAGGAGAATAGGATTAAATGGTGGATCAGGAAACACAAGTGAAAAAGAAAACCTACAAAAGTGGTATTGATATAATCCTTCCCCCCTAATTTGAGCACAGCTTTAAACACATGCTACCAAACAGTGGAGAATATCAGTTTTTGTACTTAGATACTGTGTTCAGTACAAACCTTAAGCTGTCCCTCTAGGTCTTCAGTTTTCTGTTCTAAATAAAGACTTTTCTCTTTGTACTCTTTGAGACTGGCTTCCAGTTGAGCACAGTACTCCTGCTTGTCATTCAGCTTAGCTGTAACTTGATCCAGCTGAACGCTGACCTTATTTAACTCCTGAGGTAAAATAAAAGTATGACAGTTGTTAGTTTTTAAATAACTTCAAAAATTACTAATGTCATATATGATTTAAATGATGTAATGTGTTCCAATTAAAAAGGGAAATAATGTTTTTTTTTTATTCTGACGGGCAGGAAATTGAGAGGAGAAACACAATCGTGCACAAATTCTCTCTGTTAAACTGACAAAGTTTCTTTTAAAGGCTCGATATTCCTCTCAAACTTTACAGGCTGTGGGCTAAATCTTAACAAAGGTGTTTGAAGTTACAAATGGAAGAGAAATTGTAGGTAATAAATGCCACTGGATCTTGCACTTAATGGACCAGTAACTAGAAAGTAACATTATGAAGCCCTAGAGAAATTTTTTGCTGTCTTCATGAAATCGAGCACCACTGAAGAGGAAAGCCAATACCATGTGGAGTCAATTCTCCAAATACCAGAGATGATTTCAAACCATTTGGTTCAACACAAACAACACGAGCACATTCACCTTGTAACCACTATTATGACAGCTACATCAAAACTCGCTGCTTTCCAACCAAGCTGATTTATTTATTAATTAATTATTTAGTAGTTGGGGAAGAAAAGAAAGTCTTCTGCTTACAGCAATTAATTGCATTCCCACACTAAAAAAATGGTGCTATGTTAGCATCTGCTGGATGTTTCCATGAAGACCCCAGCAGCACTGATTCTAACAATGCAAATATTAGATTCAGCATCCGGTGGAATGCATCACTAGGATTAACACACATTAAAACATGCAATTTTAGCAACAGCCTTTGTACAGAATTACACCCAATAGGCCAGCTTTGATTCTGAACCATATTCCACAGCAAAGAGTGGATTATTTATACTACAAAATACAAGTAAATTATTTATACTATAAAACATACCTGGTTCAGATGACAGCAAAGAGAACTAAATACTTATCACATGGTTAAAATATCCTAAATTATTATTTCCAAATCGTAGAATCATAGAATGGTTAGGGTTGGAAAGGACCTTAAAATCATCTAGTTCCAACCCCCTTGCCATGGGCAGCAACATCTCACACTAGACCACACCACCCATGGTTCTGTCCAACCTGGCCTTGAACACCACCAGATATGGAGCGTTTACCACTTCTTTGGGCAAACCATTCCAGTGCCTCACCACCCTCACAGTAAAGAACTTCTGCCTTTCTGATCTTCCCCTATTTAAGTTTAAATCCATTACCCCTTGTCCTATCACTACAGTCCCTGATGAAGAGTTCCTCTCTGGCATCCATGTAGGTGCCCTTCAGATACTGGAAAGCTGCTATGAGGTCTCCACGCAGCCTTCTCTTCTCCAGGCTGAACAGCCCCAACTTCCTCAGCCTGTAATTGTACAGGATGTGCTCCAGCCCCTTGATCACCATCCTTTGTGTAGAGGCATACAAACCAAGCTCCGAATAAATCCAGGTCATTGGCTGGAGCAGATGGGGTAGCTCTGCATTGCTCCGAGCATTCACTACAGGTGCTGGCAACTGACTGGTACCACTGGGATGGATCGGTGCCCTCCTCCCCCATCAAATCTATATGCAACAAGTGCATGTTCACATGTTTATTCAGTTTGCAAACAGACTATTCTGAGGTTTTTAAGTAGTTTTTTCAGTAACAGAGAAACTTTATATGTTGATTATAACCTGTTGCTTATCTTGCAGTGCATGCTGGGCAGTGTCCAGGTGATTCTGAAGATCTGCTCTTTGAGCAGCTTTCGATGCTTCTGCTGAAAGTAGCAATTCAGTCTTTGCTTTTACCTGAAAGACAAGTTGTATTTCAGTACAACATCTATTTTACCATGGCTCATTTTAATTTTCTTTATACTTGTCAGTAAGTTTAATAGTAAAATCAGTAGGTTTTATGTGCTAGCATAAAAAAAAAAAAAGGAAAGAAACTCTTCTCAAGGTTTAGACCAATATTAGGATTTTAAGCCACAGAGTTCTTCTCTTTACCTGCTAACAAAAATAATGGGATATCCTTATTGCATTCACACCTATGCATACCATGATAGCCTCAGACTACATGCACACTACAGGGCCTTCAAACCTTCAAAATTCTTAAAAGCAAAAAGAATAAGAAACAAAAAAAAAAAATGCTTCCACACGTATGCTACCTCTGCTTCTACCTGCCTGTTTGCGAGCAACCTCCCTTCCTTCCAAAACACACAGCAAACCAAATTTTGAAGGTGGGTATGACTGGTGTTGGAGCAAAGTGGCAATATTCAGGGTCACCTGCTCTTGTGGCTTACTATTTTTCTTCCTACTAGAAATGCAACTTCTCTGAAGGCTGTAAGGAAGCTCACATTGTCTTAAAAAGCAGCTGTAACAGCTCATAGATCATAGGAAAAACAGCCCAGACAGAGCAGTGAAGCCTAGTAAAAATGGCACAAAACTACACTGGAAGAAATTCCTAGACCTGTTTGGAAACTGTATAACACTAATAACAAAAAACATCAGAGTGCATTAATCCAACAACAACAGTACTAGCTGCTCCAAGTGTACCAAGGCAAGAACTTCTGGCTAAATGCTGTTTGTTCTTTGAGATAGCTGAACACAATTAGCAGCTTTTTAGCTTAAGCAGAACTTAACAGTAGGAGAGCCCCCATTGAGTCCATGCTAGGAAATTTCCTTGTTTAATAAATTAAACTGACAACAAGGTGTCCTGCACTTTTTTTTGTTTTATTTTTGACAAAGACACCAGCATAGGAAACGTCGAAGCAACAACAACATCTTAGTGACACAACAGACTTTCACTCTGGTGCACAGAATCCAGGACTGATAATAGCTGGGTTTTGGATCCTGCTCTTTTTATTTAATCATAACAAATATAAGAAGAGATGCTAGAAGACAGATTTTTCCCAGCTCAAGTACTAACAATTTTTTTTTAATTTACAAAACCAACCGAACAAACAACAAAACCAATATAGAGACCCAAAAAAAACCACCAAAACCAAACAAACAAAAAGAAAAAAAACAAACAAACACTTGCCACACTTGCCATCTATTCTGTTCGGAATCCACTTACATTTTCCTCAATTTTATCTGCCTTATTCTACTTCATTTATCTGTTAGTAGAAACATGAATTTTTCCCAAATGACTTTGTACATTCTCTGGAAAGAACACAGCAATTGCATGCAGAATTTATCATCACCAGGCACTCCACAGTTCCATTACCTGTACATCAAGTTGTGATACTTTCTCTTTACTTTCATTTAGCTGGCTGGTTAGTTCAGTGATGTTTGCTTCTAGGGAAAGCACACGGTCTTGAGCAGCTCTTAGATGTGCCTTTTGCTCCTGTACTTGCTCATGCAAATTCTCTTGGGCTTGTTTATGACTTTCTGATTGATTCTTCAGCTTCTCTGTCAGCTGAGTTACCTGCAGTGAAAAAAAAAGTAAGTAGAAGAGAAAGCTGGAACAGCAAGTCCAAGGAAGTCATAAATCTTCTGAATTTTAGCATGTCTTGTCATGGCTCTGGAGACTCGACGCTATCACATTTCTTTTTCTGAACTGTTACAGTAAAGTTATATTGCAGACTATACCAGAGGTTAAACAGGTTACCAGCTGAAAATAAAAGCAAAAGGGTGTCATCAGTTTGGCCTTACGGTAACAAAACCAAAACACCAAGGAGACAACAGATCCAGGCTAAACTGAGTTTTGGCTTTGGCGTTGAAAGCTGGAATTAAACATCTTTTTAAAATAAGAGAAACAAACATGTACATGTATCAAAAAAAAATATTTGCAAGCACATATTACTAGAGTATGCACATAGGAAACATCTAGGAATTCCTTCCCCTATGCTGATAGCAAGGAAGTCACCAAAACACAAGTCCTGTGAAACGTACATTAAGATCTTTAAAGGAAGTGTCACAGAAGCAGCAAAATACAGGAAAGTTTAGCATTATACCTGATGAACTAGGAAAAAAAATGAAAACAGAATTCAGTAATGAGAATGAAACCAGTCTTCAAAAAGAAACAAGTCTTTGAGTTCGTACCTGTATTTGCAATGCATGGTTCTTCTCTTGTAGCTGGTTAAGAACTGCTGTTTCTCCTTCACCAGCTTGAATTTTTGCATATAAGTCCTCTCTTTCCTTTTCTAGCAGAGAGATGTTTTCCTTGCTTTTCTGAAGCAAAGCCTCAAGATTTTGAATTTTTTGGTCCTTATCTCCAATTTGTCGCAGTACTTGCTCCAAATCATTCTAGAAAATCGCATAATAGCTTCCTTAGTTATAACGATTTTAGAGGTTATACCTAATGCATAAGATGTTGGACAAATTTATTAAACACTTTCTGTATATTCTCTTCTAGATCTGAAAGTTAATTTACTGAAACTAATATAAGTCATGGAAGTCACTATTACAGAGAAAACATCTTTAAAATAATGAAATCCTGAAATACACTTTGACATGATGATACATAATCATGCTACCTGGGCTTCTCGTAGTTTTGCTGTAGTATTTTGCTGAAGCGTCTGCTGTTCCTGGTGCTGCTGTTTTGCCTTATCTAATTGATGTTGCAATTCCGTGGAATTTGCTGCTTTTTCCTTCAGCTGAAAAAAAAAAAACAACCCAAAAAACAGACAAATCAGACTGATGAGTGAACAAGCACCATGCAGTAAGCCAGTAGTTCTCCATGTTCCTTCTAACGCTAAAAGATTTTAGTCTAAACATGAATCTTTGAAACATGGTATAAAAATAGAACTGTGTAATGCTAGTTAAAGAATCAAAATCTAACCAAAGCATTTATTACTATTAATAAATGAGATCCTGTATCACACATATGTATTTTAGCTCTCAAAAATCTAAAACGTAAGAGATATTTAGTATGTTTTTTTTCCAATATTTGTCAAGCTGTAAAAAGACTGATAATATCGGTATCTGTAAAATGACATTATTATTACTATCATTAGCAGTTTTAGTAGAAACTTCAGTTTAGCAGTCTCCCCACTTCTATACTGGTCAAGGCTTTGCAAATTAGCTACAGATAAGCTTTAAATCTTTGACAACGTACCACTCAGGTATTTGGCCAATCCCCATACAGGCAGCAGAAAATCAGCAATATACATAAGACACTCATTAAAACAAATAAAAATTAATTAACCAAGTGCTTTGTGCCCATCCCTCCTACACAGATTATTACCTACCAACGACCTGCTGCACCATGTTCACTTTTTCTTTATGTACAGCTTTATCTCACAAGAATATTTACATACAAAACTTTACCCATACGGGCTTAGGCGCACCAAAGTTTTTTCCTTGTAAGACTCTTAGACAAAGTTCATAAGTGTAAAATGAATATCTTTTGTTCATCTGTAAAGTGCCATGAACATACATGCACCTGATAAGCATTTAGCCTTACAAAAGTCCGTAATGCAATTGGCATTTCAGCAGATTTTGACAATTCTACCATCTACCATTTGACTAATGCCTTAACAGCATTAGTCAAATGAAATCCCAATGAGGGCAAACTTTCTAAGCTGTAACTTCACCACAAGTGTACATACAGGCTACTGTCAGAAAAGAAGTAGAGTCTGCATAAAAGAACCTACCTGCTCTTCAGCTCGAGAAAGTTTCAATTGCAGATCAGCCACATGCTGCTCTTTGTCCATCAGCTTCTCACTAGACAGCTGCCTCTGTTCTTTGAGCCGCCCATGCACTTCCCCTAGCTGCCGCTCTGTTTCTAGAAGTTTACTGTGCAACTGCAAAAATAAAAGTCATCAATTTTGTAGTCATTACTTACCCAACAACACTGTATTTTAGACTCCCTTTGTACAATGTTAGCCCTAAGTTTTCACAACCCAGAGTAAAACAACCACATGAGCTCCCAAAGCCATGATGTACATCATAAAGCTCAGAAACACAAATCATGTTAAAGAACAGCATCAGCTGCACAAGTTTGAACAAATATTCAAAAAAGTAGGTTGGCAGGACCTAGAAGCATCATTTATCTACAGAAGACCTTCAATATGATTTACAGAGATTTAAGAATCCTGACAGAGAGAGCAATCCTTCAAAGATATAAGGACTATCATATAAAGTAATGATCCTTAGAGCAATTAAGGCTCATACAGCACACACCTTTGATCCTATAGATCCAGTGGCTGAAGCAGCATAACTTTACCTGCTTCTCTGGCTCCCACACATATTGTTTCTGCACCGCTAGAATAGTAAGAGTGTAATTTTTAGCGTGACCTGGCTACATCAATGGCATTCATTCTCTGCAGAAAAGAGATACTGAACCTTCAGTGTAGAGCACACAGTAACTTTAGTAATTTTCAGTCCAGCCCTTTCCAGCAACAGAGAGTAAGTAAGGGGCTGTGCTCTTCCAGCTGGACATAAGCCTGCCTCATGACTTTTTCAGCCATCAAAAGCAGTGCTGCACCATCTTCAAAGTGCAAGGATGGTCTTTTACAATTCATTGTTCTAAAGAGCTCTCTCCATAAAGTCAGCTTTTTCTTCTACTTGAAGCTCTCACAATAGGTCCTGGGTTACCACCCGCCTATTTCTACATGACCATATTCACAGATACACAAACAAACTTTCAACTCAATGCAAAAACAGAGAATGAATCAGACCTTGCAGCACAACAAGAACTTTCCCCAGGTATCAGGATAAGTAAAGCTTGCTTCCCTATGAATTTATGTCCAAGACCCTCGAATCATTCACTTTTTAACTCCAGGTCCTCCCTTCAACAACACTAAACCCTTCTCGCACTTTCCTCAAATCCCTGCTAGTATCTAGGCAAAAGCCTGCACAATCTTACTGCTCACTGCAAGCCACCACTTGTTGACCAGCTGGCTGCCTAGCAGTACAGAAAAAGGAACAGTGGTTTTGATAACATTAAAACTTCCCCTCAGGCACTGAGGGGGTGAGGCATTAACATGTCTTTCTCCTTTACTCAGCTACCTGTTTCCATAAGAATTTAACAGTGAAGAACCTAACTAGGAAGAACTTTGGGCCATCTGTCAAAATCTGGCTGAAGTTAGCAAACAATGCAAAAGTTACAGGGGACGGGGACAGGGAAACAAACATATCTATGCCTTATTTTCTTAGGAAACCAAGGTAAATAATTTGTTTATATGTCCACAACCACAAAAACTGTGAAGGAAAAGCTGTTTAGCATGTGGCCAAGATGCTGCCTGCTAGCTGACTGCACAGTTAAGAGGGAAGTAGGAGAAGAGGGGGGACGGAGTGTGGAAAAAGACCATAATCTCTCCTCAAGTGATCCAGAATGTTTGTCTTTTTCCACAATAATCACTACATTATTAATACTTCTTCCTCACTAAAAATATGAACAAGAGCTGGAGGAAAAAATCTAATGAAGAAAGAGTGCAGCAAGATAACTACTATATTCATGGCTACATTGATACTGGGAGAGAGTATCTGGAAAGGGGGAAATCAGCAAACAACATTGTACAAAAGTCCCTTTTATTATAGACACAGTTAAGTATTTCTGAAGGACTTTAAGACTGACCTTAGTAAACAGAATCATAAAATCCAGCATTAACCTATGTTGCAGTATAATAAAATAAATACTTAAAGTGTTCACGCGAATTTTGAGAAGATGGCAAGGATTCTTTGAAAATGCATTTTGACTAAACGGCTACCCTTTGTAAGCAGCATTCATTGAGTCAACATAAGCTATTGGACTACATGCATAAAACAGAAAATTCCATTAAAGTATGAAGTGAGCAAATATGAGAAATTTAGTCTTTTCATGACAATAGTAACTGAACACTTCACTTGTGTGAAGGGAGGAGAAGGTTTCGCTTGGCTTTTATTCTATTTTATTATTTTATTTTATATCATGTATGATAAGGGTTTTTTCCTCCACTATTCTTTCACAATTCTAAAGCACACCCTGAGATCCAGCAGCTTGTTCAGGTTTTCCTGCTTAGATTGTCTTCTTTCACAATGGTATCATCAGAGAATGTGTGATGCCTCCATTTCCTCTCATAGGAAAGCATTCAGCAATGCTTTATCCATCTTCCTTCTCTTTCGTTTTCTCACCCCAAATATCCTTCCTAAAAATGCCCTCTCAGGCTGAAGCCAGATTTCAGCTCAACCTCTTGGCTATGCTTCTGAAGCTTGCACACATATTGCCTATGCAGACTAAGGCAGTTTTACCAAGTGAGGATTCCTAAGCAGGTAACTAATATAATTATTTCCCCTCTCCCTGACAGAAGACTGACAGGAGGAGGAGAGTCATTCTGGGGATGTAATACCTACATAAATGAAGTCTTGCCAAGCCACAGCTCTTCCAGGATAACCTATAAGCTCACAGCTTACAACTTAATCTATTTCAGACTTTACAAAGGCTTGCAAATTGAGAAACACTTGCTTTAAAATTATAAAGCTTTCATGAGAGATCAAAATGAAGTTATACTAACGAAAAAAAAGTTGTTTTTTTTAACATCTTAGGATTAGACATGATTCCCAATGCACAAATATTTTTCCAGACTAACACATTACTCCCCAAGACATTAGATAAAACAGAGTTCAACCAGCCACAAATTTCAGCATGGTCAATGTTATATGAAAGTCCTGCTTCCATAACTCATTGGACTTAGCAGAACAACAAATAAATGGTGAGGGGATGTATACTCTGCATGTTCTCATAGCTATCAGCAACGTAAAGAGAAGGTGTTTGCACAGAGAGACGAAGCAATATTAAGATTTCAAATTTTCCCTGCTTTTCACACTAAGTATTCTCTACTGTATTCACTATTCAATTTTAAAGCACATAAAGCATTTTTCAGTTCTAATGTAAAATGAAGACTCACTTTTCTCAAACCTCCTATAGAGCAGTAAAATTACTACTAAAAGTGAAACTACTTCTAATAATCTACCTGAATTTTTTTTTCATAAGCTGAATTCATTATAGCTTCAGCTACCTTACTGAACCAGGATAAATAATCTTGCCGGTATCTTACGATTTGTCTATTACATTATTTATCATGCAAACTCAGTATTCTGGGTCGCCTTCTCATTTGACAATACTGCCCTTATTTCAGGCAATGCATCAACAAAAGAAGGGGAGGGGAAAAGTTGTAGGATGAAAGAAGAGTTCATTTAACACTTTAAGAGAAAAAGAGTAGAGGAAAAAAAATAGATCAGCTAAAGCTTTTTTTTTTTTCACATACAAAAATAGTAAAATAAGAACATGAGAAATAAGCCACAAAGTTTATGTTCATTCAACCTTAATATTCAAAACTGAAATTTCAAAGATAGTTTTAAGAAGAGATCCGGAGTTTGGACCTACTAAAAAGATCCAGACATAATGATAAACAAATACCAAAGAATTTCTGCACTCTTATCACAGCCTCTCCTTTTTTTTTTTTTTTTGCCAGTTCTTTTTTTTACTTATCCAAGGAAAAGAGGTGATTGCATTTCATTCTCTGCAGTGTTAGGAAGAATACATTATTCAAATACCAGCTAGCTTTACCTTTATTCAAATGCAGATACTGATTAGTTACTCCCCTTCAATAAGGAAACGCAAATGCATGAGCACAAAAAATATGCTTGCACAGTTTAAAAACCCCCAATGGGATGGTTTAAGGCACCATCCCAATAGGACAGTCTAGGAGGCTTAAGGAACCTTACCTGACTGAGCTCACTTTGGAGCTGCAGGCCATGCTGCTCTTTTTCTTCCCTCTGCTGCTGGAGCTGTTTACATTCTGCCTTAAGATGTTGGTACTTTGTCTCTACTTCAGACAACTCCTCTTTAAGTTTCTGGCTTGCTTCCCCCTTCTCACCTAGCTCTGTCTGTAATCTCTGTATTGAAGCTTCAGCTGCAGACAGCTTTGCCTGAAGCTGTTGGCAGTCCAGGTCCTTCTGGTGAAAGCTTGCCTGCACATTCTTCTTACTCACAGTTACTTCATTGTGTTTTTCTTCTAGCTGGGTGTAGTCCTGTTCTTTCTTCAGCAGTTTCTCAGTCAGACTCTATAAAGAGAGTTACACAGCTATTCAAATACAGTTCTGCTCACAGCCATTCAATGCATTATTCAAATTTCTTCTCAAGTGTTGATGCTGAACAGCAAAGAGCTTGCTTAAAAACATTATTAAAGTAAATATTGACCTCTATTTTGTTAATTCTGGAGCCCATACACACACAGTTTCAACTGGAAATACTGTTCTTCATAATCTCACCTAAATCCACTTCTTACTGAGAACACCACAAAAACTCTATTTCTGTATCCTGAAGACCAATTTGCTTTCCCTGAACATTTAAATTCTAGGGTATTACAACTGCATGTGTTTGGACAGAAGTTGAAACAGTAATTTGAGCTACTAGTATACACAAAAAAAAATAATCAAGTTATTACTGTCCTTCACACAATTCCTTAAGCAATAACACTTGTGGCTTAATTCCTGTCTAATCCTGTGCAGTCATCATGCTGATAATTGTAAGAAGTATCCTAATTTTGCCCTGTCACTATACTTACAAGAATGATCTGCTATCCGAAGCACGGAAGAGAACCTGTGAAAACTAATGAAATTTGTGATGTTGATAAATCTCTGAATGAAAGACTGATGATTTAATATTCATTTCAGAAGATTATATTTTAATTTATACTATTTAGTTTCCTTGCACACAAACCAACTCAAAGAGGATGGTTGCTTTGATTTTGAAAACACTAAAAATTGGTATTCCTAAAGGAAAACCATGAACATTGCTGAGTGTCAGATTTTCATTGTCATATTAACAACAGCAAATATTGCAGGGTCTAAACTCATACTATCAAATTTACATGCTGAAAAAATACTAGGAAAAAAATATTAACAGATCACTTTCAGCTATTACTTAATGATTTTTATCAAATTTCAGGAAATAACCAAAACTATATTCAGATAGAAATTAAATATCTTAATGGACAAAATATCATTCCAGAAAGTTTGGGTTTTCCCCCAAGGTTAGCTGAGCCACTAACTAGAATTCGAGAACAAAGAAGTCATGAGAACCATTTTAATTTTCCAGTGGCACGTTTTAAAGCACAGAAACAGTTGCAGGGAGGCCCTGGTCATCACCCAACCACTAGCAACTCATTCCATCTTCTTGAAATGTACCAGGAGGTTCCATTTATTGCAGCATCTTACTGACATCTACCTCAGCGGAGCATTACTATGCAGATCATTTAAATCCTTGTGTTCTTCTGGCAGTTGTAGTGAATACTATATTCTCTGTTCTCTTTCAATTAAAATACAGAAAAATAAAGAACATTTATAGCACATCAGCCTGAAAAAATGCCAACACCGAAGTCAGTCTTATGTGTCAAAACTTCAGACAGCTCTGCGACTTTGGAATAGCAGTTACAAAGACAGTGCTGCAATTCCAGCTATGCTGGCCATCTTACAAGTGCACTGCTGTGCAGTATCCAGGGATGAAACCTGTTTTGCCAGAAGAAAACAGCTGTAAAATCATTCAAATAAACTGAACAGCTGAATAGTTTTGTTCTATGGATTTTAGCAAATTATGACTACATTGGTTGTTATAAACCATATACAGACACTTCTATTTTACAATCATGATAAAATAAACAGAAGAATCCAGAAAGAAAAGAGAGGTTAGAAAACAAGCAATCTTGCAAATAACTCCAACAGTCCAGCAACCCATGTGAGAACAAATATAATTATATAATTAATGCCTATGTGTCCTTTTACAAAAATGTGTATTTTCTAAAGTATACAACTAAGTCAGAAATTCTGTCTTAACATTAAACTTTGGCTATTGAATTCTAGACCTGAAGGAGTATATTTTGAAATGTTTCTTGAAAAATAAAACAACTTGGTGCTGCTAAAGTTATGCAAAAGGTATGCATAAATTTATTTTTGCACACAGGAAATGCAGGAATGGACCACATAAAGAACATAACTGAGGTCAGGTGCCATCTTTACCCTCTTAAAGTCAGTGACAAGGCTCCCACTGTTTTTAGAATATATTTCACCTTCAAAATAGAAAATAATGTTGCAATTTCCTTTCCATTAAAGAGAAATTACCAGGCAGGAACATTAATACTTGCACTGAAGAGTGTTCCTGAAATACCAAAACACCACAGACTCCTTTTCACCTATAGCTGGGCAAATCAGAGCTAAAGTATTAAGCTTACTACTACTTTATAACTGGAGCTACACGTCACAATTAGAACTGCTATGAACTACTTCATGAAGAGTCAGTGCAGGGCAAAAACTTAAGTTGGGGGCAGGGAGGTGTAAAAGAAACAATTACTGTTGTCTTGAAGCAGACTGAGACTTGAGGCCACAGAGCTGACAACCTATGGTCATTCAGGTTACATCAGTGGACCCAGCAGTGTTTCTTATGTGGATGCATGTCCCAGCTGCATCCCAGATATATATGCATCCCAGATATATAAAGAGATATGGATACACGCAAGCCACCTCTCCTCTCCAAGCCTTCATTTCCACAGAAAAGGAAGAGGAAACGACAGTATGTTACAACAGTCAACAGAAAGCCCATAGCCTTTGAAGGCCACAAAATGCAATGGAGAACACCACATCAATCCCCTCTTTTAAAACTGCTCCTTGGAAAAAGTAAATATAATACATGCTAGTCGTGACAGTGGCTAGGCATTAAATAACAAACTCTGTGGGCACTGATTGAATTTCAGAATAGTTACATCAGTAGAGGGTTAGAAACTAAGCTTTTTTCCCTGTAGGTAATGCATCACAATTTTCTTATTAAAAAAAAACAAACAAAAAAAAAAAAAAAAAAAAAAAAAAAAAAAAATACAAATGCAATGAGTTTAGAAGTCTTGTACTTCAGGGAGTATGCTGGTTTTACACATTAGGTCTCTTCTGGGCTACCGGCCATTACTGGCCTCTGCAAGGCAAGCCAAGACCCAAACTTACAGTGCTCTATAAATGAAGGAAAGTTCCACTGGTCTCTGAGAACTGATCTTATCTACTTGTCATTCACTCTTCTCGGTATAGATTGCTTGCTTGAGGTTGTACATGAGCTTGAAAAAATCTGCAACAATGCACAGAAATACCTTCCTGCATTGCAATGGAAATATGAATGGATGTACAAATAAAAACACAACACATTCTATCCTGTATTAATGGCTCCTCCCTCCTCCCTGACAGCTTCTTCTAGGATAGCAAACTGTTTGAAATGTGAGCAATTTCTGTTATTTGGGAAGCTAGTGTTACCTGTTCCAATTCTACGTCCAATTCCTCCAGGGCCAAGGTTCTTTGGCTAGCATACCATCCTTATGGCTATCACCTTTCAAAAAGCTGCATAAAGAAATGGCTGTAAACTGGTTTAAGTCATTGAAACTGAAAGAGGAAATGTAGCTTGCTGCCACTTCTTCCTATTCCTCAAGTGGTATTTGGCATTAGCCTGACATAGCAGAGGACTGTTAAATTATGGTTATCTTATGCATCAATCTGTTTCACTTCACATTGTTAATGGAATAGCAATATATTCAGGCAAGGCCTCTTATCTTGTACAGCAATACTTCTGTCAAAAGTTTGATGCAGTGTTGCTGGTCTGTGGAAAAGTACAGCTCAACAATTCTCACCATTTCAGTTCTGTACCTGATTTAATGAGCCAAACCAAGAGTCACCCTAATTCACCAAATTTTAATTGCACCTTATTATCTTCTTTGCAAAGGCTGTTTTAATATTAATTACATTAAATACACACTGTTTGGTCTCTGTCTTTTCCTATTTTTCAAGATCAACAAGGTTGCTGGTGAATACATATACATAATGTGTATAGTTCATACACAGTGTTAGATAAACATGTAACAATCAGCAGCATGCATAGAATCATAGAATCAGCTAGAGGTTGGAAAAGACCTCCAAGATCATAAAGTCCAACCGCTACCCCATGACTACCAAATCCACCACTAAAGGCCTCATCTACATGGTTTTTGAACACTTCTAGGGATAATGATTCCACCATGTCGTGGGGAAGCCTGTTCTAATCCCTGATCACCCTTCTGGTGAAGAAATTTTTCCTAATATCAAGTCTAAACCTCTCCTGGTGCAGCTTGAGGCTGTTTCTTCTTGACCTATCACTTGTTACTTGGGAGAGGAGACTGCCCACCTCCTCTCTGCATCCTCCTTTCAGACAGTTGTAGACAGCATCTTTCTCCCTGTCTCCTTTCCTCCTTTACTTACATTTCTTTCACCACAACACATACTTTTTTTAATGCAAATACAAAAAATGCAGAAAGCTGAAAGGGCTTCAATAAAAGCTCTCAAGGAATACTTACAAGCTGAGAAGCTTCTGGAGTTTATTTCCATTTTCTACCATTCATGACTTTAATAAATGGCCATAAAATATGACAGGACTACAATCTAAAAGCTAAGAAACTGCAAAACCAATGAAAAGAGCTAAAAATGCTTTCTGAATTATGATTTTTAGTGAAACACTGTAACATTTCAAAGGGTACTGATTTTTCTTTGCATGTGTGAGATGGCAATACTGCTTAATGACTGGTAAGCATAAACTACAGCAATTAGAAATCTGCAATCGTAACAACCCTGAGGATTTCAGTTGTAACATACTGATGATCATTAAAATATAGTGTTTGCTTGTACAATACCCTTCACATTAAGCAAAATGGCAAAGGAATTTTCAACTTCTGCAACCCCAAGAAGTGTTTTGCTACAGTCTTCAATGCTTCCCAAAGCAGAATGTGATGTGTTTCCATTTTAATATGAGCTGACAAGCATAGAAAATAACGGCATTCTCACCTGGTTTTTTTGTTGCAACTCTTTGACTGAACTTTGAAGTTTTTGCAGCTCCTGAACATACACAGCTACCTCCTGAGGTCCTTTGGCAAGTTCAGCTCTCAACTGGTTAATGGTAGCCTGATCAGACAAATAGAAAAATCCACATTTAAAACAATGCTCTGCATGCATATCCCAACAAAAGCAAGATGTCTGGTAGCAAAACAAAAAAGTACCTTGTAATAAAAAACAGCCTAATAAAAAATCACCTGCAAATTAATCTCAGAGCACCATTAGCTACAGAAGCACTACTTGAGCATAATTTCCCAGCTGAGATTCATTCATGTCCTACTTCCAGAGACAAAAATTGGTTCCAGTCCAATAGGAAATGCCAGGTTGAGCCCACAACCAATAAAAAGCACAACAGATTATCTATTAATCATTACCATAGTTCTAGCTCAAGGTGAAACCCTCCCAAGTCATAGCAGTTACATGGCCAAAAGCTTTGCCTCCCTCGTAAGGAAAATTTACTGGAAAAGGCACTAGAAGTGAGTCTGGCATCTGATGCAAACTCAGTTTGCGACTTTTGGACACACCAACCCTGCAGGTCAGCATAATCAGGGAACAAAACTACTCCATTAAAAGGATTGGCACAAAACAGAATATATCAATGACTGCAAAGTATTTGAGTACCATAATGGAAGCAAAAAAGAAAAGCACTTTAGATGGGTAACAATTGCTGCCCTAAAAGCATGCTGTGTATGAATGCACTCACTATGAATACACTATATAATGACCTTTTAAAAGAAATTTTCCTTCTTATTGTTCTCTTAACTACAGATTTCAGCATAAATGTATAAATACCAAATTTAAGTATAAACTAAAGCAGAAGTAGTAGACAATAAAACATACTAGCTACAACCTTCGTACAGAAAACGCATATAAAAGAGAACATATGAACATATTATACAACTACATACAGTTATTAACTGACTTTCTGTACTGCTGTGCTTTACAAAGACTGTTTTGTTACGGAGCTGTTAGGTAAAACACATCCTGGGATCTGCCTCTGGCAGGCAAACATTCCAGGATGTTCTCAGGAAACACAGCATGGGTTTTTCACTACTGAGAGAATATAATGCAGAAAACATGCAAAAGATTGCTAAAGATACCAATGCAGGCTTTCAGACTAGAATCATAACTTATATCCATAAAGACACATTTCCCTCACAATTCAAGAAGCCCATCCTACATTTCATTCTTAACATGGAAATACATCATGAATGAATACTCATTCCTGATACTGACTGCCTGATGTGTCTGTATGATTAACTAATCAATAAGCAAAAGAGAATGTATCTGTTTAATAACCTCTTGAAATTATCTTGATACAACAGAAATCTACTATAAGCATAAAAAGGTTTCAAAAAATTTACCTCAAATTTAAGGGTCTCCATTAGAAAACATAACAAATAAAATGGATGGATGAAAGATGGAAATGAGCAGTCACAAAAGGTATAAGTAAACACATTTCCTCAAATTTGTTTTCAAATATTCTGGTGGTTTTAATGCCTTTGCTTAGTGGAAGAAAAAAAAAAAAAAAACAGTCTTCGCTTTATTAAATTTACCTATAATTTAACCCACTAATTTTGTTTAATTCTGTGAACACTAGTTAACAATAAACTCTAGGCCCTGTATTCTATGAAGATTTATCAGATACTGAAAAAAACCCCAATCTGCAGAGGTTCATAGAAATGCTTAGTTCACAGCAATGCATATGTTTTCATTCTGTGTTTACTATGGAGGAGCCAATATAGTGAAAAACTAAACATGGAAATAATAGCTCAGAATGAACATTCATCTGAGATACACACACACCTGAAATAAGGCAAACACCCAACCATAATGCACACATTTAGGCGACAACTGTAGAGCTGCACAGTTCTTCACATTCCCCTCCTGCAGCATCTAAAAATGCTCACACAGGGTTAAGATTATCTTGGTTATTTTCTTCACCCATGCCATAAATTTAACTTATTTTTAAAACATCTTCACTTTGGAAACCAGAATTATCCTCAGCCAGCTTGGCAAAATAGTCAAGGATGGCATAAGAATCACTTTCAGTCCTTGAGGAGCTCTTAAAGAGCAAAGCTCTTAAACAGCAAAACATGAAACATGGCCAAACTTTTATGGCCAGAACTGTACCCATTCTGCCAATGAAGGACTTCCACTTCTTGTTTTCTTATGGCTAACACTTTCCATAACTGTGGTTTTTTTAAGAAAAGTAGAAAAGTTTTCACCACTATGACTTTGAGTAATTTTGATTTTTTAAAAACTTCTGATCAGTCACTTTACACTGACAGGAAAGCTTTTAGTGTGAACACATCTCGGGTTATTGTTGCCGTATGTTGGAATTAAGCAGAGAAGACAGTAGCACTTCTCAGAAGAACCAGATTACCACTGCTTACCACGTTCTGCCACACAGCAACTCGATCTTCTCTCATTCAGCCTACATACTGATGATACTACACAGACATCTGATATAATTGTTGCAATGTAGCTTATAATCCTTCTTAGAATGTAAGAATTGTTATGTGAACACATAATAACAGCTAAGGGCATCGTGCAGCCTTCTCCCCAATCTGCTCTTACTTCCAGAAGGGCTGAAAAAACCTTCTTCACTAGTCTTTTTTCCTGTTAAAAGCTACACTTTAAAGCTACATTTTAAAATGGCTAGTTATGTCAAAACTTAAACATACCTAATTTGAGGGAACAAGAACAGTTCGCACTCCTATGAGAATGTTTTAAGATGAAAGATTTTTGTTACACCCCTACTGCTATGTCATTTTATCTTCACATGAAAACTAAATACCCCAAACCACAAAAGAGTACAGAGACAGTATTTTGAAATGAAATTTAAATTCCACAGCATAGTTGTGGGATCTCACAGTTAAAACCAAACTGCGATTATGCAGCAACTTACATGGCCACATAACCACATTATATTCATAATACCAACTGTGATATTCCTTTTTTCTGATCTGATTAAGCTCTTGGCACACATAATTTTAACTTGAAAACAATGGTAGGTTCATGTTTAGTACAAAACTGTACCCTTGAACAATTCCTGGAGCTCAACATATCTGCTGGGAGGGGAGGTAGAAGGGAAAGCCTGAAGAAATTCATAATAATTCCAGGCAGGCAGCACTTCTCTAAAGCAAGTGCAAATGAACAAAGTCAAAACTGCAGTTCTGAAATCTAGGGCACATGAAACCCTAGAATAAAAATATACCAGAAATACTTCATATCCACAAATCTCAACAGGACAGAGGATACTAGGAGTCCTACAGAAATCGTAGGCACTCCCTCATGTAAACAGGGGAGTGCTGCAATGACCCCACTTCACTGTGGACCACAGCTCTGCGTTGACAAGTTTTGCTGATATTGCTGTACTGGTGTGGGACAATAGAAAAGGGGGAGGACAAAATTAAAAGGTCTTAAACACAGCTGACAGTCTTCAGTGAAGACTTACCCTGTCAAGTCATCCATTTGTAAAACTACACCAACCAACCTGCCAGACAGGTGCAACAGCACCCAGCAAAGAGAATTCTTTGGGAGGTATGGATTTACCAACTCATCAGTAAATAAATCATACATCAGACAAAAGCCCTTTTAGTGATACTGTAATTTTATCAAGATTTCTTGCCATTGTCTCTGTCAGAGAGCTCCCTCACTGTCACGGTAAACAACATCAAACAGGCCAGGAGTGATACAGAATCACAGAATCAGAATGGTTTGGGTTGGAAAGGACCTTAAAGATCATATAGATCCAACCCCCCTGCCCATGGCAGGGATACCTTCCACTAGACCAAGTTGCTCAAAGCTCTATCCAGTCTGGCCTTGAACACTGCCAGAGATGGGGCATTCACAGCTTCCTTGGGCAACCTGTTCTAGTGCCTCACCACCCTCACAGTAAAGAATTTCTTTCTTCTATCTGATCTAAATTTCCCCTGTTTAAGTTTGAGAAAGTTTGACGAGTAAGATTCACTCTTACAGACCAAAGTCAGAGATGTTGCATTTTATGGAAGCAGAAGTGTTCACTGGTGGAAAAGCAGAGAAACCAAAACCAAGAACACTGAATATTTGCTATGGGAGAAGCAGTTAGCTTTGCTTCCTTTAACACAGAGTTATCATCAATTCTGTATGTAAGAACAATGAAATTGGACAAGTGCTTTCAAATCTCCCATCAGCAATTTAAAACTTCTTCCACTGACAGCCAAAGCAGAACAAGCCTTCACAAAGTACTTCTGAAGAAATCAGCATATTCTGCAGCTCAAGTAGACAGTTAAGATACTTCATAAATGTGATAAATTTAAAAGTTCAAAACCAGCATAATAAGGAGAAAAAAATATTAAAAGAATAAACCTAACATGAGAACAACAGATTTTATTTTATACTTTAGACCTTTGGTCTGCAGCAACAAAGATAGAAAAGGTGGTATCACCTGGAAACAGATTACAGGTGACATCCTGACATCTTGATCTTGAGACATGGTGAAGCCGGGCTGTCACTCACTTTCTGCTCTACTTGGTAACAGGCAACACTTGAAGCCAATTATGCAGTGGACTGAGGGAGGGCAAGTGTGCAGCACAGATTTGTACCTTACACACAAAATATTCCTATAATAAATAATAGGTGCAAAAAAGCCTCCCATTTGACATTAAAACTAGGAAAAAAAAAAAAAGAAAACCAGTTTATCTCAGTTCCACTGACATTTTTAAATCTTGTGTAAGTTCAAGAATTATGTATGTCTTACGAGAATACTGCAATTATTTTTACCTTGTCTTAATAATTTCTCTTTTATGTATTTTAACACTAGCATCCATTTTCAGGCACATCAACTCAAATATTAACCAAAAACATCATTTTCAGTAACAACTGGTTTTGTCTGGATGTCACTTAGCAAGAGAAACAAGTCTTCAAATCACACAGGTATTGCTTTACTTTTCCCTCCCAGTACAAACAGCACAGCTCTGCTAGAAGGTTTCTTCCTCTGCTATTGGGTTCTTATAATAACTTTTTGTGCCAAGAAAAAGTTTTACAATGAAAAACGTGGAGGCTTTTGTAGAAAAGACAATTTTTTGACATAATTATGCAATTTACTACAATGAAGAAACATCACTATTAGATAAGTTAGAAGATTTGGTTAAGAGGCTTTTTTATGATGAATTAATATTTTCTATTTTTTATGAAAATTGTCGTAAAGCTAGCACGCACATCTTTAGGTATGATTATTACCTCTGAATTAGCCTGCTCTGCCTGCAAGTGCTTGCACTCGTCTTTCAGCTTTTCAGATTCTCTCTCACATTCCAGTGTCATTTTGTCCATCAACGTCTGAACTTGGACCAGCTCCTTTTTCAGGACGGCCACATCTTCCACACCAGGTCTCTGTAGCTGAAAAGTAGCAGAGTAGCAGTGAGCAACATGCTGTTGGCAGACATGCTTCCAGTGTCAATATCATCTCTAAATATCTTTTAAATCACTAATCTATACACAAGATGACATATACTGTATTATAGCAGAGAAAAAAAGAACAAACTCCACACAAAAACAGAACCATGGAAAAGTACTCAGCATTTCCAAAGGAAAAAGGATTTAATGGCTGGTTGCCAGTTTTCACCTGCTAAACTTAGAACTTGTTGATTGGTTTCAATGAAATCTGACAAATGAGAAAAGGTCTCAAGGATTATATTTCAGTAATTTTTATGTAGGTAGATGCCTAGGTACAGGAGGGAGACATTCCCTGGAAAAAACACTGAAATGCCAGGGAATCCATGCAACAAATTTATCTGAAGTCACAATTCACTGATAAGTAGGAATACTGTATATACTTCGCTGTTGTAATACAAGCCCATCTCAGGACTGAGACACAACATAATCCAGTGCTACACAGACTTTTATAATGATGCTGCCTCTGTCTTCAAGAACTGTTTAAAAAAAAATCCACAAGAACAGACAAAAAAAAAGGAAATGTCTTGAAAGTACGTAGACATGCCTTATACCAGATCCATAGTTAAAATCTGTTGGTAATTATATCTAAAACACCCCAATGACCCTCAAAATGAAGCTATGGAGGGAAAGGAGAGGGAAGCCAACAGTGGGCACCGAAGAAAGCAGAGGAGTGTTGGCATCTAGAACAGCAAAGTTACAGGAAAAGGGTAAGAATGCAGAAGGAGAAAGGAAGATGAGAAACAACTAAACAGAGGGGAATGGGTAGGTCCAGTGGCTGGGCAGGGCCAAGAGTAACTCATGAGCCCTTCAGGGCAACTAACTACAGACAAAACGAGGGATAAATGAGTCCTACTTTCCTCCAATGATGTCTAAGCAGTGGTTGAGTGGGGGAAACTAGGAAGTCCCCTTCACTCCTGCTTTAGAAGTGGTACAACTGCTGAGTCACTGGGATTGCTCTCTGGAGTCACGACTGTATATAAAAGTCACCAGGAGACAAAACCCTGGAATACACCCACACTGGTATTATCAGCCAAGTGCAAGAGGGACAACATTAACATAGGCATGGTGATGACAGCTGCCAGCCTTTCAGCCATCATGTCACAAAACACCTTGCTTCTTACAAATGCAGCTGTCCAGGGACAGTCAGAGCATAACACCTCATGGAAAAAGGGTGATCTAAAGCTGTGGAAGTCAGCCACGGCATGATCCAAATACAGGCCTGCACAGAACATCTATATGTGCAATACCCTGCAAAACTGCTGAAGGGTAGAGCATCAAATAAGCAGACTACAATATAAAGTAGGGTAAATTTTAATACATGAGTCAGAAACAACATGTATTTCCTTAATGGAAAAACACTGAAAATGTAGGTCAGAAAAACAGATGAGAAACAATGGTGTTCTGAACTATTTCAGCCCACAAGCAGACATCTCCAAGTTCAACAGAGTTCAACTGCTTTAAAACTGCATTTGCAAGCATTTTAAGTATATCCCTCCCTGGACTTGAAAATAACAAAAACATTAGTGTGATGTGAATACCAGCTCTGTCTTTAAATCTTCAACTGTACTTCTCTCCTTCTGCAGTTCTTGTGTCAGGTTTGTCACTTTCTGTTCTGCTCCCTCCCGAAGGCTGATTTCTTCATCATACTTTGATTTAAGTTCTAATAAGAAGGAAGTTAAATAAATAATCACTTGCCCAAGTTGCCCAAGTAGAAAACAGAATCAGACCTCATGTTAATATACTTACCCACAATTTCAGTGGCTAGTTGTGCTGCTTTTTGCTCAAATAAGTCTTTCATTTGCTTAATGTTAAAATTTTCTACTTGGATCTCTTCTAGTTGCCGTTCTAATGATTCTATTTCCACAAAAAGAACAGTATTATTTTCAGAAGAGGTAAGACAATACAATTATGACCATAACGAACCACAGCAGGTAAATGAGTAATCCAAATTCACTTAACATCCAATTAACTTAGCAAAGTGAAAAACTTTACTGAAGTTAAATATCTGCAAGCATGATGCTGGAACCTGTCACTAGTTGAGCACTCTGCAGGATTAAGTACATATTGGTCACAAATAGCAACGGGCTGCTGAATTGTGAGCCCCAAACTGTGATTAAAAGCTTTAATCATGATCAGTCAGACACTTTACACTCACATAAAGAAAATTTTATTCCATGAGTGCCTCGTGGAGAAAAATACAGAGCAAAAAGTATTGGTCTGCTAAACAAAAAGTAAAAAAAAAAAAAATAAAAATCATTGTTTACTTTGCTAGCAATGAGTACAGAAAAACACTAAATAAAACCAGCCCTCACAAGTGCTATAGTTTAAACATAAACAGTCACAGTCTTTCTCAGCAAGAGACTTGTACTGAATGCTTGAATATATGAAATTATGAAAAACATGCCCAAAACTATTTGTGAGCACTGCTTTCAGAGTCAGAACTTCTGTCTCACTTCTAGAAATTACAAATCCCAAGCCTCTAGAACTATTTCCCCAGACTATGCCTATCAAAATCTACCTATCTCAAGCACTTACAATGAACTTGTTTTCCAGTAATTTCACCATTCCAGCTTTCTAGCTCTTCAATTTACCAAAAGTGCTTTTTCACAAACCTAAAAGCTACACTGAATAAAAAAAACAGAAATTCCAGACAGTGCAGAAATTAATATAAGAAAATGGTAGCCACCTGTAGATGTAGCCGTTGTCAATCCATCAGACTTAGAATCCTTAAGAAAACAGAATAAATGCATCATTAGACAGAAGGAATAAAAATTACTACTACCACCAAAGTTCATCCCATTTTTGGAAAAGACAGAGATAAATAAAGACTTTCATGCCAAATACTGCAAAGCAGATTAAAATACCCAATTTAAACAGTTACATCTCAAAGACTGAAAAAGGCTAAGATAATTTTCCATTTCATATATCACTACACTATCAGGCTTCCAGACTTGCAAGACAACCAGTAACAGTCCCTTCCCCCTCCCTCTCCTCAGTATTAAAATGTGCCCTAAAAACAGAGGTTACAGATATCACTAAGTACATTCTGAGAAGGCATTCTATCAGAAAGCAATTTCTGAGGTTTGTTACAATCCAGTGTGTAAGTAGCTCACAGTAACAAAAGAAGCAAGAGCTTCCTTAGGGCACAATGTACCAGCATTGCCCTTGCCTTGTTTGTTCAGTTCATCTGCATATCAGTGACATCAAACTATCGTTCTCCAAAAGTTCTTACAATAAAGACCTGATTGCCTTCCTCATAACAGAGAAATGCCACATTTGGTTTATCTGCTTTAATAAACTGAGTTCTGAATAAGCCCAACAGAAGGAAAAGTCTGAACTGGACTTGCAGTGAGTAGTATGGAAGAATCATTATCTATTCTGACTTTGTTCTTCAGATTTATAAATACCTCTCCACAATGCTCTGTTTTCAAGAACATGTCAATATTCAAATTACAGAACTAACTAAATCAGGCCACGTGCCTTACAAAAAAGGTATTAATCTTCAATGTCAATGCTGATGATAAACCTGCTTCAAGTATTTTAAAGCAATTACTTGCTGCCGCTGCCCCTGTAATTTCTCTAGTTCTTTCTTCAGCTCTTCTGAATACCACCTCTCCTCCTAGGGGGAAAACATACAAAGAAAAAAAGGAGATGGGGAGAGAGAACGGTAAATTTGGTTGCTTTAGAGAGTGGAACATTTTGCAATTTGAAACAAAGAACCAAGTGCAATTAAAATACATTTCCAACCTTCAGTGAAGCTTGCAAGTCTTGGACTTCTTGTCGGAGCAGTGATACTTCATCTCTGAATAAATACATCCACAGAGTGGAAAAAATGAATATGAGTAGTTATATTTTGTCAATTACATACAGGTTATAATGTGTATTAAATAACTGGAGTGATAGCCATGTACTACATAAACAAAACATAAAAATAAACATAACATAAATACTTCTTTGATTTTTTTGAAACTTGGAATAAACCAGATTAATAGATACTTATTAATTCACTTTGCACATCACTTGAAAAATGCAAAACACATTAATTGGAAAAATAAAGAAATAGATATGCAAACAGTCTCATTAAAACACAGTGTAAATCTAACTGAGTGCATCAGCTCAACCACATGAGTTCATAATGGCAAAGCTATGCACTGGGACATTTAACTGTTTTGCCTGCCTCTTTATGAAAATGACAGGTTTATTCTCCTTCACTCCCTGTATGACAGAAAGGAACACTGCTAAGAGACACTCATAATTTTTCATGTACACAGCAACTCTGTATGCCCCACAGACACATTCACTTAATGGTCTGAAATTTTAAAGCCTTGGGATTTTAAATTCCCAAATTTCATCCTCAAGCCTCCAACCACGCAAGAACACAAGATCCAAGGCTACAACTGTTACTAATTGATTTAGTCTCCTTACAGAATTGCACAACTATACATGCAAGGATGATGTTGCATTACCGAGATACAGCTACTCCAAGTCTAGAATACACAGGTCATTAAAATAACTCAAACATATCCTTTCTTACTGTTTGTACAGTGGCAAGACTGAGGAGTACACAGAACTCCTCAGAGTATATGTATGTGGGCGCCAATGCCAAAATAGTCTCTCAGTTTTACATATACCATACAATTTTATCGCTGCTGTGCCGCATTATCCCCTCCTCCACAGTAGTTATCTTAAATTATTTCATACTTAGGAGGAAAAAAACAAACACAAAACAACAAAGCAAGCTATTCCTTAGCTGAACGGGGAAGAAATACATCCAAGTCTACATTAGCATGTTAACGTCAGGTCAGGGCCATCAAGAAGCAAGTGAAACACACACACTTGAACCAGTGAAACAAGAACTCAAAGGTGGATCAATTTCAATGGCAAAACAAAGAGAATATTGGGAGGCTAATTTTATTCAGAAGAAGATTTTCTGCTATTTGCACATTGTTGTGCCTGAGACATTCACTGCAGGTTTGCAAATACAATTTTACTGAGGCAGGTATAGCTGCAATCCAAATCCCGTACATGGCTGTGGGAGGCAAAGAGGGAGCAGCTTTCTCACCAGTATGAGTAAGCAAATCAGCTAATATGCTCACTTAAGATTATAAATGAAATCTCAGGCAGGTGAAACAGTTAACTGTATTGAAGCTGGGCTGAACATATACCAGATCTGCAATACTAAAGCATTTAAGATGCTCTGGTCTTTGTAGCAGATAAAAGGCTTTGAGCTACATAAAAATAGTTTGTAGTAGATGGGAAGGAAGAGGGGAGGAAAAAGGGAAAAGTGCAGTTGGCTCCATACTCCCAACACAGTTTTGCTTGATGATTTTAAGATGAAACCTAAATTCAGTGTAATCAACCAGTGGAAAATGGGGGGACGGGGGCGGGGAGGAAGTGTAAGGGATCACTGTAGACACTGTAACTTTGTTTTTCTTACTGTCACACAAACCCTCACCAAATCTGTTTTTCCGCTAGGCCTGTTACAATCCCTTCCTCCTCTCAGCACATCTGAGCCTCACCATCTGGCAAAACCTTACTACTTTTCCTTAAGCTCCACTCCATTCATTACCTGCAATGCCAGTGCCTCCATCCTAGCATGGAGTAGCAATGGCCTTGCTGAATTGGCTGGGGTAGAGTTAGATGATTCACCCTTGGCACATAATCATGGCAGTTTACTGGCAGGTGGGAGGAAGAGGATGCAATGTAACTCACAGTACCTAACTTTTTCTATTGACTAAATAGGGAATTTTACCTCCCAGTCTTGGTACTATGAATTACATGCAAGCTTCACTCGTAGTTGGCTGACAAAGTGGCTCCCTGATGTAGCCTGCAATATTTCTTTAATACAGTATTCCAAGTCTTGGAAAAACATATTTATGTTGAATGAGAGTTTTCTCAAGCAAGCATGCAACAGAGAAGCATTAAAGAATACCACACTAATAGGAAGAAACAGTCATATTACACAACAGCTCCCACCAGACTCCCTTCACTCCATCCAAACTCCCTGACCTTGTCTGCTTTTTTTTCAATTATATTAGAGAAAACAAAACCTCTTGTCCTTAAATTGCCAAGAGCCACGAAAAATATAAATAAATTTCACCAGCCAACATCTGGTTGACATTGGAAACTTGAAGGCATAAAAATAAACATTTCATAAACTATACAATGTAGTTATTACCGATAATTCCTTTATGTGAAAGTTATTATTCTACTAAAAGAATCATTTCAGGTCTAAGTTATATCACTCCAAAAAGCCTTAAGTTAGAGAAGAAATGCTCATTCTTGAATAAATGTGTACATAGGAAACCCAGTATAACTCCACTAGTACCCTACCACTTTCTCCTTAATTTTTAGAACTTTCTCACGTTAATTTTTAGGACTAATTTTGATTTCTTTTTTTGCAGCAGCAGCTGGGAGAGAAGGCAGCTATCCACAGGCAAGGGCCCATCCATGCATGAAGACCAGACCTCTGCTAACGGTGGCTCTAACTGGCTTGCCAGCTCTGCACAATACTGGGAAGATAGGGATCTTCACTAGGATAACAACAGAAATAGGTCACCCTCCACACTTTTTTCTCAGCAAAGAACCACCCTCTCTTGAGTTAGTGGCATAAATATCTGTATTTCTTTCAATGCAATTATTATTTTGGGTCACATTTCTACTAGTGACAAAACATTTGAACCATTTACTTCTCAGCGTCAACAGAAGCCAGCTCCATTTAGCAGGTGACCACCTGTGTGGTCATGCAGTGTGTACCTCTGCTGCTGAATGATGCCACAGGTAGCTGCTCACTTGGACACTGCCGTGTACAAACCCAGAGAGTCTGGGAAGCTGAAACAATACAGGAGCATGGACTATCATTTACAGTAGTCCAAAATAATCACTGAACAGAAAAAGAACTAGCAAGAAGCAAAAGGAAACCTATGTAAATTTTACCCCTAAGAAAAAGCTTCCCAGACCAACACAGGCCAACTGCTCAGTTAAACTTTTCTGGAGAATGTTTCGCATTATCTGTTCCTGCTATCTGATGTGTTTCCTAGGAATATACTTAACAACACAGTTCTGACCAAACAGTTAAATAAAATAAATAAGAGAAGATTTCTGAAGATCAGCATGGAGTTTCTGGAAGACAGAAGGAGAATTAGTGAGAAAAACAGAAACTTCTCAGATTTACAAATAACTAGACAACACAAAAACCTATTTAGGCAAATACTGATGCTGTAATCATCCAATAAGAAAGCTAAATACCCAGGGACAAAAATCATCCTTCTTCTCTATTTTCAGGGTTATTCTCCCCACCCTCAAGAGATGAAATTCCAGCTCTATGCTAGAAATTAGGAGGAATCTCTATTTTTTTCTGCCATATTCCTAAAAATCACTCCAGTCTGTAACATCACATTACTATCTGCATGAGAAAGAGGTGACTTAATTAACAATATAAACATCTGCCTGGTTTTCATAGAATCATAGAATGGTTAGGGTCAAAAAGGACTTTAAGATTATCTAACTCCAACCCACTTGCCAAGGGCAAGGATGACACACTAGGTCATGTCACCCATGGCTCTGTCCAACCTGGCCTTGAACACTGCCAGGGATGGAGCATTCACAACCTCCCTGGGCAACCCATTCCAGTGCCTCACCACCCTCACAGAAAAGAACTTCTTCCTTATATCTAACCTGAACTTCCCCTATTTAAGTTTTAATCCATTACCCCTTGTCCTGTCACTACAGTCCCTAATGAAGAGTCCCTCACCAGCATCCTTGTAGGCCCCCTTCAGATACTGGAAGGTTGCTATGAGGTCTCCACGCAGCCTTCTCTTCTCCAGGCTGAACAGCCCCAACTTTCTCAGCCTGTCTTCATACGGGAGGTGCTCCAGTCCCCTGATCAGACTCATGGCCCTCCTCTGGACTTGTTCCAACAGTTCCATGTCCTTTTTATGTTGAGGACACCAGAACTGCACACAATACTCCAGGTGAGGTCTCACAAGAGCAGAGGAGAGTGGCAGGATCACCTCCTTCGACCTGCTGGTCACGCTCCTTTTGATGCAGCCCAGGATATGGTTGGCTTTCTGGGCTGCAAGCATACTGCTGGCTCATGTTGATTTTCTCATCGACCAACACCCCCAAGTCCTTCTCCACAGGGCTGCTCTAAATCACTTCTCTGCCCAATTTGTAGCTGTGCCTGGGATTGCCCCGACTCAGGTGTAGGAGCTTGCTCTTGTCTTTGTTGAACTTAATTTATTTTCATTTATTGTCAGATTGATGTCATGCAATGTAATTTCAAGCTAGTTTTTAACTGTAGCTGGAAATGGGGCATGAATATTTAAATACTGGAGTACATAATTACAAATTAATACAGCATTCAGTGTAACCAGAAGCAGCTCAACACTGACACAAAAACACATGCACAAATGAGTACTGCTTCACCTTTCTGGTGACAGATGACCTTCCCCTCCATGAGTTGAATCAATGCCAGAATTATGAACTGCTTCATAGTGCTTGAACAGCTCTTCAGCTGATCCATGAGATTTCATACAGAGAGGACAAATAAAGCCCTATTATAAAAAGGAAAACAAAAACAAACAAAGAGAGGTGAGAAGTAAACTTTTATTTTTTCCATCTTATTTTTACATAGAATTGTAAATTTCATTTGTGTACCTAAAACATACCAGATACAATCATTAAATTCATACCACTTATTTCATGCTCCAATAACAATTTTGGCAATTAAAATCCTAGAAAATGCCTACAAAATTCATATTCCATTATTCAGTAGGGTTTTCCCCCAACAGCATTACATACTAGCAACAGAACCTTTATTTAGAAAAATTAAAAGTGATTTCAAAAAGTCTGCACTACAATTTCTTCCTCCCCCCAAGAAAAGAATTTTCAATACAATCTGATTCTTCCTTCAAAAAGGAGGTAGGGTTTGGAGTTTGGTCTTAAAAAACAAGATACAAAAGTCCACTCTAAGAATTCAACAACCAAACACTTAACTCATATACATGTGCATGTGCCAAAATGGCTACAGAAAATGTGTTAAACTACCGGGTTTCCAGTAATGTCTATCTGATACGATTAGCATATGATGGCAGCAACAGTCATTCTGATCACAAGAACCAGAGGGAGATCCCTGGCAAACAGCAACAGAAATGAAGAATAGGAGGGGCCAAAAAGCAAGTGATTTATTTTTCCTAGCAGAAAGCAGTCAAATTCATACAATGACAGCACAACAGCATCCTTTTAGGATGAATCGCTATTAAGCAGTTCTCACTGGTATATTTAGTTTCCCAGTGATGGGAAGGTCTCCTGTTCACAGAGAAAAACAAGTGCTCCTCATAGCATGAGTAAGTGCATGTAGAAAGAACAAGTGTAGAAAATTGCACTGGCCGCTCCTTCCTTCTGCTCTTTATTTCTTTCCATTTAAAGGGCAAAATCTGTTTCTTTCGCTGGGTTTGTTTACTCTGGTTTGGGTTGTTTTGGTTGGTTGGTTGGTTTTTTTTGTGGTGGGGTGGAAAGAGGAGCTCTGGAGAAGAGGAAAGAATAGATTATATGTGCAATTAGCCCAAAGCAACAGCAATCATTCATCTCAGCTACTGGACAAAGCCAGCCCAAGATTTCCTAGGCAGGTGGATCTGAAGACAGTTGCTTGAAGGATGAGGGGCCAGAGGCAGAGCAGAGCTGCCAAGCCAAGGGAACGTGCTGCAGCTGAGAGGCCACAGAGTTGACTGGAGCTCTGGGGGACAGACCTGCTGTCAGCAGCAGAGGGGGGAAACATGGACAAAACCTTCTCTTTATGGTAGAAACCCTTTTCCTCTCACTCAGGCTGGGATTAAAAGTGCATCACTCACCAGCCCAAGCTACTCTGCTGGCACTATCATGATCATGGCTGGCCTCACTTTTGCGAGATGTGGCACTGTTGAAGTCAGCACTGGGTTATGGCTCTCACAGACACTCTTACTCTAGCTGAGCTTTTCCTAGAGGTCTGATGCACAAGGTTTAAGAGAGTAAGATGTCATCCTGCTGCAATGGGGCATCATCACCATGGAAAATGTCACCCTTCCTGTGCAGAGCTGCGGTGGGCAGAAACACTGGGTCCTACAGCTTCAGGCACCACCACTTGCACATCAGAGCATTACATTGCACAGACACAGTACCCTACTGCATCTCACAGCCTGTTAGTATTCAGATGTTAACTCTGATGTCAGCAGCACTAACTCAGTCCTCTTCAGAGGAAAAAAACTAGAATCATCAGGATCTTCCTGGGCACCAGAAAGCAACAGACACAAGTGTACAGGCTTCCTGGGCCTGCAACTATTAGCCCTAAGTGACAATTCAGGAACTTGGGTTGATGGGTCTCTTGCTTTATCTCTTAAAAAAATAAATAAATAAATAAACACAGACATAAAAATATCTCTCTCAGCATCATCTTGAGATGAATTTTGAAAAGATATGCAAAAAGTGTATTTTACTACTCTAAAGACAAATGTGTGAGAAGAAGGATGAGGGGAAGAAATGTGATAGCTCAAGATGCTTAAATCTTGTAAGCATTTCTGTTGGTTTGCAGGAATTTGTATCAAGTGCAAGCTACTCCTATATCAAGACCATGCCTGCCCTGGACAAAGAATAGACTGCACAGTTACATCCATGAATGTAACACTGGTCACTGTAACTTGAGGGAGCTGAGATGTCCTTTCCAGTAAGCCTATACTTGGCTCCCTTAACTAACAGACTCCTTTACAGAAGAAGCAATGACAGTAGCATTCTCATATTTGAAGAAGGAAGTTAACACATAAAACATGCACAGTTATACTTTTCAAAAGGCTGAGTTTGCCAAGAGACACTCCGTAGGTTTCCTTTTACAGTGCATTTAGGAATTACTTTGCATAAAGCACAGCCACAGAGAAGTGAAAGACATTTCATATTCTCCATTTAATAAAAGTAAAGACATCACTTATAGCCCCCTGCAGTGCTGCACTGTAAGTCATAGTTTCCTAACTAATGTTCTACTTTGGCTTTATCTTTTGCTTTACACAGGTAGAAAAGAGCCTAAAAAAAAAAAAAAAAAAATAGTGATGATTAGCTAGGTTTTGCTTTTACAAATAGGAAGCTTTTCACCAGGAAATGACAATTTATAGAACCCAAAGCTTTTTGCACATGCCTGTCAGTTAATGGAAAACAAAAATAAAACCACAACCACCACAGGCAGAAGTTTTTAGCACGAAAGGGTTCTTAAGATCACCACAGAATTTCTGAAACAAGACAGAGCTAGAACAGTAAAACAGGAGTCCAAACCAAAACCCCACACACATGCACAGACAAGCCACTAGGAGTCAGCACACAATTTGCAGCTCAAAATAACCCCTGGTGGTCAAGGCATGCAAACGAGAACGAGAGGCACACTAAACTTCAAATCCCAATGTTCTGACCCCAAAGGAAGCGGTTCTCTTTCAGATGGATGCCTGTGAAACATGCCTTTTACCAAGCACCTCCACAGCACCATGCTGCCCATGGCGGGACAGGCCTTCCTCGGTGCAAAGACTCCAAAACATACCAGTTCTGCAAGCATCTTGCCTCAGTTTGGAGTTGTAATGACAAATCTCACCAAAGCTCTTGGACTCCGTAAAAGCACTTGCCTTTCTCAAGACAGACTTATGAACAAGCCTCTAGAAGATATTTGTAACTACTTTTTCTGTCTAATAGCTAAGATTTACTTTCAGGCCTGATAAAGACAAGCTTCTCTCTCTTAAAGGCACACAAGGTAAATGATTCCTTTCAAGTAACATTAATATTTGTACAAATCATTAATACAGTACTCTTTGGGAAGTATGCCAGGATGCTAAAAGCAACGTTGGAAGGAAAGCCTTGCCAAAAGAACTACCATATTTATTTTTATTGTACCAATATAATTTACAGGGCTATTAACTGCTGGGAGAACTTTGGCCTCCCACATCAAAAAACTGCCCAGGGAGACCATGGGCACAGACCCACAGGCACGAAGAACACAACCAGACCAACTGCAGGCTACCATAGAGCCATTCTAATCCTCAACTATTTATAAATGATTCAGAATTAGTTTACATAACAGAAAAATTGCTGTGTAGAACTGAATGGATTCTGTTTCTCTTGCTTCTTCTTGTATTACTCTGTAGAATTGAGGAGTGTTGGGCAGGGTGCAAAAATGTATTTCTAAAAATTTCAGCCTTCTCAGAATATTGTCTTATTTGCAATGTTTTTTCCCTCACTGTTCTAATCTAATGAATTTGTGTAGTGTGATGACACTTTGAAAAGCAGCATTTTCCTTACTCACTAGCAAAGACTGAAGGTTTTCAAAGATATTCCCTCAACAGGCCAAAGGCTCTTGCCTGAGGTTTAAAAAAATAACCATTTACACAAAGGTTTCCACTCCCCAGTCACTGCCAATGCAGAGCTACTTAACACAGTTAACAGAGCAAGAAGCTAACCAGCTGACCAAACAATTGTGTGTAATATATACACATATGTCACCATAGCAGCTCCCTGGGCTCCATCATCAATAACTGGAGCTTGAGACACCTATGAATACATGCTTTAAATTTGTCTTTATCTGCCAAATGCTCTTTTTCCCCCCAGCTTTAATTAAATGGTCTTTGTAAAGTTACTATGAAGTCTAAGCAATTATGACTGAAAGCACAGCTTACTTTAGCTGAAGCTCCCTCTTCACAAATTCAAACTTGAGTTATCTGGCAGAAAGACGACAACACTTCTTGTAGGGCAGTCCCATGGGCAAAACAGGATGGAATTCAGATTTACTCATGTAGTTGGAGTCCAAGAAAACAGGCATGCTATTTAAGTTTCAAAGTAACAGCCATAGCTACCCAGCTTCCTTAGCATTTTCTTGAAATATCTGACAACTATGTAGCTTATTCTCCAATTCCATTTTAATACTGCATAGAACTGAATAAGTGGTTCCATTTAGACTGCTACAATTGCTGCTGATCTACAGCTGTATGTGGTAGAAAGACATATAGCACGGGTAGCACACACAGAGCTAGATTTGCTAATACAAACAGAGCTTCTGCAACATCTTGAATTTTTATGCCAGCAATTATGTCATGAGTCAAGCCTAAGGAACCAAAGAACTTTGTTGTTTTCCACTGTGAAGTCAATTTTATTCCACAAATACTCTTATTGGAAAAATATTTAAGTACTGTGGTGAATAAAAAAAATTTAAAAAGCCCACAAAAAAACCAAACAACCAAACCGCACAGAATTTTACTATAAATGATACTTCTACCATATGGAAAAAAAAAATCACTATTCTACCATACAGATGTGATAGGACAACTTAGCTCAATCCCGTATGCACTTTACTATGCCTGACATTCACATGAACATGCTTTAAGTTTAAATAAATTAGAGTTTCTGGGATTCATCTTTGACCTTTCAGAAATCCTGGACCGGCACTCAAGCCTACAGCCTGCCCCCAGTGAGCCGCATGAACAAAATGCAAGCCTAGATTCAAGTAAAGGGCTGTAACACCTTCCAGCCATGACCCATACTTGCCACACTTACATTAACAACTCTTTAACAGCTATATTGGTACAATAAGCTACATGCTGTGAATAAGCTTTATGCTGTGAATAAAGTCCAGTGTGCTTAAAAACTGAAAGTAAGTTCAAGAGCTGTATGACATGTTCACATGATCAGAGGCATACACACTCTTCTGGAGTTAATTTTGGGGTTTGCGTGTCATGAATATTTTGAAAAATTCTAAATTTACCATTCATGTTTTTCCACTGCAGGTGAACCTTCGCAACCTTCCCTGACACAAGACAGAATCATAGAATGGCTTGGGTTGGATGGGACCTTAAAGATCATCTTTGAACACCAAGTCTAAACTAAAACTCAGACACCCTCCAGTTACACACTGATTTAAAGGCTGAAATATTTTACACAACAGAAGATTAGGAACTGTATCTACTTAGGGTCAGAGGACAGAAACATAATAATGTTTCAGAGCCAAAAGATGTATCAAGTAGCTTCTAAGTTTCCTTTCTCAAATATACACCAAACCAATTAACTGAATCCTCAGGAAGTCCTCAGAGGCAAATTAAACTGCTTAGAGAGCAAGTGCAAGACCACATTTCATCATTCATTTCAGAAGTCTTATACCAATTAAAAAAAAAAAAAAATCACAATGTATTTTAAGCTAAAGAATAACTAAATTAGGTCAGCCCCTTTATATATTGTTAAAAGGAAAACGAAGTTGACATTTTTTTCCATGCCTTCCACCAGAAAAAAAACCTTTCCTCTGTGTTTACATTAACAGTAAGATAGCAGCTTCCTCTGACATTACCTCTATATTTAATCATTACAAAAGTAGTAATTTAATCATTAGAAGAGTAATCATTAGAAAAAAAGGTCATGTTTTCTATAATTAAGACCTGCAGTACATTTCAATTTTACAAGTATTTAACTTTCTAGACAAAAAGATAAAAAAGGTGTTTTGCTACAGTTTATTTTACACCAGACTGCAGACTCAACATCTTCCCAGAAAAGAACCTGGATTCTTCCCGAGAAGAATAGAACCAACATAATTTCTAGTTCAGTTCTCTCCTGGTTTTATTGCTATTGATGAGTAAGACTGTAATTCTGTCACAACCTACATGACTACAACCTTGTCATGAATTAGGAATTCTAATCCAGTGGACTCTCTATTTCTTAAAGGAAAGTCACAACATATGACCAAGTCAAATCAAACCAGCATCTCTAATTACTGCATTCTCTTTGTATCATTCAGATGTTGTAGCAAATTAATGTACTAATGTAGCTCAAACAGTGACTTTTGCTCCTCTGCAAAGCAGGAAAGCACCACTGAGGTGAAAACAGCCAACAACATCTAATTTGAGAAGCAACTGAAAAAGAATAAAATATCAGCATTAAAGCACTGACATGATGTTCTGTGCAAAACCAGTCAATCACATTTCAAGGGAATCCATAAAAACAGAAGATGCAATATGCCAACTGACATCTAGGCAATCTGGCTATAAAAAGCCTATTCAGAAAACATCAGGGTCTTATCTTGCTTGTATTAGCTAAGAAATACGTATTTACTAAACATCTGGAAAAATATGAAGACTACCCAAAAGAACTGTGCAAAAAAATTGCCTTACATTTAACCTTGCTATAGATAAGACAATAGATATTAACAGCTACTATATTCTAAACACTGCAGGAGTACCATACAGTGGGGTTTTTTTGGATGCCTCAGGAGAAACCAGAAAGGGAAAACTGAAACTAAGACTAACTGACTCATTGTTTAGATGTCCTGAGTGTCCAGAGACAGTCAGGAAAAGCTGGACACAGTTTAGAAAAGTGCGATTCCTTTAGGAAATGAAAACAAAACAGAAGACGACACACAATTTATGCTAGCAACACTACTGTATACATGAAAGCTGGGGAACAATGTCGCTATTTGGGAATGTGGTGATGTGTGTAACTTCTATACAACATTTGTTTGAACAAGTTGGCTATATATGCACAGAGACACTTGCCAATGCTTTGGTGGCTGTTCCTGCAGCGGAATAAGCCTTTGTTTAAAGTTTCATCAGTGCTAGGTGTAAGCCCTAGTTTAAAAATGAGGGCTGCACAGAGAGATGTTTAAGAGAAAGTCTACAAATAAGGCTGTAGACAGTGGTTTGGATCCTTTCCCACAATAGGGCATCAGGCACCTTCAGAAACTGCCGGTGTGGACGTCCATAACTGAAGAACAAGACCAACTTTCACTGTACAGAGGACAGACAGGAGGGAAGAGCAAGGAGAACAGAGGGGTGAATGACCTGACTTACTAAAATTTTCATCAGTAGGGAGGAGTGGAAGACAGGTTAGTGAAGAAAATTACTATCAAAATTAACAGCAAGGTACTAATGCTTTGACACAAAGTAACAGTTTTTCAGGTCTCACAAAGTGTGAGCAAACACTGGCCTTGCAACATATTCTATCTCCATGTCTGAGGAGAATGCAATGGCAAAAAAACCTGAATTCAGGAGTGTCTTGAGCATTGTTTCCAAGAAAATGTATTTGAACTTTTCTCAGTAGTATCCACAAGCAATAGAAAGCAAAACACCAATTTATGCAAGACAAACTCAGCAATGTTTCATATGTCTGCTACCGAAGATGACACTAATAACATTATACGGCTGTTATAACGCTGTCCCAGAAATGCCAGAGATGGAATGAAGGGTGATGACCTGCCTGTGTTGCTGTTTCAACAGTGAGCTTACTGCAAATACATACTATCCTTTTCTATCAACAAATACAAACCATCAGCTTCTCAGTAGTAAAGTATTTCCAACTTTACATACTAGCACTGATGATATAGATTAACAGACTTCCCCACTTTGTTAGTGTTTCTAACATGCTGATACAATAAAAGACCAAAGTCTTTGTTTCTCACCTCTTCCAGATACTTACCGAATCACTGTACCAAGAAACACAACTTAAGCAACAGGAAACAGCAACAGCTAGTAACAACTGAATTTGCGTTTTATATCCACAAGTTTTACCAAGTTAAAATTGCAATCAGCTATTTACAAGTAAAAAGAACTGACAAGTAACTGATTATGGAAAAACAAAACCTCAAAATGGGCAAGAACCCACAGACTTAATGAAACTATGTTAAACACAACCCAGCTTAAATACAAGAGTACGTTCTTCAGGTAACCAAACCACCTCTGATGGCTCATATCCCAAAATCTACCTTTATCATCTCATCAGGAATGCCACAGTCTGTCAGGGGTAAGTCACAGCTTATTCAAGTAAGGTGTTTGCATTGTGACCAGATAATAAAGAATACATGTTCAAAAGGAATACACTAGTGACTGCAAGTATTCCAATACCACAAATGCTTCATGTGATAGACAACTGCAAATCAGAAAGCTAGATATAGATTAATTCTTCTGCTAAATGTATACTTTGGAATCATGCATAAGAGGTCAAATTATGTTTCAGCAAAGAATCAAAAGAAACAATTTTAAAAGCTGACACCCAAGCGAGGAGAAAAGATGTATGTTCATTTAAAGCAGCCCATTACCAAAGCTATTGAAACAAAACAAACAAGACCCACAGTAATAGCTCGGAGGTCACGAGGCTCCTGTCTTCCTTCTGTTCCAGTGTGCTCATTCTGGTAATGTTCAGACAGATCAGTAGGAGTTACATACACTTTCATACATAGTGGACAGATGAAGCCCTGTGAAATGTATATTTGTTTTTAAGAAACTAATAAAGACAAAAAAGCAGATTTGGAATCAAACACTGTTCAAATTCTTACACTGAAGTTCTCTACAATCGCCAAAGTAAGGTCTGTTTCCCTTTTGAAAAGGTAGTTTTTTCAAAACACATCTGAAAATCATGGAGAAGGCAAGAAGAAACAGTTATTAAGAACATGAAAATAAACAAATCTAAATCACACTGTAAAAGCTAGCACCGTGCTGCATACTATGTGTTTTCCAGGCACTCCTGGTACCCCTTTCATGTGACAGAGGAATAAACTGCATAATGAGGTGTGAATGGACCGCTACCATGCATCAGGTCAGATCCCCCAGAGTTTTCCATAAGGGTGTTCAGATTTTTCACAGGGAGAGGCAAGGGTTGTGTGGTGAGATTGAAGAAATACTCCTGTAAATTAATAAGCAAGGTTGCAGCAGCAGGATAGGTCCAAGTACCAGCACACCTGTATGCCTGCCTGGCTGTCATGCTCATATAGGGAAAATTATGCACCTTCCTTGGTAGGATTTAAAAAAAAAAACAACAAACTCTGCATACTCACCCAAGATTTACCAAAACTACAATTTAAATTGGCAGACACATGCTACATGCTTAAACACCTAGAGAAAGTAGGCAGGAGAGTAAAGTGCTCTGATGCCTGCACCTCCATGGCAGAGCACTAGAGAGGAAGTTAGAACAGACTTAACACAACCCTCCATGGATGCATGGTGAAGCTAAGGCCCCTTACAAAAAAGGATGTCTGTGGCAAACCTGTCCAGCTCATGCAGCCACATTACACTAATGAAAGTGTAAGCATGCTTGTGAGCTCACTTTTAGCATGGAATATTTAGCAACCCTGTAATGCAGAGAGTGTTGCACTGGGACCTAAGCTACAAAAGGTAGGATAGGCTCAAACATTTCCTCCTTGGGCAGACTGCAGTGAATAAATTATGTTTCTAGACTTGATTACAGGTCTATGTGTGATCTGAAACTGACATGGCCACAGGCTGGACTAAAATAGATTTTTACCTCTCCTTGAGCAAGGAACAGTTTGAATTCAGAATTCCCCACTCATACTATAATTCTCAAAAATCAGGAACCAGGCTTGAGGAAGTAGAAAACATAAGAATCTGCACAGATTTAATAATTATTCTCCATTTGAATCTTGCAGCAATGCAAATTAGGAAATCTAGCCAAGAAACCAGAGTGCAAACAACTTAGCTGGATTTCTGTCTACATAATACTGAAGAACCAGGTGGCAACACAACAGTAAAACAGAGAGCAAACATTCTGCAGAGTCCCACTGTGGTGCTCCTGGAGAGAAGCTCTCAGAGGCCACATCTCAGGCCAGCTGCACAGGAAAAGGAAGACCAACAGAAAGGCTTGAGTTGCACGCTGCAACCCATGAACCTTAGGAGAGTAAAAACCCATCACCAGCTTCAGAGCTCAGCTTGAAACAGATTTTGAAATCATATGCTAAGCAGAACACCCCACTTGTAACTAATGTAACAGATGGTAGAATTATTGACAACTAACAGATAGTCTTTCACATTATACAGTATCAACCAAAAGTGACACAACAGCCTTTGGTCTCACCAAGTTTCGACTCAGTAGCAAGGAAAGCCAATGGTGCAACAGTGCAGGAACACCACTGCTGTGAAAACTCATCCTATACTAAGAAAATACTACTACATTAGTATTGAGGTACCTTGTGACACCCACTAGCTGCACAGTCAGTGATACTGCACTCATACTAACAGAACTGTGCCATTTTAGCCAAACTGTGGAAAGAAGCAATTACCTCATTGCACGTTTTTATGCCTTAATTAACTACAGAAGTAATGAAATTTTAGTCTACAATTCAAGAATATTTGTTTGCTTCAGGGACAGTGTAAACACGAATGTGAGACAGAGCTGGACTCACAAATGCATGACTTGTGCAACATGCAACAAAATATTAAGGGATGTCTGATTATACTGACTGCAATAATGCTTCAAGAAATAAGCAGATATGCAGATGGAAGGCAATTATGATTTTAAAACAGCACAGTGAAAGTTTCTATTTCTTATCATAGAAGACATTGGAGTATTTATATCACCATATACTTTATTCCATGCCAGAAAAGGCACTTTGCTCCCTTTAATGCTGTAATAGGAGTAATGAACCTTGCACTGCATTTGTATGCTAAGCTTGAAACATTTTCAAGCTAGGTAATCAGGCTACATTAGCACAAACTAGCTTTAACAGCCAGTGAAGTCAGTTTGCATTTTTCAGAGTTAATATTTGACAACACTGTAAATCCAAAGACATTGTAATATGGGATTGAAGCAAGGACAACAACTTATTCTGCTGGTTAAGTATGGCAATCAGCACATAAAAATGGATAGGGTAGCTTTATACACCAACACCAAACAAAACCCTACACATTTGATGTTTCACAAGGAGGAGGAGATTTCCTGTATACATTATAGTGCAGCAGAAGCAAGGTGAAAAAAGAGTACAGGTGTGATAAAATGTTAAAGCTTGGTTTTTTTGGAACTCTCATATTTACTAACGAGGAGTCTTAAACTTATGTCTCATTTCTTTGAATTTTAATAATTCATCTCTAGGATTACAGGAATTATTGCTTGCGACCATTTAGATAGGTAAGCCTAATTGACATTTACACATAAATATGGTCTAGCCTTCCTTTTTCTTTTACTTAAATAACAACCAATTCTTATAAGGTAACACTTCTAAGTATTTATTTAGTACAGCTGTTATTTAGGTAGGGCATCAAAAGTTACTCCCAACAGCTTCATGGATCAGAGAAACAGCACCCCAGGTTTAAGACTCCAGTCTCACGTACGGTGCACAGTACCTCAGAGGAGCCTTCACTGTTCACGTCCACGGCATTTCCTGGTGTGGCAGATGAATCTGAATCAGAGCTCTGAGATCCACCCCTACCTGGAGTCTGAAACAGAGGGAGGAGAAAAAAAAAATAAAATGAGGGTCTACAGAGTACTTAATAAAGCATGATATGCATGCAAAGGCCTCTCTTCTACTTGCTGGAATACAGAAGTATTTTCCCTCCACAACAGCAATGACGTGAACAAGCTGACAGACAATGATATAATTTTCAGTGCAACACTTCAACAAAAGCTTTTATCCAAGGTTCTTCACACATCAAAATACAAGCAGATACCACAAGCAAAGGCCAGGATTTTAAACTACTTCCCCCTCATGAACGCTCAACACAAAACAAAGAAGTAAAATTCTTCCCTTGTATTACTGACTAATGTTAAATTACGTTTCTGTATTCTAACAGAAAAACACTAGAAATTACAATCTAAACAGTTTCACAAGTAGTAAACTAGTATCATACTACTTACTTGACAACTTATTTACAATCTGAACACACCTTTAAGTATTTGAAAGACGGAAAACTGAAGAGTGAGGACTGTGCTAATACAATACGCATGCAAGAAGGTACACTGCCTTGATTTGGAAATATAAAAATACATATTCTGTTAAACAGAAAACCAACCTCTAAAAAAACCTCCTCTGAATATGCTGAAAATGAAACAGTATTTGAAACTACAGAGAAAATAAGCAAATAATTTGAAATACTACATAATTCAAAGTCTGGATAGATGCATCGCAGCTTATAATGCTTATTTAACTATAACTTTGATTTAAACTTGATTTAACTTCTCTTACTCATCTCCAGAACACTACTGATTGACCAATGGCAGAAAACCTAGTAGTCTCAAAGGAAACACAAATAAAGAAATTAACTTAATACTGATATGCAATCCTAGTTTCAACAAAAGTTTATTATCCAATTCCATGATGACAACTGCAAATGGGATGAAGTAATGCTACTACTGTAGCTTAGCACATCTGGAAACACTTGCAATGTTATAAAGAATTTTCTAACTTAATATAGGGGTATCAAAGATACAGAATTTTAACTATATAGGTTAAAATCTACAGAGAAGGACAGAAGTAGATAGTTTTCATTTCTAGATCCTGGTGTCTCCAAAATAGTATTTGGTTTTGAATTTTCATGCTCAAATATATCCTTTTTTTCCCCTACACAAATCAACTATATAACCTTTTATAAGATATCTGTAGCATGCGAGCTTTTCCATTCTTTGAAGATTAAGTACATTTTCCTGCTTTGTTTTGTAAAGAAAGTTCTATTTCCAACTTTCATAAAGATAACTTTTTATGACTAATTAAATAAAAATATGTAATAAAAGGGCCAAGTTTACTGATTAAGGGACTTAATTCCCATAGAGATACAGTTCAATTTTAGAAATGCTCCAAAGACTGGCCAAAGGGAAGTGAGGAGGAGTGAAGCAGCAAGCTATTGGAGCTGACAACAGTGAGAGGACTATCTCTCCTCATTCCAGCCTTCTCTGAGGTTATCAGCTAAGTGATGAACATATGCTGGTTCTCCTACTCCCATGCCTTTTTTTATTGTAGCTGGTTTATGTTTCTAAAGAAAGTAAGAACGCCATAGTTCCCTTCTAGTACAGCATATCAAAGCAGTAGGCAAGGTGATGCAAGGTTACCAAGTTAATAATAGGAGAGGCAAAAAAGGTGTAAGCAAAGAATACAATGCACATGCAAAGCACATAAAAATGAGGGTATCAATCAGTATTTCTCCTCCAGATCACTGATACAGACAGTAAACAAGGCACATCCTAGCATGGACCATGGGTGTATGCTCATCAAGTTTTCATGACATCAAACTGGGAGGACCAGTTGACACATTCAGGGAGAGGGCTGTCATTCAGTGGATCCAGACAGACTGCGGGAATGGGCCAACAGGAACCTCATGCTATTGAAAAGGGACAAACAAAGAGTCCTGTGCCTGGGAGGCAAACCCCTGGCTGAAACACAAGCCTCTGCCAAAAAACACCCAGGGCTCATATCAGTTAGCAAGCAGAGTGCTGAGGCAGCAGAGAGGACCACCAGCACCCTGGGTTGTAGTAACAGGAGCCCAGCCAAATGATCAAGCGAAGCGATCACTCCACCACTGGACAGCACCCATGGGGCAACATCAAGATACTGCATCCAGTCTTGGCTCTCCCAGTCCAGGGCTGATATTGACAAAACAGAGTAAATTCAGCAGAAGGCAATAAAGGGAGCTGGAGCACCTGCCCTGTGGGAGAGGCTGAGGGAACAGGGCTGGCTCAGTCTCAGCTCTGGGAGGGCTCAACAGCAGCCCCACCACCACCTGTGAGGAGGTCATCAAAGGGAGAAAACCAGGCTGCTCCCAGCAACACACAGTGGGAGGACACTACACAAAAACTGAAACAAGACTGGTTCCCACTGGATGTAAGGAAAAGCTATTCCAGAATGAAGCCAGGCCTGAGCAGTCTGCTCCTGACCTCTTGAGCTGGTCCAGCTCACAGCAGGAGCTCAAGCTAGAGAGTTCCTGAGTTCCCTTTCTGCCCAGATTGTTCTGTGATCTCTGAAGTGCTGCCCTGAGGAAACACACATCCCACAAGAGAGCTCTGAAGCACAAGTTTAGTAACTCCATAAATGAAGTTATGGATTGTGTGCATTGACAGTTGGAAGAATAATACCTAAAGCGATTGGTAAGGTATAGCCAAGTTTCTCAGTAAGACAAGGAAGTTTAACTATTGCATCTAATGTTATAAACTGTTTTCTTCAGTTTATATAGTTCAGAAGTTCCTTTCCATGCAACCCATAAACCACAGTCATGCAACCCAGATCTAAGTCTCACTTGTGAATCCATTTTGTGCAAAAACAAAGAATCCAAAGAAGATGTACTATCTATATGAGGGAAGATGGCCAGATGTCAAAGCTTTCTTCCATAAAGGAGTTGAACTTTACAATATAAGAATCAATTTCTCATTGAGATGAATTTTTTAAAAGGCTTTAGAAAACTGAACATAATAAAAAGGCTTTTGTATGGAAGTTAGCTATGGTAGCTGTTTTATTCTAGAAAGCCTGAGAACTTGGACCCCTCTCTGTCCCAGCATCTATACCTGCAAGTAGAAATGTCATATTATAAATGGAGGAAGTGTCAGCACTAATGGATATGAACTTCCTTATGTAGCCTTGGACAGAAAGGTACAAAAGCAGAGGGAGAACCTTAACAAAACTCAATAGCCTGGACAATGGCAGTAAGAGACAGTCCAACCATCTCTTTAGACGGGCAGCATATACCTCCACTTTTGCAATACTCGAGCGTATACATAACTAATGAATCAATTCATCCCAAACCTAAGAATCTTCTGCAACAGTTAACACAATATTTTCTTCACCTTATAACTTCTTATACTCTACTATGCATTGTTAATCACCCATCACATTCCACCCCAGAGCTGACTGTATTTCGCAATGAGATTTGCATATTAAGTCCTGCTAGTTCCAGCACCATAAATTGGAGATTATTACAACCTCCAGGATGAAAGCTTTTATATTAGAAGCACAGTATTATTAGTATGTAGTTGATTAAACTATTTGCATTATGAAACACTTCAGACATGCTATAATCATGCTAAAAGGCAACGCACAGCATATCCTACAACACAGATATATATATTAACAGAAATTATTATACAGTACCTGCTAAAACCCTTTTAACTTTAAAAAAAGCAATGCACTCTCTTTAAAAGAAAAATGCTGGTGGCATTTCCTGGTGAGTGGCATGCACAGGGAAGAAGGGTGGGAAGGAAAGGGGTCATTAAGTCACTTTCAGGATCAGGAGAATCACCCCATAGCATCCATTTGCAAAGTAATACAGACTAGCAAGAAAAATTTATTATAAATTTGAAAGAATGCTATGGAAACCAAGACCATAAATGCAATTAACTTATCTTTCAGAGCTGTAACATAGTTTAAACTTACTCCAACAGCCAAATGATTGGGGGATTGGTAATATTCTCAATTGATCATTCAAATAGGTTCACAAACATGTTGAAGCTTGGCTCCCAGACCACTGTTATATCACATTCCATTTAAAAAGAAAATAATTTTAAAAATCACACCACATTAAACAACTCAGACTTCATGAACTAAGGAAAGGCTCAGAATGCTGCTCTGTTTTCAGCTGGACTATACAGGGGAGCAAAAGAATGAGTTATGAATCCCATAGGCAAAGTAAATTTTCACACAGGTTTCTGTATATGTATCTTTACAAAATTAACATTTAACCTTTAAAGGCATAGCTGGAGTTTAAAGACTGATGCAAAATTAGTCTTTCACTCAGTGTATTTCTTTTCTAGTTGTCAGTTCTATTTGCTTACTCTGCAGAGAGGCATGTTATCTACTCCTAGCACTACAGCTGTAGAAGTAATATGCTAAACTTCATGATGTTCTGTGTTTTCTCAAATCTGCAAGCTAATAAAAGGAAACATCATTAACAACTAAAAGGATGACAATGATTGCAGCTTATTTTCTGAAAATTATATAATGAATGAGTTGAGCTAATGCATTAAAATGAGTATAAATATGGATCGCTACCATGTCATTTTGCATCATCATTTACCTGTCTATTGCTATGCCCCATTCAGTTATGATACTCTATTCAGCAGTTTTAAATTCAGAATAATTTAAACCTTTGAAAAATATGTTAAGCCTTGAGAAAGTCTAAACAAATAGAGATTTATACAGTTTTCCTAACACAGATTTAAATACTACAGGAGGGTCCACACATATTAAGGTCTTGAAGCTACAGACAAGAATGGGAAGATAAGAAGGCCAAAGCTCTTGTTATCAAACAACTCTCAGTGATAGAAACAGAGTACAGTGAATCAGTACTATCACTTAATTCTAAAGAAGTGCAACACTGTTTCATGACTCTGCAAAATGAAATGACTCCTGACTTCATAAGGCATGAAACCTTTCTTTCCCAACGCACCATCAGTTATAGGGAAGCAGGCCTTGTATCTAGGAAGAAGTACACATGCTCCCATCAACCCCACAGGAAGGTCATGAGCACAGCTGCACTTCAGCATCCACCTAAGCAAATAAGCTCTCTATCAAGTCCTGCAGTTATAAACATAAAATTATAGGTAAGGCATGAGATGCAATGCATCCTGGGCAAGTAAATATCTCCACTGCCGAGTCTGGAGTCAGAGAAAAGGTGACTGTACTACCCAAGCTACAGAGTTGCCTCCAAAGCCCTATTCTCCACCTAGAACCCAAGATCTCACGACCAAGCACTCAAGCACTGCTAGAAACAGAGCAATGGGACCTTACCACCCAAACATAGGAGTCACTAACAGGCGCAGACAGCCAGTTTAACACACTGAAGACAAAAACTAGTGTAAACAGCAGTCAAACTGGCCCAACAGTTGAATCCTTCACTACAAAACACCAGCCATGGGAAGAAGGCTCAGAAGGTCAAGTATCCTTCTTCCACCAGCTGAAAATAAATGCCTCCTTATTACAAAAAGTGGGATTTTTTTCTTTTTTTTTTTTTAAGTTTTTTTATCTTGCAAATGTAAGAAGTGAACTCTCCTTTAACAGATCAGAGGCAACAGCCACTGCCCTGCCAGCAGATGAACAAAGGAGAGGTGACACAATGGCCACAAAGGGCCTTCAGAGTTGAACACAATAAAGAATAGGCAGCTCTCTAAAAAATACCCTGACAAATATCATAATATCTTGGCAGTAACGTTTTTGTCTCAGACATTCCACAAAGGTGTCTTTTGGGAAAGACAACCTTTTTCTAGATCAGCATGACGAACCATGCACAGAACTGAGAAGTGGCAAGAATGAATGAACAGGGGTTTTACAGTGCAAACGTACAGAACAGATGGATCCCCAGGATGTCACATAGAAAACACACATAACATTTAGAAACAGCTTGCAGGGAAAGGACCTAAACTGAAGACCTAGCTGAAGACAGCATGGAGATACTAAATTCAAATACTAAATGAGCAATGTTCAGTAGTGACAAGTATATAACACTTTCTATTTTGAAAATATGCCATTCAAAGTGACCGTGAAGGTGCTTTTAAAAACACAAATCAACACAAGGATGAAATAAAAAGGTGATCAAGGCACAGAAGCAGTATAAAAAAGAAATATCTGATGTTTTAAAAATTCAGGATTCAGAATTTCAAATAAGAGACAAGAACTATAAACATTATCTTTGTAGCTTGATGGCCAGCTGAGTTATAAATAAAAAAAGAACAATTGGTGGGTTTTAACCATACTTCCATAACTCAAGTTATATCACCAATAATGACTAGCCATCCACCTAGAAAGGACAGCACTACCTATAATCAAATAATATACCCAATACGTATACAAGAAACTATGTTTCAGTGACTGGAAGGTGGGTTTCTTTTGCCACTTACGTTAATGATGCCCTGCCCAAGAAAAGGATCAAGAGGTGGTTCCTCGGCCTTCAAGCTATTGCCGCAGAGATGTGAAAGATTTTAATACATAATTTTTAATTTGCTCTTTATGAACAAATTTGACAGCAATCTAAGGCTCACTGTTAACACCAAATACATCAGAAGTCTTTTTCATACTTTGCCAACCACAGACTGTAAGTCAGAAAGGTATGTATGAGGTTGTACATTTCTAAAAGCCCTTTTAGCAAGAGGTATTTCCTTAAAAGCATAGTTATTTACACCAATTAAAAGACTGACACCTTTAAAAATCTCGGCATTTCTCTGTTTTGGGGCAGGAAGAAGTCTGTTTTGCCTTTCTTGGCTATTAGTTCTGCTGTAACCCTGTAATTTTTGGGAGCGACTAGGGAACAGTTTTTTCTTTAAACTTTTCAGAGAAGATGCCCATTTCTAACACATGAAAACTTTCACACTGACTTTAATTTTTTATAGGAAGTGTTTAGCTGAAATTATATTTAGAGGCAAATTTCCTCTGGCACTGTATCGAGCTTCCTCCTCTATCAAAGAAGCTTTCTTTGATGGCCTGTTACTCCTCAGAATCAATAAACACCCAGTTAAAAGCTGCCAATATTTAATTAGGTCCACACTAAGTTTCCCAGCTTGTTAGCAGGGCTTCCCATCAAACTTCAGGAAGGAAGTTCTTCCTGTAAACACAAAGCTCCAAACAGACCAAAAGCGCTCTTCACCTGCTTAGGGTCTATGACCAAAAAACATCGTGAGACACACTTTACACTGAGAAAGTTGGCGGTATGCATACTGATGTACTTTCTTCCCCTCTTGTTAACTTTCATTCTTGTAGCAATGCTTCCTTGCATGGCAGGTGAAGAAAGCATGCCACGGTTTCCGATAAAACACCCTTCCACAGACCTGCTACACGGACAGCATGCTTTGAAAGAAACACTTGAAAGACACGTCAGATAAAACACGCTGGTTTCCCCTTCCCGTGAGCGTCTTCTGCATGGCACGGTGCGGAATTCGAAGCGCTGCCTTCCCACCGCCGCCGTGACTCAACCCTTTTGGGTGCATCCTTCAGCCGAGAGCCAGAGACGGACTCCCCGAGCCATGATGACTGACACCGGCCCTTCCCTTTACCAGCACCTCTCCGACGTCTTCCACCGGAGCCACCAGCGAACTTCAAGGCGACTAGTACCGCCGCAGCGATACGCGAGGATTTGGGATAGAAGGGCTTCATAAACGAGTGTCACAAGTTGGCTTTACACAGCAGGCAGAGCTGCCAGAAAAGCCGGTTCCTAACATAAGGGACACCGCTGGCCGGTGGCTGCCGGAATGGCTTTCGGCGTTGGAAGCTCGTTTGCCTGCTGGTCATGGGGCAATCACCCCAGGTCACCGCGGCGGATCTCCCCAGGCGGGGCTTCACTGAACATGCCCGAAGCGCGGCCAGCCCGGAGCCGCCGCGACGAGCGAAGGTGGCGGGAGAGGCGCCGCCGCACTGCAAGAAAGAGCCACGCCGGGGCAGGGCCGCCCCCCGCCCCACCGGTAGGCCCCTCGCCCGACCCCGGGGACCCACCCGCTGCCGGCACCCCCGCCTAGCCCGGGGGACGCGCACAGCGGGCCCGGCCCACACCGTCGGGGCTCGGGCCGTCCCCCGCGTCGCGGCGAGGAGGAGGCGGCGGAGAAGCCCACGGCCCTGCAGCCGTCACGGGCCTATCCCCTCCGCAGCGCCGTAGGACGGGAGAGGACGAACCGGGCCGAGCCGGTGACTCCGGCCCCGCCGCGGGGAGCCCAGCCCCGAGCGCTGCCGGCACCAGGAAGTGGCACCTCCCCGCCACGCCACGCCGCGACAGGGCAGGGCAGGGCACGCCGCCCTTACCGCCGCCAACCGGGGAAGGTCTCGCTGCCTTACCCGCTGCAGAATTCGCCTTAACATGGTGGCAGAGCCTGGATGTCGCCGGGCGGCCGCGGCCAGGCCGAGGGGGAAGCTGCGGGCCCCCGCACAGCACCGCCCTCGGCCCGCAGGATCCCGGCACGGCCCGCTCGCCCCGTGACAGCCGCCGCGGAGGCGGGGCAGCCTCCTCACCGCCCCGCCCCGGGGAGGGACGGGCCCGGGGGACCGGGGTTGTCACCGCCCACCCGCGGGGAGCGGAACGGGACTAGGGAAAACGGGTGAAAAAGGGCCGGAGGGGCCGGGCGGAGGATTCCAGGCCGGCGGGGCTGATCATAGGGATGGGGTGGCTGTAGCGGCCCAGCGTCTGCGCCTCCATCTGTTCCGCGGGTCCCGGGCCAGACTCCTTCCATGAGTGGCGGGCCCATCACCGCGGCTGTCGGTGCGCCTCCTGTTTTCCGCCGGTGTCTGTGCCCCCCGGGACGCGGCCCGGTTGCCAAAGGAGAAGCGGAGAGGGCGGTGTCACCCCCCCTGCCCTCGCCCGCTGCCCGCTCGGCCTGCAGAGCCCGCGCAGGCCGCCGGTGGGGGAGCAGCCGCGTTCACGGTCCGCGGCAGCACAGCCTCGCCCTCAGAGGCTGCCGCGGCAGCTGCAGAGCCCCTCGCAGCAGTGATTGCTCCGGAATCGGGTCCTGGGCAGGGGAAGGAAACGAGCTGTAGATTAAACTTGCAGGTGAGGCCTCCCGCATGAGGCAGAGCGCAAACGCAGCTCCGCGTTACTTTGCTGGTCGTGAGGTATTGAAAGCGCTCAGGAATGCACGTTAGAGTACGGCTGAAACATACTGATTTGCATAGTGAACTGGAAATTTAATTCTGAAGGAGCAAGCTGCTTCCTGCGAGCCCTGAGCTGAAAAGGCGACCTTGTGGCATAGAATCATAGAATAGTTAGGGTTGGAAAGGACCTTAAGATCATCAAGTTCCAGCCCCCCTGCCATGGGCAGGGACACCTCACACTAAACCATGTCACCCATGGCTCTGTCCAGCCTGGTCTTTAACACTGCCAGGGATGGAGCATTCACAACTTCCCTCGGCAACCCATTCCAGTGCCTCAACACCCTAACAGGAAAGAATTTCCTCCTTATATCCAATCTAAACTTCCCCTGTTTAAGTGTTAACCCGTTACCCCTTGTCCTGTCACTACAGTCCCTAATGAAGAGTCCCTCCCTAGCATCCCTGTACGCCCCCTTCAGATACTGGAAGGCTGCTATGAGGTCTCCAAGAAGCCTTCTCTTCTCCAGGCTGAACAGCCCCAACTTGCTCAGCCTCTCTTCATACAGGAGGTGCTCCAGTCCCCTGATCATCCTCGTGGCCCTTCTCTGGACTTGTTCCAACAGTTCCATGTCCTTTTTATGTTGAGGACACCAGAACTGCACACAATACTCCAGGTGAGGTCTCACAAGAGCAGAGTATAGGGGCAGGATCACCTCCTTCGACCTGCTGGTCACGCTCCTTTTGATGCAGCCCAGGATACGGTTGGCTTTCTTGGCTGCAAGCGCACACTGAAGCCAGCTCATGTTCAGTTTCTCATTGACCAGCAATCCCTAGTCCTCTGCAGGGCTGTTCTGAATCTCTTCTCCGCCCAACCTGTAGCTGTTACCTGTAGCATGACTCATTAGGTGTTCTTTAAATGTCAGAGAAAAACATTTGCTCACAAAAACACACACCTACCTTCAAAAAAAAAAACCAACACCACACCCCCCCCAAAAAAAAAAAAAAAGTACAGCTCAAAAACATCAGTTAATCCAAGAAAAAAATCTGTCTGGTGAAGCCCCACAAGATGTACAGCATTCAGCTCTGGACCCGCAACACAAGAGGGATGTGGACCTGTTGGAGTGAGTCCAGAGGAAGCCACAAAGATGATCTGAGGCCTGGAGCACCTCTCCTATGGAGACAGGCTGGGAGAGTTGGGCTTGTTCAGCCTGGAGAAGAGAAGGCTCTGGGGAGACCTTATAACAGTCTTCCAGTACCTAAAAGGGACCTAGAAGAAATCTTTGAGAGTGACTTTTTACAAGGGCATGCAGTGGCAGGGCAAGGGGGAAGGACTTTAAACTGAAAGAGGGTAAATTTAGATTAGACATTAGGAAGAAATTCTTCACTATAGGGTGGTGAGACACTGGTACAGTTTGCCCAGAGAAGCTGTGGCTGCCCCATCCCTGGCAGTGTTCAAGGCCAGGTTGGACGGGGCTTTGAGCAATCTGGTCTAGCGGAAGGTGTCCCTGCCTGTGGTAGGGGTGTTGGAACTAGATGACGTTTAAGGTCTCTTCCAGCCCAAACTGTTCTATGGTTCTATGATCTGTAGGTCCTGAGGCAAAAACCCACATGAGATGTGGCAAGAGAGTTGTTAGAATACCAGTAGCTTCTGGAATACATAATTCAGTACACTCCAGTTCTCTGTTCTATTCTAAAGCTGTAACTTTTACATATTGGTTGCAAGACAAAGTGTTATGAGTAAATAATAAACCTGTTCAATGACTAATTGTGCTGAGTAGAACAAATATCATAGGAGAGCACCGGCTGTGCTGTAAAGATGGAAGATGTTTTTCTGTTCAAAGGCTGACATTTCTAAGTACTCTGAAATCCTCAGATTTAGCATGAGTTACAAGCACATGACAAGAAGGATTCGGCTGCAGCAGCTTAAGGCTTGAGGCGCAGCAGCATTATGTGATTGAACTTGGTTTGCTCCAGCTACAGGCTCCAGTGTGCTTCATGCCATGTCATTTAGTCAACAACTGGGGTGGGTCAGGAGTCCACACGCAGTTGGTGATTGCTTCAGCTGATGAGCACTGATGTCTTTGGCCACATCCATTAAACCATTTTCATTTATGTATATGTCCAGAGTACAAAATGGTGTTGAAATTTGGCAGTTAGGTTTGTTTCAGAATTTTGCACATGTAATTAATAATAAGAATTGGTTGGGTCTGTATGGCTGTGCAGTTAACTATCCAGGAAGGCTGTACATTTACTCTATAGACATTTACTCTAAATCTAATCAAACTGACCACAGATTTTAATATCTCACTCTCTTTACTAGATAGTTCAACAATAGTGAGTGGCAGGCCAGATGATGAATTGCTGGAGTGTTCAACTTGCCATACCCATGTAACTTAAGCAGCCCATCCTTGCAACATATTTTTTATTCTCCTAGGTTATCCATTCCCAAATGCCCAGAGGAAAATAGGATCTGAGGATACTAGTTAAAAGTTTTACATCAGTTGAGGATTTTCTTAGACAAGTCTTGCAAGGAAATCCATGATCCTTTGTTTGTGTGGATTTTTGTGTGAACATATGCATCTGTCTCCCTGTCCACCCATCATTCCCTTGGTAACTTATGAATCCATCAGCCAATTTCAATCAAGTACAACAGAGACAGATAAAGCTTAAAGATATCAAGTTCCTACAAATTTAAACAGGCAGGCAGAGAGAGGAGAGAGACCCTATTGATTCCTGTCTGTAAAGGAAAGACTGCAGAGTGACTGCCTTTACTCAATTCCAGAGAATGCACATAAAAATTCACCCTGGGGAAGAAATCTAGGGTGAAGGGGGAGTTTAAATCAGTCCCATTTGCAGTGGAAGTCCTTGGTTTTAATTATTGTTTGTATGGTAATGCCTATGAATTCATAACGTGCTACTCTAATACTGAAATCTCAGGCTGATAGAGTATTAGGCTATATCCTCAGGCATGGAAGTTATAAATTTTCATTGCATCCAACTTTATAAACTCTGTGGGAGGTTTCATGACAGGGAGATTAAAAGGTGCCTTTCTGTGGAGTCCACTGGTAGCCATAAGTTTCAGACTACAGTCTTGATAGAGACTTTCCCAAATCCAGCTGGAAGCAGGCACTTCATCCTCTGAACAGAAGCCAAAGGCTGAAAGTCTGAACTACATCAACTTCTTGCATACCTGCAGAACTCAGTGTGCCTTTATTTCAGTAGAGAACTGAAATCAATCTTTTCACTGTACCAGCAGTATTGAGGATGGCCCAGCACCTCTCAGACCTTCTAACAGATAACTGCTTTTGTTTTCTCTTAAAAAAAAAAAAAAGGTTATGCATATAGCCAAATAAAAGCAATGATTCCTGGACCATGGCTCACAGGATTCAGTGCCCTTGCAATCTTATGCCATAAGTGAGGGCCGCAAGGAACCCCCATCACTTGGTACAAAATGTTAGGGAAAATAACATGTGGTATGTCCACAGCACATACGCTCACTTAGACTTGTGGCCTATACACTTGGTAAAGATTCTTGGCTACATGGTCCTACATGTTTCCAGTGTTTATATGGATGGTTATTTTCAGTCATGTTAAGTTCCTAACCCCAAATCTCTTGGTCATAAGCTCCTTGGGTTCATGATGTGCTGCACTGGAAAAGTATCCCATTTTTTCAAGTTGTTGCTTTTAAGAATCCTATTTATAAGAGGCATGAGCCTCTTCTTGGTTTTGATTTTTGTTTGATTTGGTTTTGTTTTTTTCCTAGCTCTTTAACTGTACATTTTTGACTGTCACCATATACTGCTCATATACTTTCAGCAAGTAGCTTTCAAATTTACCCATGTCTTTTCCCAAGGCTCTCTCCTGTCAAGTTAAACTCTATGAAAAACAGTTGAATACAGTTTGTTTAAACTATTTGAATGTTAAAAACCATAATAACTAGCAGGTAAAAGTAATATCATGTTAAAAATCCACATCACAAACCATGGAACAGACAAAGAGAAATAATGAAGTTAAAAAGCATTAAGAAGGTGCCAACCACCTGTCTTCAAAGATTAAATAAGCTCCCTTTATCTCCTCAGCCAAGCTCTTCCAACAAACCTGTGTTTGAGGTGTTGGAGCAAACTGGCTTCTTACACACAGTTTAATTATGAACACACACACACACACACCCTGCCCCAAACCCCAAGAAATGATACATATGGAAATTACTGATAAAAAGAAGTATTTTATCTTAAAACACTTCACACAAGCACAGGAAATTTGTTACCTCTTGGAAATAGTTTATAATATTTGTACAACAACTACTGTGCATATTTATGAAATGGCAGCCAAGGAGTCACCACAGAGATTAAGATATGGCCGTCATCCACTGTTCTGTCCTCAATGATTTAGAAAACCTGCCTCCTGGAGCCTGGATTCTAAAATGA